TACAGGCCATCTATTCAGCAAGCATAAATAGAGTTATAATCTCATGACTCATACACAGGTCATGTTTGGTCTTGCATAAGATCAACAGTCTATTTCCCATGCTTAAAACAAGCATAATTTCTAAAACAATATCACAGGCCATTCCTCATGTATAAACGTATATAATTATCTCTAAGCTAAGATAACAACCTGAGCCTATAATTAAGCGTCTAAATTTAAATCAGAGGTTGAGGCAATTAGTTCTTATCCCACAGCGCATTAATACTAACAGTCAGACATACATGTGACGCTTTCTATGTGATGTTCTCACCTCTAACTGTGAAAAAGGCTCCAGACAAGCAAAGACCAATCTTTAAAAACTTAAGATTTATCGTCCATATATTTCCCCAGCTTAAAACAACCATAATTACGGTATTCTGACCACGAGATCGCTGAAACGCAGTCACAGAACCACAACATGATGCATTTTTTAATTTTGATGACGTCATCACATAAACTTTTCAGGTAAGAAGGAACCTCATAGAGCCCACAGAAATGTTTGAATTAGGTAATGAATTTTTGAAGCAACTCAGAGGGTCAGAGCGATAAAGGAATATTATTAAATAACATTGCATGAAAAATGTATGATACAGAAAAACGCAGTCTCATTTTCGGCCCTGCTTGCCCAAATTCATTACACCCTGGGCATGGGGTTTGAACCCGAGTTGTGAGACATCGTGTTCCAACATAGCTAAGTCTAAAGCTTTAACCATTAAGCCTTGTGACTCCATCCATTCCATTGACAAAGAGAATTTATTCAATTCTAATGTATCTAAATATTCAATCCATTTCAGAGATCCCTAATGGATGACGCCCTTTACACCAATTGATTGAAAACTCAAAACAAAAACTTCCAAAAAATCTTTATTGGCTTCAGCAGTACAATGCATCGAAAGGTCAACTAATCCCTCAAGAGACAGAATAACAGATTTAGACCTGATCATAGAGTGTTAAAATGCCACGTAATCCCATGTGAGATGACAAATTTAACTAACGTTAATAATTCCCCCCGAGGAGGAGAATTTTTGGTGGTTGAAAATAATCAATGCAAAAAAAGATTTTTTATTTATACCTGAGCAATGCTCGATGAGAGATTTTATATCGTCACCAATAACACTGTAAACAGAACTTGATGATAGCAGCCACTGATACTTATAAAAATACTATTTAATTTGAACTGTCTTTTCTGGCCTTACTCAACAAATTGTGCCTATTGTATGTTAGATCCAGGGGCATAGTCAGAAATTGGTGCTCCCGAAGTATGCGAACCAAGATGGCGGACATCGGAACGTAACATGGGTAACAGGATAGGGTTGAGCGATAATTTTTTTCTAATTTTCTTTATTTTAGTCCTATTATCAGTTCAAAGACTAGCCAAGAGCCTCCCGTAGTATTTATACCTAAAATTATGGCCTAACCCTAACCTAGTACACATGTTACATTCCGATGTCCGCAATCTTGGTTCGCATACTTCGGGAGCCCCCAGAAATTTTTAAAACAGGGACTCTGAAATATTTAATTACCAAGCGGGTCGGGCTGGGGTTTTCAATAGTTATACGGTCTAATTACGGTCTCTAGTTATCTGTTTATAGATAAAATACTAGATTTCTTCAAAAGATGCAGATTTACTATATAAAAACAGAAATTTCAATTCTTGAAATAGCATTTTTCATAGAACAATAATTCCCAATCACAGTTACCTTACAGTAAATCTCAACTAAGAAACTAACTATGAACGGTCTTCCATGTTCATACCGATAGAGATAGTGGTATTAATATGGCTTAATTATATGGTGAACCACGGCCTCCCATCAGGGAATGGCTAACCAGTTAATAATTAATCTACATGCATAAACAGTAACCGACCCATAATTGTGTGAACCCTACTTTGACGACAAAAAGTCCAAGAACAATTTCTCACATACCCACAGGATTTGAAACTGCGAACCCGCGAGGGGTAATCAGAAGTGTGATGGCTACAATGAGAAGGCTCGGAACCACCGTTAATAATAATCACAAACTGAGATTTCTCGGTAACACAATAGTCTACTGCAGGGCTACTCAACTGGCGGACCGCGGTCCGAATCCGGACCTTTCGACCATTTAACATGGACCGCGTACGCAGCATAAGCATCGTTTTATAGTTTTTGTTGATGATTTTGATACTATTCACATACACGGCTATACAGCTTGCCGTACTGGTACCGATGTGCGACATTTGTGTCCATATTTGTGAGCCAATCATTGCTCTTGAATTTAATTTAATAATGCGTTTGTTTATTTAATAAAATAATTTTCTTAAATATCCAGACCCCAGTAATTTTGAAGTTTTGTAAACGGACCTTTGGTGAAAATAGCTGAGTAGCCCTAGTCTACTGTTATAATCTTATTAACAATAATTCAATTTGAAAAGAGCCTTCCAAAAAGCCCTTTTTATTAGGTCATTTTTGCAATAAATTAACTCGATAACGTGACAGTCTGTTGTTATAGTCTTAAGTGGGGTGAGATTACCGGCTCCAGACATTATCACCATTGAAAAGCAAGCATAAATTTATAATGGTAATGTGCTTCAAAAATGGCAACATTGCGTCATGTTTGGGAATTATGAATCGTGCCACAATTTGTGCTATGATACCACATGCTGCATCATAATGCCGCCAATTGCATTTTAATGCCTTGTTTTGTATCGCATGTCACAGTATGTTGTGTCAAAAATACACTGCATTAAATTATTCTAATTTAAACAAATATCACTACACACGTTTTTTTAGGTTTTCAGTTTCGTATGTAAAAAATCATACATTAGTCGAAGCAATATTTTTACCAAAACAATTTCCGTAAGTTGGATTCTTCATATTCAGAGCCTTTCGAAAGTTTCTACAGTATAGCAATATAACAAACATAACACAATATATATCTATAATAAATAATATAACAACCAATTTCTTTAAGTCCTTATCCATTACCCCATTTCGTTTATATTATTAAAATCTTAAAATGTAAGACGCTTATCTAAAATTATGTATTATCCCTGGATTTAGGGATTATTATACTTTAATAATTGCAGCAGGGGGATTAAAATCTTTTAATCGGGTTGCAAAAATGAAAATCCCCAAATTCGGGGGTTCAAGCAATTATCCCAATCACCTTGGCTTTAAGCTAAGATAATGGATTGATGTATAATATTATTTCACAACATTTTATTGGCATTCCACTCTGACTGACCAAATCACCACTAAGAACAAAACTTGGTCCTGGGAGGCTGTCCACTACCAATTAGCAAAACTGAGAGTTCCCTGCCCAGATTTACACAGTGCACGCACTCTAATTTACACTATGAATGGAGTCGCCAAATACACCCCTACATGGCATGCATTGATCCGAAAATAAGGGATATCTGCCCTATGCGGAACCGGGCCGCACGACGTTCTACATCTATTCATCTCAGGGGCGTAACTAGAAATTTTTAAACGGGGGGTTCTGAAATTTTTTTTTTCGTCAAGTTGGATTGAAACAGCTAGCGGGTCCGATCGAACGCTGGGATGCGCGTCTTGGGGGTCTAAAAAGCATTTCAAGCTACGGAAAATTGCCATCAATGTACAGAAAAATGATTTTTTGGTGCTCCCCAAGTATGCGAACCAAGATGGCGGACATCGGAACGTAACATGGGTAACAGGTTAGGGTTAGGCGATAATTTTTTACCAATTTTCTTTATTTTAGTCCTATTATCAGTTCGAAGACGAGCCAAGAGCCTCCCGTAGTATTTATACCTAAAATTATGGCCTAATTCTAACCTAGTACACATGTTACATTCCGATGTCCGCCATCTTGGTTCGCATACTTCGGGAGCCCCGATTTTTTTTACGTTTCCCCTGGCTACGTCACTGATTCATCTGTTCAGACAAACCAACACACCTAACCACCTATGGGAAAAGCCGATCAAAGACGCTGTGTTCCTGGGTCTTCAAGAACAGAAAAACGAAGGGTGTTAACAAAAACTAACAACTGATCAAGTATGAACAAAAACTTGAACTTGCGAAAGGGGATTGCCAAAACCAAACTAATTATTGACATTATTTCTACTTCAGTCGTAACCTAACTTCACTGACAGAATTATCTCAGTAAAATCAAGTTGAAAATATACTCCCAACAAAATTGAATCAAAGTGACAGAATTATTACCCTTCTGATCAAATTACAATTATTCTGCCAACCAGTTTCCTAATAACAATTCTTACTTTAATCCAACTTAACTGACAGAATTACCACAGTCACATTAGGTTACGATTATTCCGCCACCCGCACTACAAACACAAAAATCACATTCACCTAAATCATACCCAAAACAAAACCTGACAAAATTATCACATTTAGTATAGATCAGCAATCGGCAACCTGCGGCTCTTCGCTATCGAAGCTCTAGCTCCCGCGAATCAAAGTTTCTGCCACAGTTTCTTGGGGGTTCAATAAAGGCCGGCAACAAGTCGATTCCTATTCACTAATTGCGCATCACAACGGGGTTTTAATAGCCACATCCATTAGAAGAAATGTTGCAGTTTCGAGTAGGTTTTAGTGTGACAGAAAGGATGTCAAAGTGATCTTTCAATGCTGATGGTTGCCGAACCTTGGTATAGGTCATGGCTACTCAACTATTTTTACCGAGCATACAAAACTTCAAAATTATTTGGGTCCGGTCTATCCTTAAACGTGCACTTCCTAGGCTGGCTAATGTTTATTATCAAATCAAGATTGTTTATTATATGGTGGTATAGTTCTCTTACATATATTCAAAACTATGAGAGTCATTTTATAAGAGGAAACTTCAAAAGTGAGGCTACTTATCAAAAATGAAGAATTAGGTGCGGTCCGAAGCATACTCGAACGATCTTGATTCAAACCGTGGTCTGCCAGTAGCCCTGATATAGGTTATGATAACTACGCCAAAAAATAAATAAATCTTACTTTATTATCAGCTCCGTTTTGTGACCCATCTACAGATTCTGTGTGCTTATCTGACGTCACTGATTGTAATCTCTCATTCAGAGCCATGTTGTTTTTCCTGAGTTCTAAGTTTTCGTTGTAAAGTTGCGTAAATTCCCCCTCAATTTCAGCAAATAATTGGTGGAGTCTGTCTTTGACGTGTGGAGGAAGTGACTCTGGAAGTGGAAAAATGTTAAAATTTAAATTCATAGGATAAGAGTAAGATATATTTTTATGAGCTTTTCACACATTTGCTTACAGCAAGTAGCCTTCGATAAATTTCCGTTTTTTTTTTTTCAGGTATAATATAGCCTTTCGACTCTAAATAATAATGAATGAATCCCCTTATTTGGCAATTTATGATGCGCTTTATCTACGACAAAATCTTGAATTCAACATCTCGTCATCCATAAACAACTGCACTTAAATAATTACAACAAATTTTGCTTTATTTTATATCTTCAATTTACTATTTACCTCTCATCCACGTCATCGTTTTTTTTTTTAAATACATTCTCTCACCTTACTATATTTGTTATTTGTAACTTATTGTTAACTAGTTATTCTTAAGGCAGGGCATGAGACTTGACAGATTCTAAAAAGGAATCGCGGCTTAAATAGTTTGAAAATCATTACCGCAACTGGGGGGGGGGGGTCAGATCTTCATTTCAATAGCTTGATATAAATATCTCAGAATAAAATTGTTAGGAAAAAATATAGAGCAAAATATCAGGCAATAATCTAGCCTAATTCAACATAACTTGGGGGTAGGCAAAATCTTTTTTGTGAAGGATTGCATTGAGAAACTGACTGTGACATCAGAGTTGAATGGCAGTTACAGCGTTAAGATGAAGATGAAAAAAAAATAACAATATTATTTAAATAAAAATTCATAGTTTCTAAAAAGTTTAAATTTTGTGGGCAGTTGTGAAAAATTTCTTAATTCTTTTCAAAAATGGGTTGCCCAAGTAAAATGCTCTGGCTGGCCGAATGTGGGGCACATTTTGCCCATCCCTGTCCTAATCTACGCTAAAAAGGGGAATATATCGTGGCTGCACCACCATTCATATTCTTATCTGTTTTTTCTTTATGCTAATTATGTTTGGTTAGCTTTTGTGTCTTGCTAGTCCAAGATAATGCGGGATGAAAACTGAATGGAATCAAATAAATACCAAGTATTACCTTCACCAGTCAGATCTGTGTCGCTTGACAATCCGCGATTACTTTTATCCCGCTTGAACGAGAGATCTTTCATAATTCCAGGATGTCCTGACGGTGCAAGGGTGGAATCTTTTAACAAATTTGTAGACGACTCTCTCTCTTTCGCTCCGTTTTGTTTCCGTGACAATCTTGATTTTTTATCGTCTCGTTTTTGTGACGCCTCCATTTTTATATTTTAAATTTTTTGGAAATAATACTTTTCAAATAATATTGAGGTCTTCAAATACTTTTTGAATATGATTGTGATGACATTGAATATGATTGTGGCACCATAGTTATGGCAATAACTCAATGCAATACATTATACAGTTAATACTATGAAATACTGCACATCTGAATATATAGGTAATAGAGAAATGGTTAATTAGTGTATTCAAAATGAATATTCTCTGATCTCAGTACTGCACAGTTCTCCGATTCCAAGTATGCCCCTATATTGAAAGACATCAATTATAACAGACAGTGCGAACCCCTCCTTTATGAGACAGTCTGGGCCTCAATATCGGCAAATCAGCTTTGTGCAAGAAACTAAAAGAAAGCCCAATCTAAAAATGTCACCATTGAATTCCTCGAATAATAATAATCCGGTATATTAGAAGTTCGAAAGTTTACAACAAGAAAAAAAACTTCAACTTTGGTCACGACAAGCACGGAAAAATCTGACACACATGCGATCGTACCAAACACCTTACTTGAGGTTTTGTTTGCTTTCCCGATTCTATAATCAGTTTTATTTATTTTGTTTTTATCAATTATTTTATCGTCTATTGCTGATTATGGAGTCAAATAAACTTATGCTTATTATTATAATCCGATGCACTAAGACAGAGTTAAGCAAAATACGGCAAGATTTTGACCGGACCGATGACTGTATCCAACCCCACTCTGTAATGTGTTTCGACGGATCCTTCCTGAAAGTTGCCAAGATTGGATACCAAAGTATTTCTTGTAATAATCCGGCCCGCCGAAGACTTCATTTTTCCACATCTGGCCCGCCGACTAGAGAAGTTGCCCCCCCCCCCCCCCTGCGCTAAGATATTAACAAAATAAACCAAAATTCCATAATTGAAAACTGTCTGAATATTGTGTACTTTGATCGGGCACAGTTCGCCAATATTAAGTGAAGAGAATAGTCCAAAACCATGAAAACCTGAAATGATTGGGCTAGATTATATTATGAGCTGGTCTATTCAAAATTCTTTCTCCAATTATTACCAGAGACACAAACTGACAGAAGACAAATCTGCTCTTTGCTACATATCACCATACACATACGATAGATAGTTTGTTTCGAAAACTCAATAACAAACATAAATTAAAAGTGGGAATTCTGGAGGGCAGGCAAAACCATCCTCCAGAAGTCAAACTCCACGTTTTCCTATCCTCAGTGATAAAAATAAAATATTTATCCACTAGCGAAGGATCAGTAATCATAGATCCTATTGATACTGTAATAAACGAACGATGAAAACGAATATCTGAATATTAAGACCTTGTATCTGAAAACAAATATCTGGCCAACTAGTTACATACGGCCATGGACTTGTAACCGGACGAGAGCTGTGGTTCGCCATATGATTGAACCGCCATAATAAGTATGTAAATTCTCCACTTTTCTAACACGAAACGCAGTCTTTTTTTTTTTTTTTTTTTTTTTTTTTTTTTCTTTTTTTTTTTTTATTATTTATAAAAACAGTCAATATTATCAATACTAGTCAATCTTAAAAATGTACTATCAAAAGCTATGACATTACCGACTTTTCTAACAAGTTTTCAATTCTTCCATCCTCCAAAAAGCTATTTTTCATATTTGATGCCATATTTTTCAGCATCCCTCTAATTTTACATTTAAAAATTATTCTCATAACTGATTGGAAATTATCCGAATCTTCAAATATTATTTGATTCCTGAATTCCCAAATAGCTGCCTTTCCACATGCAACTATCATAATAACTAACAGGTCACATGTATTTTGTGCAATAATGGTATCAATATTATTTTCACTAAAATGCAACTCGCACCAATCCCAAAATATTTTAACATAATAGCATTCAAAAAATAGATGTTTACAGTCTTCAATGATATTAATATTGCACAACACACAGTGACCATCATCATATTCTGTCCAATCAGAATAGTCCACACTCCACAGGCCGGACTGAAAGACAAGAGATATTAACCGCCCTTTGGGAGAAATCCAATGCCGCATTGCAGAGGTGCAACAGCGCCACGTGTGTTTTGGAGCATATACGAAAGTTGTCTCGAGGAATCACAGTTTGCTGCACGATCACAATGAATGACTCAGTTACCTTTTCTGATACCCAACCAGAATAAGTTTCAATGTAGCAAAAGGAAATGACGTAAAGGGTTGTTATGTAAAAAGGGATGTTTCCTTGGAGGGCAGCGGCGATAAAACACGGAAACAGTGGTCGTTTTAAATCTTGTATCACACGGACGACTTGAATTATGAATTAAAAAGGGGCAGGAAATCCCGCAAGTGATATGTGAAAATATTCAAGTGACAGATTTTCAGAGTAAGTCGCCAGAATAACGATGTATGTTTGATATTTGTGGTTTGTTCAGACTAAATCGCTGGATCATACGTCAAGCAGGGTCATTAAAATTTACTTGTAATTCAGAATCTTAAATCTCCGAGCTTCTTTTGATACTTTGAGTGGTTCATGAACTTATGTCGTATCTAGTTAAATATTACTTAATATCACTGCATTTTTTCCACGAAAACTACAATGAAAATGCCAATTAATACAGCTAATTATAGTGTTACTAAACCTACAATAACCTTGAAATATTTTTACAGAGATTTATTTTCTATCCAAGCATTTAGTTGCGTCATCAAATCTTCCTAGAGGCAAAATTATTTTGTTCATCTCCCCCATTTAGCACTTGCGGAGCTAAAAGTTCCGGGTAAGATTTGTTTCGGATAAAATTACGAGATAAATTTATCCGTCTTCTGGTAAGATTTCTAAAATATAAGAGCTTTAGGAATCATTTGCTAAATACACCGCATTCAACGAGTATAGCAACAAATATACGTTATATTGAATTTGAAAATATCACATTTCATTTTGACAGCTGGAGCCTGCGTTTCCAAGATCGTGGATGGGAAACTCGTTCAAGTTGGAGATTGCAAGGTGAAATGAAGTTACTATTTTTTAGCAGGTGTTTTCACTCTAAGCTGGGATTTGGCTAGCGGTCACTGTTATGTTTCCAACCAAATTTTGAATCTGACCCATGTATCAAACGCAACTAATATAATCTAAAACAACTTACGTGTTACAATTACTTTACTTATCATTTACCATTTTTATTTATTCCACAGAAAGACGATGGGTCCGGTGAGCCAACTTTCGTGACCGTGAACATATGACAGATTTTTGTGTCGTAATTGCACAATCGTGCAAAAATATTCCCAACGAGTAAGATAGTTAAATTAAACAGTGACCAGAAATTTGAAGCATACGATAGTATATGAGCGGCTGGCTTCCTTTCGGGCGACATGTATGAGATCACCTATCCAATTATTTGTTTCATATGCATGTACTTAATGCTCGGGGAAGCGGTAACCGACCAGCGGTCACGTAAACCATCCTACGGTGATCAGGATTGCAACACTCTTATTTCACATAATTAACGCTCACCGCAGCGGTTCCCAAAGAGTGCGCGGCAGCGAGTGGCTAAGTGCGCCACAAAGATAAAAAAAAGTTTTATCAAACATAACTAAAATATGATTGAATTACATATTATGTTTATTAAGAATTTTTTATTGTTTCTCACTTGAATATATGATTCATTCCCTTTTCTATGTCCTTTACTTTCTGTTACATTGTGTCCGCATCCATTGTTACGTAACAAGAGAGATAGACGCCATTCGTTGCAATTTTGTGAGCTGCAGTTTATTTGCATGTTTACAAACGTTAAAATACATAAGGTACACATTAACGGTCGCAAAATTACGTTCAATTTGAAGGCAGCATTTTTTTCGTGTAAGTATGCTGCGAGTTTTTTTCCTGAATAATATGGCGCCGCGAGAACTAAAAGTTTGCGAACCGCTGGCGAACGGGATTCGAGGATGCGAAACCACGCAGGATAATCAGGGAGCGGTGACAATCGTATTAGTACATAGTACGATGCCAGTGCCACCCGTTCGAAGTAATTAGCCTCGTCGGAGCTGGCCAAGTGTGACGCTGATAATAATCCGGTAATCAAGTATAGTTTTATTTGATCCAGTGAATTCTCGTCAGTAGCGGTGGCTCAGGGGAAGCGTAAAGTTATGTTAATCAGTCAGGATGGGTTCGAACCTCACAGCGCCATGCGTGAAGGCAGCTCGCGCCGGAAGAAAGATTGTGCGTGAAGTGTAATGTGACCGGTGGTAGGAAATAAAGGAGCCAAACAGGTAGGTGGTTTGTATGATATCGACGTCCTAGCGTTCGAGAGAATTAACGATGTCGCGCTGCTCTGCGAGAGAGAGAGAATGACGAACGTCGAGAGTGTTATAAGAAAAAAGTAATACACTCCTCACCACCAATCAGAAAAATAACGGATAACACTAACGGATTTATTAGTGCGAGCAAAAGTAAAAGTGGAACACAAAAAAGCCGACCAAGAAGGATTTGAAAAATGCAACAGAAAAGGGTGCACGACCTGCCAAAATTCATCTGAAATCTCAATACTCAGAAGCACAACGACCGGCAAACGGTTCCAAATATTCAAACAAATCAGCTGCAACACGAGAAATGTAATATAAAGTTCCCCTAATATTTTTTATTTCGAAATTCCACTTCGAAATTCCACTTCTTATGCCGCGCATAAAGTAATATTTTTAATTCGAGTTATTAAATTCCGCTTCGTATCGCGCACACGCTGCTATCTTTCAACACTTTCGACGTCCGTCATTTCTCACAAAGCAGCGGCGTTGTAAATTCTCCTCTATCAGTATAGGTGTAAATAAATACTAATACGGTAGTGGTTACGCGAGATGGGTTATCCAATCGTTTCTTCATCAATGCCTTTGCGCCTGTGAGCAGCAGGACTCTTAAATCACATAGTCAATAATTAAATAATAACTAAAAAATGATATATAATCCCCTCAAGGCATCAATCAAAATATATTTATTTATCCATTCCCTGCCACACGAGGCGCAAACAAGTGTCAAAGGGCACGTTGCAGAAGTCGCAAGTGTTCATCATTCAAATCAGACTTTTATTTTCATAAAAATCAGCTAAAGAAGCGACTAATGATATTTGTTATTAGGCGAGAAATACGGTAGATAAAATACATTTAACGAAATTCCTGAAATGGACATCGGTTCCTAGCATTAGATAAGTGGCTGATAAAGCTGTAAAGACTCTGCCAACCGCCTCTGCATCTAACCATTTTTTTTTTTAATTATGCTTATGGAGGTACTGTCACTGGTTTTTTATTATTACCGTACCGGTACCGGTACAGTATTAATTTAATGGTGCTTATAACTGGCTTCTGGGCTTAGTTTTGTGTACAGTGGGGGAGTGTGTAGCATGGGGAAGCGACATTTAGCCATAGATTGCCATTCAAATTGCGGGTCTCGTGTAGTTTCGTACCTAACATACTTCTAGTGGGCGTAGCATAACAATTTTTTGATATGTTAATCTTAACCCCCATCTGACTATGCCATCCAAAAATTACTTCACTACGGTATCACAATCATGCCATAGACTTAAAGAGCTTGCCAAATACGAGTACAATCGCACGAAATGGCATTGGCCTCGGCAATAAAGAAGTAACTGACGTCGGCGATCTCTCTTATATCGGGATCGTTGCAACAAAAAAACGAGAGAAATAAATGTTCGATTTTGGGTGCTCATCTGACGGTGCGTTTAGTTTGAAAGGTTCTATTACGGTACCTCACTGTGACGTCGTAGTGCTGTAGTGACGTAATTTCTGGATGGTGTAGTCAGGTGGGGGTTAGGATTAACACATAAAAAAATTGTTATGCTACGTCCACTAGAAGTATGTTAGGTAGTAAACTACACGAGACCCGAAATTGCCTTATTTCTGTATTTTGTATTTATTGCCCATGTTGCTTCATTTTTTCCACCATACTGTCACCATTTACGTTTATTCGGAACAACCAAATACGGTACTAAAATACGTCTCCTATATTTAGTAGGTACCATATTTAACATACAAGTTTTCCCTGGTGCTGTGGTCAATCTGCAGGTTTGAGATGGAAGGACTTGTCCTGATTATTCTCATTGTTTTGTCACTGATTGCTATTGGAGCAACGATTGTTTATTTATTGAAGTGAGTTGAAGTATTCATTTGAACGATGATCGTAGTTGTTTTCACCAAAATTACATCTGGACATTATACAGTAACGGCACACTATACAGATCGGGTGACATTGTCCCGCTTCAGAGAGACCTATTTTACAGATGATCAGACACCCCTCCTTCGGGGGACGTCTAGACATTGTTGTCCCTCAATATCGTTAAAAATACAGTATAATGAAGTTGCGCAAAATACTACAAAAAAGCGCAATCTAGTAACGTCATAATTGAATTCCTCTGGAAAATATAATCCGATTTACCAAAAGAAAATTTTTTTTAACGTGGCATTTTCGAGAGTTTTTGGCAACAAACGGCAATTTTGGTCATGACGTGACGGCCGCGATTAATTTAGATTATTATTGAGACAAGCAATAAGCACGAAATGGGTGCCAGACGTCCCTCGGTTGTGAGACACATTGAGTGTTTGTTTTATTGAACCAAATGGAGGGAAATTCTTGGAATTTGGATGGTGTGCCGTACTGATCCAGGGGAGTTTAAAAATTTGATTCCAACCACAATACTTCAGCCCTGCCTGATCTTAATCTGTTTAATATATTATGTTCAGCTATATTGGATATTTTTATCGAGTCCGTGTTTTCACCGGACCGTCGATAGTCTCAGAGATGAAGGTTGCTTATAAGTATTGCGTTGGAAATTACAATGCTTGCGGTTCCTACTTCTCAGAGGCTGCAAATATCTGCCCTGATGAGAGACTGCTGGGAATTTATTATGATGATCCTAAGAAGGTAGTTTTTATTTTTTTAGGGAAGAAGGGGGTAAATGGATGGGGGTAAAATTTGTTTTTATTCTTTTTTTGGGGCTCCCGAAGTATGCGAACCAAGATGGCGGACATCGGAATGTAATATGTGTACTAGGTTAGGGTTAGGCCATAATTTTAGGTACAAATACTACGGGAGGCTCTTGGCTAGTCTTCGAACTGATAATAGGACTAAAATAAGGAAAATTGAAAAGAAATTATCGCTTAACCCTAACCTGTTACCCTTGTTACGTTCCGAAGTCCGCCATCTTGGTTCGCATACTTCGGGAGCACCCTTTTTTTTTTGAAGGGGGGTATGGAAGTGAATAGTCAATTTTTTTAGGGAAGTGGGAGTAATTAGGTCAATTTTTTGTCTCTTTTAAAATGTAAAGAAACACCAGTTTCCTGTATCATACATAACAATTTTTGTAACTTGCAGTAGCTTTCAAGACTCTTAAGACCCCACGTTCTCCAGTCCTGCTAGCTGTTATGGTCCAACTTGACAATTAGAAATTTCAAATTCCCCCCTTTTTGAAAAATCCTCGCTACTGGCACTGACCTCAACTCCCAAGGAAAACGTGTTTTTCTACCTAACTTTCATTCTTCTTATTTACAGGTCGACCCAAATCAGTGTCGTTATATAGTTGGTATAATTCTTGCTGAGGGGTCGAAGGCTAAAGAGGAAGTAAATGAGGAAGTGGAGGGTATATTAGAAGAGAGAGGTTACAAATTCATTATTTTTCCAAATGTCGACTTTTCCGTGAAGACTTCACATCCATATGCAATTCCTATGTCCGCTTACTTTGGGGCAACCAAAGCCTACCCTGCGATGGAAACGTATATACAGGTATGCCGGTGGTGAGTTCTTGCATAGAATTGTATTCTTAATCTCCTTTTGTTTGCAAGAAATACACAAGTATAGACGTTGTAGCAACACCCTTTATTGACCAACTCAAACCTGCGACTGGCCGGAAACTCCGGCCAAGGACAAAACGTGTCAAGTAAATCGCATGAGTAGTCATACGATTTATGACGTAATAAATACACCACATCACCTCCCTCCTAAAAATAAGAATTGTTAGTAACAAAATGTAACGCTGACAATCATATACTGATGATGTAGTAATCAGAGTTTTACAATAAAAACAAATTAAATTGAAATCTATCTGGTCTCCTTCTCTGCCGAAGTGGGTAACATCGTTCAATTTCTGTAGTCGACTTTGGTGTCGGATTCTGTGATTCGTCAGTTACCGTTCGGTGACGGTGATTCGATGTTTGGAGACGGCACTGGACTTTTGGATACTGCACTGTCGGTTGCATCCGGTTCCACGCTTGCAGGCTCGTCATGTTCAAAATGATCATCTTCAGATTCAACAAGTTGCTCTTCATATCTATGTTCTTGCTTAATCTTCAAGTCAGATTTAATAATCTGGTCGGTATGTCTCTTCCAACTAACATTATGAGTGACACCGACCAAGTCAGTGAGTGGCCCTATTATTTTTGTTATTTTACCACGTTTCCATTTAGAGTTTCCACGGTAATCTCTAACGAGGACTGCTTCACCAACGCTAAATGATCGAAGAGTTTTGTTACTCTTCGTCCGCACTGTATATTCTTTTTCTTCAACGCGACTACGAATGTTAGGTTTGATCAAGTCCAAAATAGTACGAAGACGTCGTTTACAGAATAATACAGATGGTGCCTCGCCCGTCGTGCAATGATGAGTATTTCGATACCCCAGCAAAAAATCATCCAAATGTAAGTCGAATTTGTTGGCATCATTAACTGAGCGCATAGCGCGCTTGAACGTTTGTACAAATCTTTCGGCAGCACCGTTAGATTCTGGATGATAAGGTGCAGATTTCTTATGCTTTATACCATTTGCTTTCAAAAAGTGTGCAAATTCATGTGAACAAAATTGAGGCCCATTGTCACTCACAAGATATTCTGGTAAACCATATCTAGCAAAAAGACTTCTTATGACACGGATAGTACTATTGGCGGTAGTTGATGACATTTTAATAACTTCCGGCCATTTTGAATATGCATCTACTATTATTAAAAACATCGCCCCCTTAAATAACTCGGCAAAATCTATGTGGACTCAGATCCATGGTTCTTGAGGCCACTCCCAGTGGTGTAGAGGAGCTTTCGAAGGTTCATTTTGCTGCATTTGGCAGTCATTGCAATTTTAACCATATTTTCTATGTCTGTGATGTTCTATGATGTTGCAAATCTTTTTCTTTTCCACCAGTATCAGGTTGGACTTCATCTGCCCCAATTCACATTTGAAGCAAGCTTTGCATCATCAGAATCTTCCGCTGTTTCAGCTTTTGTACTTTTTTCAGGTTTTACAACTTTTTTGTCATTCGTTGTTTTCTTCTTTGTGATTGCAGCCTTGTGAGTGTGTGACCTTGTAGTTCGTGTAGTACCGGTAGTTGAATCCTGTTTTGTTTTCTTTTCTAATGCTTTTGGCGGCTTTATTTTTATAGAGCTGGATGTCGCAGCGTTAGAGGTTCCTGCATATCAATTATCATCGTATTTTATTGTTGACATACTTTAAATATAGGTTTGTTTACTTACAATAATTTTATTCTTTGCGTTATGACTTTCGTGCAGCGATATGTTTACGATTCGTTATCGCTGTTACGCGGCAGTGGAGCTAGCTGCCAGCAAAGTGACTATAAACCAAGTGGAGACACAGAGTGCAAAGATGCATATCGGACCTCATTTTGTGTCCAGCGAATCCTGGGAACGCGGCAGCGTTGGTTTGTTTTAGCTTCGTCAGAAGGTCTCGTTCGTCAATTTGTTTAAAGATTTTTTACTGTTTTGCATTTTATTCTGTAATTTCATTATTTTTCTTTTGCTATCTGCCTCGTGGAATCATACTGGTATTGTCCGATCTTATAAACCTATGTGAGTTATGCAACTTTGAACGTTCTCTAATTACTTCGTTACGCAAAGACGTAGCAACGTTCTGTATGAAAAACACATATCGCTTTCCTTCGCTAGTGTGAAACGTCGGGCCGGCCTGCTAGCCGCCTGTTGCACATCCTTGCTCTATCGAATTCAACACTGAAACTAACTGCTCCCATAGATTGGTAAAAGACCCTGTTTTGGCTACATTAGTCAGTTTTATCAACTTTGGTAATATTTGTTGGAAAATCTTTTTCATTTATGTTTTTTTAGTAGTAGTGAATACAGATTGACACCAAACTAATTTTCTTTTAACCTTTTACCTTATTTTGTTTTACTATTTCCATACTAAGACATTGTAGAATTGGGGTTTGACATAGATTTTGAGTCTTCTCATTCATTTTGGTCTCTCTTGGGATATCAAACATGAAAAGTCTGTCTGGGAATTCCACCGTAAACTGGTCATATTTAATTTAAATTAAAAAATTCCGACTCCAGAGAATATGACAACACCCACAGGCCTAGTTGGAGTGTCGGAAAAGTTAAGCCGTCTTTTCACCATCTCCCCGAGGAAAATTTTTCAAAAATTCTATCTTATTAAGGTTATTTTCTTTTTAGAGAGAGAAACTCTGTGCTCGTCCATTCCTTGAGATTTATGATGAAAATACAATCCACTATATGGCGCCACTGAGCAAGCAAGTTGAATTTTACACAGATGAAGTAAAAGACCTGAGATAATGTTAAAATGTGGCAACATACTTTATTAGTTCAAAATTGACACTTTCAAAATTGACACTGTTTTTAATAAGGTGTGAAACACCATTGCTGATAGCGGTCACACAGCATTAGATTTGACTGTCTATATCAGGGCTACTCAACTGTTTCACCAAAGGTCCGTTCACGAAACATCAAAATTACTGGGGTCTGATCATTACAGAATATTTAATTTTTAAATCAAATAATCTTAATGAATGGCCTAAAATATGGACACAAATGTCGCACATTGGTGCCAATCTGGCAAACTGTATAGCTGTGTATTTAAATAGTATTGAAATCAACTGAAACTATCAAACGGTATTTATGCTGCCAAAATAAACAAGCAGACGCAGTCCAAGTTGAAAGGCTGAAAGATACGGATTCGAACCACAGTCGACCAGGTCTATATTACTCATCTCGGATCCAAATCCTGCGACCGCCACCCAGTGTGTAATAAATTAGGTAGACAATGTCGAACCGGTAAGAATTCGGCTCTTTTCAAAAATAATAATATCCTCCTAGATATCAGTGGATGCCTATAAGGGCCCCTGTTTGAAGAAAAGGGAGTGGATAAACGTCATATGAAAAAGGCTCTAGACGACATCTATTTGTACTCCCGTAGTATATGTACCAGGTTAGGGTTAGGCCATAATTTTATTACGAGTTTCCTTATTGTGTCTGTGTTAGCCAAGTGAATATACCCCCTGCCCATAGGTTTCAGTCCCTCTATACAACTTGATGTAAAGTAGGCGAACAAAATTAGTTACCTCCATAATGGTGGACATAATTTTGGTGCGCCCATCTATTGAGTCATACATTTATAATGGTTTGCAATTTTTAAGTGATATTTCTAGCACGACGCTAGATAGTAATTTCATACCTTTCTGAGGGGGTTTACTTTTGGACACAAAATGGATCTTTAGTTATTTTGGTGTTGTTGATTGTTGTTAGTACTAGAATGAAAGTTACATGACAGCTGGCCCATCACTCATTTTACCAAAACTCTTTCCACTGGTAGTTAAAAAAAAAATATGTGATATTTATTCTGAATTGATAGTTTGTTGTTTTCACTGTCTTTAATCGTTATTTTTTGAGAGGTTTCACATTTTAATTGTTGTATTTAGAAGGTTTAAATCGTTCAAGTTAAGACATTTTTGTGAATTTCTACTTTAACACCCTTATAAATTCCTCTGAATATGAAGCCCTCTCGCTCTGAAAATACTCTATGACAATGTGCCTTCACAGTCAAAATGAAGTTTCGTGATCTTTGTCGTAATGTCTGCACGCCTAAGTTCGAAGCTATCTATCTATTTACTCATTTAGAAAACTCCACTTCCGCTGCAAGAAATGAGATTTCTTGCCACTAGTGGTACAAAGATACCATAGAAGGCGATAAAATGTTAGCCATGACATGTTCAATTATTTATTTTTTGCCACTGAACTAATTTTTTGTTTTTTATTTCACTGAATTAATATACTGTTAAAATATGTATATTCAAGATGAAAAAGATTCCACTTAAAAAAAAAAGAAAAACAGGCTCTCAGCCATGAACTTATGATGTCCTATTTTTCACTGTCTGTAATCCCGCTGTGATATTTTGAAATGGTTCTTGTTTTTTTATTTTCGTTACTAAAAAATTTCACTTTTCTGGGATGTGCGATCAAGTTAGGGGGATCACTTTGAACTAAGTTATGATGTCCATATTTACCTGGGGGAGAGGAAAGCTGATAAGACGGTTTAATCATGTGGCGAACCACGGCCTCTCGTTCGTTTACCAGTCCATGTCGGCAGTGGCGCAACCAGCGGGGGGGTTACGGGGGTCGTGTCCCCCCCCGTTTGAAATTCGTTTTTTTTTATTATTGTTCTACGTTCAAACAACGTCCTTCTACGGTCATAACAATCCGGTGAAAACTACTTTTTTCCAGTGCTTTATCACCTCGACGTAATTCAACACCGCCCGACTTCAATCATACCTTTTTGCTGTTAGTTACGTAATAATCGCTATCCCCGCGTATATTTTTGTATTGAAATTGAGATATGTTACCTCAAAAAAAAGTAGAAATCGCGCGCTGTCGATGCGAATTGAAAGCGACAATAGCATAACGCTATCTCTCTCTCTCTTGTAACGATTACTCTCGTGCTTCATCATCTTGACGCAATGTAACGCCGCCCGTCTTCATGTTATAATAATGCAGTGGAAACTCTGAAAATCTGGATACGAAAATTATTTTCGGAAAAATATTGCTTCGATTAACCTAAGATTTTCTACATATGAAAGGCCGAAAACCGAAAACGCGTACACATCCTACCGCCCCCGTCCACGTTCTGATTTAAAAACATTTCACAATTATTTCATTTTTTATCGCAATCGAAAGCAGCCATGTGTGGCACGGCAATAACTAACAGTCGTCGTGAAAGGTTTTCCATAAACTCCGACTTGAAGTGCTTATAAGACGTCGAGGACGTATTTGGTTGAAAATTTTTTACATTTGTTATCGTATATTCCAATTTAGTCAACATAATATGTTGTGCGCCTCGCCTCGGCAATAAACTTAAAAGCGAATCCTGCCCTAATTAATTGTTTTCATCCTCAGTTTCGATAGTTATCGAACTTGACGGGAAATTTTTTAATTTCTTGCAATCTATAAAATAGCTTATAAATATTATTTGGTTTCTATCGGAGATTTTATCGTTATCCCGACGTCGTTGATAACAATATCGTTCATTTTAAGTTGGAGGTATTGGTTATAATCAAAAAATTATAACACATAACATGGGAAATTTAAATCAACTCCGACTCAAAAAGTAAAATACATTTTTCCATCTTTATTCTCCATTATTGGCAGACAGAAATTTGGGAATCGGGTTTAACTAATTTGATTATGATGACGATGGTAAACAAAAGTACACAAACATACCATACCGTTCTTATTTTTTAGTTGTTATTTCTCTGTCCTTTCTTTCTATGTGCATATTAAGACCATAAAACGTGTTTTATTTTTGAACTCTGCGCTGATTTGAATATTTCATGTCGGCTGTTATGTATTTTTGTTTGTAACTTAAACTGAGCGATGTTGTCATCAACGCCGGATGCCGACGAAATCCGCGATAGATATTAAATACTATTTAAGAGCTATTTCATATGCGCTAAATTACAAGAAATGAAAAAATTTCCTGTTATGTTCGGTCACTATCGTAACTGAGGATGAAACAACTAATTAAGACACAATTTGTCGAAGACGCCTAAACCATCTTGACTAAGTTAAAATACACATAAGAAAATATTTTCAATCAAAAACGTCCTCGAAGTCATATAAGTTCTTCAAGTCGGCGTTTATCGAAATTCTTTCATGTCAGCTGTAATATATTGCCGAACCACACATGGACGACGACGCTAGGATATGTGCGCCATATTCGGGATTATTATAAACACGAAAAAACAGTATTTGAAGTTTGCGATATTTGAATTTAAATTCGATTTGGACATCCCTGCATTAAATTAGTCAGTTTTTAGTTGTGCTTCCAAAAATTAGTTGTAAATCAATTATTTTAATTGTTATTATGTCTTCCGGTGAGCTTCAGTTTAGTTTAGAATTTTTCTGGGGTTAGGGTCGGGAAAAGGTTCATTCGCAAGAAGTGCATTTTGTTTTTAGTCTTGACGAATTCACCCAACGAGCAAGGCGCGGCACGAGGGAAACACTGGAATTTATTCAAGCCGTGTTTCACTATCCACGAGGCGCAAAGCGAGGGAAACGTTGAGAATAATTAACAGCTTTTCGTTAGCAATTCGCTGGAATGTAATGAACGGCGTTTTGCTACCCACGAGGTGCAAGACATAGCGAAGCGCCGTTAATGAATGAGTGCAAGGTAAGCGAAAGGCTGGGATTTAATTGATGGCGTTTCCCTTTTAACCACGAGCAATTTATGGTGTTTCAGTGGGGCGACACCTAGTGGCGTTGCGACTTACGTCGTGGTTGCACTGTGTAAATTCCGGTCGGACCCCCCCGTTAAAAACGGCCTGGTTGCGCCACTGCATGTCGGGTATGGGATTAGCTAGCCAGTGTTGTTAAAACTAAAGAAAAATAGCTAGATGACCCGATAGATTTAAATTATTCCTGAACTGGCAGAATTCTAATTAAAAAATATTCTGCTCGTGCGTAAAATTATGACCGCATTCAGAGTAATGTAAGCATGCATGAAGAAATTCTATTATGTTCAATTTTCCACTAAGTTCATTTCGCTGTGTGTGAATACCTGATCAGCTTTATTCAAGAATGATTAATAATGAATTGAATTCACTACAAGGTGTTAAAAAAACAACGCAAAATTAACAGAAGTTACGATGAAATGCTACTAAAAACATTTAACGACTGGCACCTTTTAACAGTATCAAGTAACAGTGAAATGCCATTCAAACATTTCACGACTGATGCTTTTTAACATTGTCATGACAAAAATTTTTACCTCGATTTTGCGCAACTTTTTCAACACCCGGTATATATCCATTGATTTTCTCTGATAATAACTGCTTATCCTTTTTTCTTGCTTTTGCTGGGGTTTCTAAAAAAGGTCTTGTTTCAAGTAAGGATATATAGGTTGTCCATAAAGTTATAAAATTTTTCAAAATTGCAAAGAGAATATATCGATACCATATATTGTTTCGGTCCTCCCAGATATATTAAACAAAGTGAAAATACTTGGAAACAAATGCTGATTAAAAACAACAAACTTGATTAAGATTTATTGAGAACTGACTTCATAACAAATTTAAAGGGACTTTATGGACACCCTGTATAGGATAGGATTTACATATTTATCCCGGGGGGAGAGGAAAGCCGATAAGACGGCTTATCCATATGGGGAACCACAGCCTCTCATGCGGTTACCATTCCAAGTCGGGTATGGGATTAGTTATATTGTTTGTTTTCGGAAGCATGGACTTGGTGGTGGAGGAAGCCGTAACCGACCAGCGGTTACGCGAACCACCCAACGACGTCGAGGAGTCCAGTAATCTTCTCGCACATAACCATCCCTGCATGGGATTCGAACCTGCGAACCCACGCAGAGTAATTAGAGGTGCGGTGGCGAGCGTATTCGTAACGCTTAGCACGATGTGCCACACTTGTCGAGCCGCGTATATATTTTAGAGTTGGCATGTGGTTAAAGTAAGTGTATGAAGTTGAATTCATACAAGTGTGGGAGAACATTTTTAAGACACCCATTTTACGTTGGTGTATACATATAATGCAATTAAGTTATTCAAGTGTGGTGCAGTTAGCTATGCACATCGTTATAGAACGACATTGTGAATGTGCTTTCTTACCTGGACTGACGAGCCATGTAAGTGTGGCGTGAAAAATACACTTTATGAACAATATTTACAGTGTTACACAAGCAGAAGCGGAAAACAACAAGCCATGTGTTGAAAATAAATTTAATCGCAATCTCAACAAATTCATTGGCAGCATCAGACGGGCCAGATTGAATCACCCAACGGGCTGGATTCGGCCTGCAGGTGGTAGTTTGCCCATGACAGAGCCAGATTCTTGAATTACTTTGCTTTACTAATTCATTTGTGCTGTGTGTTTCAATTACTTGCCTTGCAAATGAAATTGAAAAAATATGATTTTTGTTTTTTTTTCGTGTATTCCTGGCAGATATTGTGTTTTTTTTTTGGGGGGGGAGGGGAAGATATATTAAGACAACCTTATCCCATGGAGGAGGTCACCCCTTTATCCTGGTGGAAATCACAGCTAGGTATAGTTTTATATTCTTGGGAGTGAGGGAGCCGTAACTGACCAGTTCTACAAGAAAGATAGGGGTTTGAGTGTCCCACTCTCCTATTCTGAAATGTAACAAAAAAAGCAATTTTTGTAGCTTGTGACGATTTTAGACCGCCAGGGCCACATTTGCTGAACCGCTACCAGTTAGGCATGTCAAGGATGGGTATTCAGGCCTTCACATCTTTGAGGCGAGTACGGCGACCTTTTCGACCGATTTCGCATGCAATCGGCCATGTATGAACGAGTAATAAAGTCACTGTATAACATATCTATGGTGGCCCATCGTTGTCACGTGTAAAATTTAAAAAAAAATGAAAAAATAAAATGAAAAAGCGAAAATAAAAAAATAGTTGTAAAAAAACATAAAAATAATTGAAAAAAAAAAAAATTGAAATTAAAAAAAAAATTGAAAAATAAAACAAAAAAAAAAAATTGAAAAAAAAATTAATATTAAAAAAAAAATTAAAAAAAAAAAAAATATTGAAAAAAAAAAATTGGATAAAAAGAAAATAAAAAGGTTGACAACGATGGTCCGCCTCGTGGCCCATCGTTGTCACGCGTTTTTATTTTTGAAAAATTTGATGCTGCTTGGGACCAACGTTGTCAGGCTTAATCCTACACGCACAAATGTGTTTCCTGGGTTTCTAACTCACTACTGATTTTCACGAGCAATATCCAATAAATTCAACATGAAAATGTTCTATAAATTCTCCATGCTACAAGTTCAACCACAAATAATATATTTATAATAATGATAAGAGAATATAGAATTGGATACGAAAATTTGTTTTTACGTGTAGAAGGTAATTTAATTAGAAAATGCTGCTTAACTGCTCAGACACTCGTGCGATGCCGGTATGGTACCGTCTGACCGTACCGGTACCCATGCAATCACTCGTGAAAGAATGGGAGATACGGATAGTCTCGTAGAATATAGTCTACTGAAACACTCTCTGCGCCTGCCCCATACCGTACAGCCGTAACGTACCGATCCAGACAAATGATAAATCGCCCGTGCTCAACCATTTATTTCAATCCATACCTCGACTCACTATATTCTACTAGGATTATGGTATAGATTGAAATAAATGGTTGAGCACTGGCGATTTATCATTTTTGTCTGGATCGGTACGTTACGGCTGTACGGTATGGGGCAGGCGCAGAGAGTGTTTCAGTAGTCTATATTCTACGAGACTATCCGTATCTCCCATTCTTTCATGAGTGATTGTATGGCTACCGGTACGGTCAGACGCAAAGCGACTATAACCGACTACCGGTATTTGGTAAGATGGTACGGTACCGGCATCGCGAGTGTTCAGACAACTGAGTAGTTAAGCAGCATTCTCCAATTAAATTACCTTATACACGTAAAAACAAATTTTCCGAATTTTCGTATTCAATTCTATATTCTCTTATCATTATTATAAATATATTACTTCTTGTTGAACTTGTAGCATGGAGAATTTATAGAACATTTTCATATTGAATATTGCTCAAGAAAATCAGTAGTGAGTTTGAAACCCAGAGAACACATTTGTGCGCGTAGGATTATGCCTGACAACGTTGGTCCCAAGCAGAAGCAAATTTTCTAAAAATAAAAACGCGTGACAACGATGGGCCACGAAGCGGACCATCGTTGTCAACCTTTTTATTTTCTTTTTATTCAATTTTTTTTTTTTAATTTTTTTTTTGTAATTTTTTTTTTTTTTTTTTTTCGTTTTTTTTTTTTTTTTTTTTTTAATTTTAATTTTTTTTTTTAATTTTTTTTTAATTATTTTTATGTTTTTTTACAACAATTTTTTTATTTTCGGTTTTTTATTTTATTTTTATTTTCAATTTTACGCGTGACAACGATGGGCCACCATACATATCTGATCTTCTACGGGCCGAGGAAAAACGCTATACGACAATTGCGTACCTTTTCGATGTTAAGACACCCTCCTTTGTTTATGACAACACAATAATCGCGGAGGGGGTGGTATCAGGTATCTCATTGTGATGAAACAATTAGTATTACGACGACACAATTAACGGGTCATTTGGCGCGAAAAGTCGTCTTCAGAGAAGCGTTTTTAAAAGCGGATCAGATTATTTGGAAATTAAATTAATTTGAAAGGATTTTTCACGCTAATTGGGCCTGAATATGCTATCCCGACGCAAGAGACCGGTACCATTCCACCATAGAGGTTTGGTTGCCCCCAGGACTGGAGTAGGAGGGCCGTTGAATATCAAAGGAGAGACAGTAGCCGTTCCTGAGGAAATTAGTGAAGATAGCGCAAGAGGTGAGGTTATTTTGAAATATAAATTTTGTCTAGGATTGGTGAATAATCAGATATTTTGTACAAAGCCGCTGACACCAATAAAAAAAATGTGAGATTTAAGAAAAACATCCATGTCACGTTTTGAAATACCAAACGAGAATATCGGTCGGAGACCGAAGACTTATTCCGACCAACCGCAAAAAAAAACTAATTAATTAATAACTCTCTAATTATACGACATAATTTATCAAAATCAATATCTTTTCTGGTCCGAGATATGATGAATGCACATGCAAAATTTGGAGCAGATTTAACCTTGCCTTCGTGAGATATCGCGTAACATACGAAAGTGTCTAACAGACAGACGAACAAATACCTATCAACATACTTACCAATCTTTAGATTAGTACTAATTAGTAATTATCCAGGTAGGAATGATTTAAATTTCGAGTGCAATCTTTATTCCTAGCCCAAACCAGATAATTACTATTTTTTTATTTTGAGCGGTGGCGGGGATTCGTACAAAAGATTAGAATAAACTTAGAAGTTTTGATAGGAACAAAGCCTTACGAAAGTTGTCAACTCGGAACTCACGTGGTCGCTATACTTTTGCTCAAAAATTGGGCTTTACTTCTGAGTGAGTTATCTCGGAGAAAAATCCTACGAGTGAGTGCGTGTGGTCTCGCCTTGTATTGAACAAAAATTTCGTCAGAAAGACCCGTACAAACCAAAGTGACTATAAATTTAACCGGACGAGAGGCCGTGGTTCGCCATATGGATAAGTCGTCTTATCGGCTTTCCTCTCCCCCGGGATAAATATGTAAATCCTATCCTATCCTATCCTAAATTTGTTTTATAGTCACTTTGGTACAAACATAGCAAACAATCGTCGACACCAGGGGCGTGTCAATTGCCAAGTTAGACTGTAACAACTAGCGGGGAAAACTTGAAGTCTTCAGTGTCTAAAAGCGTTTTGAGCTATCAAAAATTGCTATGCATGATACATAAAAATGTCACGAGGTCACGACCCCGGAACCGGAAAAACTGTATCACCGACATCTGTCCCTGGCTACGGCCGTAGTCGACACATATAACTTGGTAATGCATTGGTACTCCTTACGAGGCTCACAAGACTAGAGGCCACTTTTTTGTAAGGAGCTTCCATGACTTTAGAACTTTTAATCATAACAAAGCCCTGTACAAACTTCCACTGGGAGAAAGATTGAGATAAAAAGGTAGTGGCATCAATAAGTAGCAGCTCAGTATCTATCAGTAGAAGCTTGAGCAAAGCCTTATTTGGAGAGAGGCATAAAATGTTGTATATAAATGTTAGCCACTCAAGTTTCAGTGGATACTGATTTTTGTTCAAAGTTGATGGGCGAAATGTCGTATATTGTATATATATATTACTACCCCCATAAAAATAGTTTTCAACGTACTAGTGGCTGCTAGTACTAAGTTTTTTCGGGGCTGTAAACTCATTAAAAATTTCTATTGCCAGGCGCCTCTATACTTCCTTCGTCACGAACCGAAGGCGGGACTCAGTACCAAGAGACTACTAGCTTACAGCCATTTATTAATGAAGAAATAGCCGAGGTCACGACCCCGGAACCGGAAGAAACTGTATCACCGACACCTGTCCCTCCACAACCGACACCGGAACGACTTTTCAGGTCAGTTTCTAATGAACTTTCATACCATGGGTGTTTTTTTCTTTCTGTGGGTATGGGATGTCTATGGCATAAAGGGTTGTTAAATGAATGGATGTTACCGTATATTGCTATTTCGTAGATTGTCTCAGAACTTGCAAGTCACCCGTTCACCCTTCAGCTTCAACGCCCACGTGAATGAAGATGCGTTAAAAATCTCTATATGTTTTTATTCGTAAATTTCCACAACACACTGAATACTAATCTTAAAACATTTATCCACACTAGCTTTGAATGGTTTACAATTTACATCGTCTTCTCTCTCCTTATCGAAAGATATCGGAGTCGTATTTATACGTTGATCATAAATCCAATTAAATGCTGTAAACGTGAGCTCGTGATTCACGTTATAAACAGAAACTTCTATTATCTCAATAAGGGTAATTAGGTACATCGTACGGATGGGAACTTAGAGATAATTATTTCAATCAGTGCCAAAGGTCTTGAGAATATAAGTTTTAATTTAATAATGACTGGGTGGAACATGTTATGTTTCTTAAACTGGTGTAATTTGATTCCTACGAAAGTCTTTGTTCGAATTTTAGGAAAAATTAACTTTGTCATGATGATTTCAACATGAAATGGGGTACATTTGGGGGTTAGTTGCTATATTATCTCCCCATCTTACTAACTGGAAGTTTAAAGATTTGGCACCTCTAATAAATTGAAAATATATAGAAAAATACAATACACAATGCTAAAATTAATGATATAAGTCAAAAAAAAATATTTAAATGTATATGATCTATAATGAGACAAGACATTGAAATAAACAGGAGGTTATAGCAAAGGGTAAAAGTTGTAAAGTAGAATTACAGAAGGATGGCGTATTTTTATTTTAAAAATTCTGGTTTGAACGGTTAAAACAATTTTCAATTCAATGTATTTTGCTACGCTAAAATACTCAATGCTCGCATTATCGCATTGTTACGATTTTGTAGACCTAGTTGGTCAATTTATGCTTGTCCCATGTCGGGAAGAAAAAACGCGTTGCGACCTAGTTGGTCTATATATGCTTGTCCCATGTCGGGAAGAAAAAACGCGTTGCGACCTAGTTGGTCTATATATGCTTGTCCCATGTCGGGAAGAAAAAAACGCGTTGCGACCTAGTTGGTCTATATATTTGTCCCATGTCGGGATGAAAAAAACGCATTTTTAAGTTTATGCCATCTCAGGGCTTTTTTGAAAAAATAACGCTTTTGGATACAATTTTTGTTTAACGAGCTTATTATTTCACCGTTCTATATGACGGCTTTGTAAATAATTAAAAGTATGACTCGCTCGAATCTACTTTTAGAGAGCATTTTAATAATAACGAAATCTATTTAATCGAAAATGAATGTTAACCACAAATATTTAATAATATAAATCTCTGAAAGGTATTTGGAATTAAAATATTCAAAGTTTTACCATTAATTAATTTATAAAAATTGAAAGTCGAATGAAACGCCATGTATATATATAAGAAGAAAAAGAAGTACTTTACCTTAGTAATAGTGGAAGAATGAAAAATATCTGTTTCAATGAGGAGAAAAACCTGCAAATCATGAAACAAATTGTAGATTTACATCCTCCTGATCTGTATATCGATTGGGTACGCGCGACAATTCCTCTCTCTATTGTTCGGAATAGAGCGAGTAATTTACCGTAAAACAGTCCATATAGTTCATTATTTTCAACAGTTCGTTTTTGATTAGGTTTTTCACCTCGAACATATATCATGTTCTAAAAGAGTTCATTTCGATTGTTCGACAACACAGTCCATATTCATGATTTTAACGTTTCCATAGTCCGTTACCATAGTTCAATTGTTTTCAATTGAGATTATTGTCTTTTCATAATGTTTTTGATTATTGCGGCTTGATAGCAATTTGATCCTTCAATCGTTGTTCCAGGCAATTTGAATCTCCCCGACGTTCGTAAGTTGGTCGAATTTGATTTTCGCACGTTTTGTAGAGACGGTTTCTCGGCAATTGTTGAAAGCTTTCGCTTGGTCAGCTTTTTGGTTGATTCCGTCAAATTGTTGCTTGTCCTGGTTGTTGTCCGTTGATCTGGTCCGTTTCAGAAGGTTAATTCAAGTCGGTTTTGTCACCATTTATAGCATAAATGATTGGTAAATGAATGTGATATTACCGTATATTGCTATTTCGTAGATTGTCTCAGAACTTGCAAGTCACCCGTTCACCCTTCAGCTTCAACGCCCACGTGAATGAAGATGCGTTAAAAATCTCTATATGTTTTTATTCGTAAATTTCCACAACACACTGAATACTAATCTTAAAACATTTATCCACACTAGCTTTGAATGGTTTACAATTTACATCGTCTTCTCTCTCCTTATCGAAAGATATCGGAGTCGTATTTATACGTTGATCATAAATCCAATTAAATGCTGTAAACGTGAGCTCGTGATTCACGTTATAAACAGAAACTTCTATTATCTCAATAAGGGTAATTAGGTACATCGTACGGATGGGAACTTAGAGATAATTATTTCAATCAGTGCCAAAGGTCTTGAGAATATAAGTTTTAATTTAATAATGACTGGGTGGAACATGTTATGTTTCTTAAACTGGTGTAATTTGATTCCTACGAAAGTCTTTGTTCGAATTTTAGGAAAAATTAACTTTGTCATGATGATTTCAACATGAAATGGGGTACATTTGGGGGTTAGTTGCTATATGTCTTCTGGAAATTCAGGTCGCTTCGACTTGTATTTCTTCTCATATCTTTTAATTATTTTTCGACTTTTTCATGCTATCTCCTATTACTGTTAGCAAATTATAGGCGTTGCCGCCCGATATCCAGTATTGGTTTCTTTAATGACTTGCAACCTTCGTGGTCTCCTGTTTTTCTATCAAAATACTTGCATATTCTTTTAATTCCCAGCAATTATTTTATTTGACTCCAGTCACTTAGACGTTACCGTATTTGTGCCGTAGTTGTCATGGTTATCTGCCAGTCGGCGTTCGGAGTCGTTTGCTTAGTGAGTCCGGAAATATCCGGTCTTTTTAAAAATATTTCTGTCAATGTTAGTATTTTGGCGTCCGACTCCTCACTTTAGTACTATATTTAGTTCGATTTTTGTTCTTGTATAACCCAATGTTAGACTATTCATAGGTGTCGTTGCTCGATAACCAATGCTGGTTTATCGCGTCCCCTTTCACCCTGAAATGCATTATTTTCCTCTCTTTTCTTATCTCGTTCTGTATGTACAGTGTGTATTTCTTGGTGATAAAATAAATTACTGATTACTGATTACAAATGAAATCTAAACAACAAATGCATTACAGTCAATAGATTACACAACTCACGGTCAATTAACTTTAATAAAACTAGAGAACCATGTTAAAATAAATGGGTACGGAAGGAGCGGTATCAAATCTTTCACAGTACCGATGTAATCACGGTGCGCAATTTTAATTTTGATGACGTCATCTCACAAAATTTCGAGGTGAAAAACGAATTTCATGAAGCCCACAGATAGTTTTGAAATGAATAAAAGTAGCGCCCGAGCGTCTTTTTAGGCAAATTTTTTCGAGTTACACTCCAAGTTCGGATATGCGACTTATTTATTGTTTATTTGGGGTATGCAATAAGATGACTTCACAAATATATGTTAAATATGCTAAAATGTTAAGCTTTTGTTGCAAAAAAAAAATTAAACATTAAAGTTTCTGTAATAATGTAGAAATGACACCCGTCATGTTTTTGTTGACTCTTTCAAAACTTTTGCTATATTTTAGTTCATGGGGCCAGGAGATGGCAGCAGACGTTTCAGACTTGATAAAAGGGGGAGGCTCTGAATTAGTCCTCCCCACGTTGACTCAGGGACGAACCCCCCAATTTGCAATCCAAGGATCTCCTAGATCTAACTCAAGAATGCGAGCAGCCACTACCCCCGCTTCGAAGAGACTTCCTGGCATACCGGAACCAAATACAGGTGAGAGTACTCCCAAAGTATGTGAACCAATATGGCAGACACCGTAACGTAGTATGTGTACAAAGTTAGGGTTAGGCCATAATTTTATTCCAATTTTCTTTATTTTAGTTCTATTACGAGTTCGGAGACTAGCCAATCCTGTAGTATTAGTACCTGAAATTATGGCCTAACCCTAACCTGGTACACATACTATGTTCCGGTATCCGCCATCTTGTTCCACATACTACAGGAGTATCGAATTATCTATGGGATTTTCATATTTATCTCTGGCAGGAGCATGGTCATAAAGTTTTCAAGGGGGGTGTTGAAATTTCTGATTGCCAAGTCAGACCGTAACGGTTAGCAGGTCCGGCCGGCAAACATGGATTCAGAGCAGTGCTCTTCGACAGGGGGGTTCCGCCAGTTTATAGGGTTCCTTAGGGGTTCCCCGTTTTTTTTTAGGCGGAATCATTTCTTGCTTCAGCATGTTGATGCGTCGTTGCGAAGTTGTTTGAAGAGTGTAGACATGAGTATGAGAATTCAAGAAGATTGCAAACGAAATGCAAAAAGTAGTTGTTGGAGTAGAAATATTTGAATTACGAATATATGTTTTTTTTTTAATTTTGTTAATTGGGGTTCCATAAAAAACAAAAAAATTATCTCAGGGGTTCCACAATAACAAAAAAGTTGAAGAGCACTGATTTAGAGTCATAAGGTCCTAAAAAGCAGTTCAAGCTACAAAAATTCTATGTACGATACAAAAAATGCTTTTTTTACCTTAAACTTTACTTTAAAAGGAGAGATTCTATGTAGAGATACTAATTATCATTAAAACGAAAAAATTCATAACAGAAAATGATTTGTACTCACATTATATTACCATTTAATCAAGTACAAAATCGCAATTAAAGTTATTAAAGTCTTAGGGCGTTATCTACATGTACCCTTATGTTGAATTTTCTTTTTTTTCTCTCAGGAACAGCCATAACACCTTCAGGCCGCAAGACAGCTTTACCGCCCTACTATGTTAAGAGTTCTATAGATGACGTGGAAAGGTTTCCAGCAATTCATGCAAGCGTTTGGGTGAGTACTAAATTCACATGTTCGGTAGGATAAAATTTTAGTACGAAGTATGTGTACCAGGTTAAAGTTAGGCCAAGATTTTATTCCGATTTTCCTTATTTTAGTTCTATTACTAGTTCGGGGACAATCTGTGTTAGCCAACTGAATATACCCCCTATCCATAGGTTTCAGTCCCTTTACACAACTTGATGTAAAGTAGGCGAACAAAATTATGGTAGTTACCTCCTTATTGGTACACACACTTCTGCAGCGCCAAAATTTCTAATGTTTAACTTAAGGTGAGGAAATCCGACGAGACCGTTTGATTGTTTTGCAAACCGTACCGCGGTTTCTCATCATCAATGGTTAACATTAGAAAGATCTCAATGTGAACAGGCCATTCTTATTGTTCACTCCGAACAGGTCCGGTACAACAAACAGCTCTGTACCATTATTGGAAGTGCCTAACTATTTATCTGTCGCATTGTTGTACCACTGGACTTTTCTTGGCCAAGTTAGGAAGTTTATAACATTATCCGTGTAATAGACTGTAGCACAAGGGTGGCAATCTGGTTTGGATTGTGTGTCTACTTATCTATGATTGCGGTTTAGGGGACCCTGAATTCTGGCAACCCTCAAATATATATTAATTCATATTAATATTACATGTAAATTGATGGTGCTATACCTAATTGTCTCAACCTTATTTGTTCATCTCAGATTAGGATAAGACAAGTGGTGAACAAACTTATCTTTAATAGAATACAGCGTGGGTATAGGTGTAATACATTTTAGTTTTGTCCGAAGTCAGGCTTTCTTTGATAAGCAGTTCATAATGATATGATAAAGCATTTATATAGAAATTAAATATAATTAGTTTATTAAATATAATAAATTTATATTAAACGCAGAGAACTAAAGCTGTTTAACATTTATTTTTATTTGAGAGAAAACTGTAGCAAACAGTCATGCCTTGTTGTAATATAAACCCAAACTTAGCTTTGCCCAGTGATTCTCCTACACGCCCCCCTCTTAAAGTTGAAAAAAAAAATATTGAGGTGTGACGTCACACTTTAGTTCCTAACTTTATTATAATTGTGTTTAAATATTCAGAAAATGGCTTATATGCCTGTGTAGTTGGTCAGTCAAATACATGACACATTTTTATAAGATACGAATAGACATAACGCTATTAGCAAATATTTACCACTTCCGAAATGTAGAACAGCCTCCCACTCCCCCCCCCCCCCCCCCAAAAAAAAATGGAAAGCTGGCAGACATACTGGCTTAACCCTGCTGGAAATATAAGTAAAAAATTACTGTATGACAAGAGGTTTTGTCCACTTCAAAAATTGACAGTGCTTTGGCGTGCTTAAAGCTTTGATTCCAAAAATACCATCTCAGTCACATCCCAGAAATACTTGCCCCTTGCATAGCAATGGTTTTCAATGTTTGGAGATAAAAGTGTTAAATCAGAGATGAACATAGACTAAGCTAAGCAGACCATAGGACTCTCATCCGGTTATCAGTTCATACCGTGTATAGAAATTGTTAATCACAGTAATCTATACATAACTTCTAAGACTATTCAATTTAGCTACATTTTGGTCAAGCTTCAGTAAGAGTGAAATATTACAAGAGAGAGATATTTTCAGAACCCAACTTGGACTTGTGACATTGATGAAAAGTTGCCTTTTTCTGTGTGATTACGCCACCTTATCACTCTTCTTCTCCCTAAAAATCATTTCCATGTTTAAATGAGTGACTGCAGATTGCCTCATGATTATAAAGTCTTATCAATTGCCCTCCTTCCAAATAATTTATATTAAATCCTATCTCAATCTCTTGCTAGTATCATATTTCCTCAATGAATACCATTTAAATTGGCTGTATATTTTTAAATCTCCCTTCCTATTGTTATATAACAATAGCATGACCTGTGTATGTATTATGAGGTCGATAAAAGGGCGGGAAGTCTCACAAGAAGCAAACTTAATTGGTATGTATTGTGACGCGACAAAAACATATTTTTTTACATTGTTTTATCATGATTTATAATAAAAACAATAACTAGCATTGTGATCGAATAAAGATTCGTACTGATGCTACATTGTGAGAAATAATTAATGAAATCTTAAACTGTTGAGGTTACCGCAGGCCCTCATTTTTGTTGTGATGTCACGAATATTTCTATTGTTACATATCAATGAGGTTATTGCACAATTCATAATACCTTATTTAGGTTTACCTAAAACCAATGACTTGATTTGATGCGGTTAATTTGAAAAAATAAAATAAAATGTGGAGAAAATTGTGGGGGGTGTCACAAAACTGTTCAAACACTGGTGTCTCGAAAAGATTGGGCTCCACTTGCCTGTTGAAATGTAAAAAAAGCATTTTTTTGTATCTTACATAGCAAGTTTGAAACATGCTCCTTAAAACCCACGTTTGTAGCCTCCAGCCAGACTCGCTATTAGAAATTTCAGCGACTCATTTATGAGCAAAGTTAAGTGTAGTTGAAGTGTACTTTTTTTTCAGAAATTTATTCTCTTTTTTTGTAATTTTTCAGGCATCACGCGGAGAGAAAAGAGTCGAATATAGAGGCTTTGTTTCTGCTCCACCGGTTTCTGCGACTCCGCCCACGACAGCTCCGAGGAAAGGAAGTCCGTTACGACTGAACACGATTCCTCTGAAACGTCCTTCTGCAGTGAATAAGCCAGATGACACGCCGGCACCGTGCTGGCGATGCGCTCTACATCTTGAACATTCGAAATGTGAAACTACAAAGTATATAAGGTGGGTAAACCAAATTTATCCACACAATCTTTTTTTAGTCCTTCAAACTATGTTTTGTGCGAGTGTCTACTTCTACTAATTTGTATTTTTGAGGGGGTGTACGAAAATCACTGGGCCAATTTAAGTTTGGGTTGATATTACAACAAATCATGACTGTTTGCTACTTCTCTCTATATTCCACCTAAGCTTCTCGGGAGTTAGTGACTGCTACTCAACACTGATTACTTTCCACTGCTATTTGTTCTCTTCTCTGATTTGTTGTATTTCAGTGGTGGATTTCGCCTTTCTTTATGAAGATTACATTTTGAGAGCAATTTTTCATTTCAGTCACTTTCTTTTGCAGAATTGGTGGTGGATTCCGTCACAGTTATTGGTTCGTCCGTCAAATGATCGAGCGAGCTCGAATTGAAGAGATGCAGAAACTGTCAGTACTACGAGGAGAACAAAGAAAGATCTTCCAAGAGAAGTTGATGTGGAGAATTGGCGCTGATGGAAAACGTTAGTATTCTGGGTTTGACTGAAACAAGGTGGCAAGGTTTCTAGTGGTTTCTGATGGTTTTTCACTGCCTCCATCTTGTTGTTTTTGTCTGCCGAAGGTCGTGAGGTATTGATGAAACAGATTGTTTATTGTGGGTGAACGCTCAGTGAACTGTTGAAGTGATGGATTATGTGTTTTGACTTTATTTATGTATCTGGAGCGCACATACCCGTAAAAAAAATCACATGCAATTGCATATCTTTCAAGTATTCAAGATTCGATTCGAAAAAAAATTTGATTCTGAAATCAATCAGGTATCAGAAAATGCCTAGCCCTAGAAATAAATCAGTCCTGCTCTCATGTGACTTATTGGCGTCTTGTCTCGTGTTTTACATTGTTTTTTATTGTTTATTTGGTGTTTGTTACATTGTTAACAAACAAACAGAATTTAAATGTCTTTGTCTTGTCATAATTAACATAATGAAATGCTATTGTGTCATCACAAAGCTTCTGATAAATCAATATTTTTCTACCCCATTTAAAACTCAGATTTGTGTTGGTGGGAGGGAAAAGAGATCTTGATTCCACACGGACACGAAATTGTTTAAAATCTGTTTTAAAGCTTTTTCTTGCACTGTTGCACAGAAAAAAGTTTCAAACAATCAGTTAATAGGAGACTATAGCAGTGTTTACCAACCTTTTGTGACTCAGGGCTTCCTTCCAGAAGATATTAGCACTCATGCCCCCCTCCCCTTTTTTTATCATTCTAGTTGTATTTATAGTGTTATTTTGAATGGTGTATTCCAAGTCCCATTATGTTCAAACAATTCATTCTCAACAAAGTGAAAACACTCTGTTAAGCATGAAACTAGGAAAAACACGTTTTCTTGTGAAGTGAAAAGTAAAATCAATCATGTTCTTTTCATGGTGGCCCCTCTTCAACTGTCATGTGGCCCTTTTAGGGTTCTTAGTTCACCCAATATATTAGGGTGTGGGCTTTGAACCCAAGATTTTAGTGTGTGATTTCATCATACATGCACTAAAATGTCTTTTCTCCAGGTGAAAGACGAATCAAGACATTTGTCCGAACCGCAAGTGGAAGAAAGATTGTAAAGTACCAATATGTTGCAGAGGATGTATTCGATGACATGGTAGGGTTATTGAATTGTGAATGAAGAGGCTTCATATCAGAGTTTGTGTGTCAGTTAGAGCATGGTTCTCAACCTTTAATGCCTTCCAGCGCTTTTTTTCACTCGTGGCACTAAAGTACCAATACGTTGCAGAGGATGTGTTTGATGACATGGTAGGAATTGTTGAATTATAATAATGAAGGGGCTCCAAATTTACCAATATGAATAATTCCAGTCATTTAATTTGGGTTCAAATTCGGTCTACTGGTCAGAACTTATAAGATTCTCACTGTCAAACTAACAATCCTACAGCTCACCCAGTGGCAGGGTGTGGCAGCCATGGCCATGGCGCGGCATTTGTACAGGGCGAAAAAATGGTGAAAAGTTTTATTGAACAAATAGTTCAATCAAATAAATTTAAATTGAAAATTATTGAGACTCAAATTTTTTCTCAAATAATAACGTACAAGTATCTCAATGCAATAACAGCCATTATAAATTGTCAACCGATTATCAAGAAGGGCACATTTTCAAACTTCGCGCTGGGCACTATTTTGATAGATATGGCACTTTGCTTGCCCAATTGCTTACTCCCGGAGTGGGGCATGTATGAAGTTTGCAACCAACTTCAATCTTAAATACTGACTGACAAATAAAGTCTGCCCATTGCTAGGCTCAGACACTCATCTCTGAGCAAATTTACAAACTGCTGAACTCACTAAAAAGTGAAGAGCAACAGGCGATTACTTAAAGTAGTCTTATCTTGCATAAAAACCTTTGATTGTGTTGTGGTAACTTTGATTCATGAATTTTAATTAATTGGAAGGAATCCGCTAACAAGTAGACGAATGGTCATTTCGTGGTTATCCTGTCCATTCTGGGCAAAGGCCTGAATATGTGTATATTTGCTCGGCGGTGTGGCGCATCGTGCTAAGCATTAGGAAGACGCTCGCCACCGTATCTCTGATTACCCTTCATGGGATTGCAGGTTCGAATCCCATGCAGGGATGATCATGTGCGAGAGGATTGCTGGACTCATCGCCGTCGTTGGGTGGTTCACGTAACCGCTGGTCGGTTACGGCTTCCTCCACCACCAAGTCCATGTTTCCGAAAACAAACAATATAACTAATCCCATACCCGACATGGAATGGTAACCGGACGAGAGGCCGTGGTTCGCCATATGGATGAGCCGTCTTATCGACTTTCCTCTCCTCCGGGATAAATATGTAAATCCTATCCTATTTTCAATTTTGCTTTATTTTTGTTGTGCCCGTTTGCCTAGAGGGCAAATAAAGAACGATTTGATTGATTGATTGAGCAGTTGTAAGTTATAGGCAGCCACTGAAATGCGAAAGCTCTATGAAACTATCAAATTATAGTGGTACACTACGTTTTGGCAAATACAGAATGACACAAGACATTGACGCAACATTTTTTCTGACAGATGAAACTCCGGGAGCAATCCTCTCGTACATACTCAACCCCGTATTGGACTAGAACTTGCTAACCTACCCACTTGTCAAAACAATCTGTATTCCACATTAAATCATATTTTCTGACAGATGAAACTCCGCGAAGGTGGCTCAGAGTCAGCGAAACGACGTTTGCAAGAGAAACTTGCCGCAGCAGGTATTGACCAAGACCAACTAGACACGGACTGGGATCCCAATGATGTCGGCCTCGACGATCTAGCGCTAGACGAAGAAGGAAACGTTCTTGTCGATGAGTTTGGCGAACCAATTGATGTTTTTGATGAGGAAAAAGTACAAGTGAGTAAATTATTTGGTACTGTACTCCCAAAGTATGTGCACCAAGATGGCGCACAACCTGAACATAGTATGTGCACCAGGTTAGGTTTCAGATTGTGTGCCATCTTGGTGCACATACTTCAGGAGCATCATTTATTTTCCAACTCTTGCTCTGTACAAGTATACATGTGCCGTGTGACCCCATAAATAAGCCCTAGCCTGAATTTTAAAAATATTTTTAATATAGGCCATTCCCCTTAAAATAAGGCCTAGTCTACCTAGGTGATGACGCGAATTTTTTGACCCACTCAACAGCAAGAAATCTCTCGAACACGTTTCAAAATGATTGGTCATTTTTGAATAATCTATGCTTATCAGTTTTAAAATAAAAACGTTTATAAAATAGAAATAGATATCGGTTTTCATTTTTTATATTTCAAAATCTCGTAATTCCCCTCCTCACCATTTGAAATGTAGAAAAGCATTTTTCTGTGTCTTATTTAGGTTTAGTCTGTTGATGAGCGCTAGATGTTTCCAATCACTTTTTTCCGCCGGTTTTTCTTACCTTGAAACGCTTTTCACACCCGCATGACTCTCAATAACCACGTTGTCCAAGCCTTCTCTTTTGAAATATAAAAAAAGCATCTTTCTGTATCATACGTAAGATTTTTTGTAGATTGAATCGTTTTTTAGACCCTTAAGAACCATGAAAACACACGATTTCCAGAAACCGGACGAGCCTGCTTGCTGTTATGGCATAACTCGGCAAATACAAATTTTAGAACCCCCCTCCCCTTTTAAAAATTTCTGGCTACGACCCTTCTTTTTAGATCGCATGACTCTCGCAAATCCACAATTTCCGGTCCTCTGCCGGACTCACTAGCTGCTTCAGTCTGACAGTCCAAAATTTAAACAAATTTTTATTTTCAGAAAGCGATAGAACGTCGTCGTAAACAACGTCGAGGACGACTCGGCAGTGAAGATGAAGAATCTCATGCAGACAGTGGGCTTGCTTTTGATGAGAAAGAAGAGAAAGAAAGGAGAAGGAGGAGAGATGGTAAGAGTGGGAGTGAGAGTGATGAGGAGGAAGGAGCAACAAGGAGAATAAGAAAAAAAGGAGCAACAGGGTGGGAAAGTGAGAGCGACGAAGAAGGGCCAGGTGGGAGGGGAAAAAACAAGAAAAAAGGGGGTGGAGATTGGGATAGTGGAAGCGACGACGAAACTGGAGTAGGGGGACGTAAAAAGGGCCGCAAAAAGGGCCATGATGATGATGATAGTGCGTACTCTGGGGATTCCCAAGCAAAGGGGAAAGGCAAAGGAAAGAAAAAAGGTGGTCACCACGGAGACGGCGATTTCGACGACAGCGGATCAGATCACGGACATGGACGACGTCGCAAAGGCAAAAAGGGCAAAGGTCGTGGCGGTGATTCAGAAGATGACACTGATGACAGCAGAGGTGGACACGGGAAGAAAAAAGGACGCAAAGGAAAGAAAAAAGGGGGTGGGGATTACGATTCAGGCAGCGAAAGTGATGGTGGGGGTCGTGGGGGGAGAAAAAAGAAAGGAAAAAAAGGGAAAGGCAAATATGACGACGATGATGATGAATCTGGAAGTGACGGGGGACGACGTGGGGGGAAGAAAAAAGGCCGAAAAAAGAAAGGGGGAGGGGGTGATGACGAGGAATTTAGTGATGACTCTCAAGGAGGTCACGGCAAGAAAAAAAAGAAGAATCGACGTGGCCGTAAAGGAGATGAAAGCGGATCTGGATCGGATTACTCCGGGGAGGACGGTGATCGCAAAGGGAGAAAAAAACATGGAAAACGTCGAGGCCACAGACACGATTCTAGGAGTGGAAGTCGTTCAGATAGCGGTGGTGGTGGTAGGAGACGTCGTGGTGGTGGTAGGAGACGCCGGGGTGGTCGTCATGGTGATTCAGGATCTGATTCAAGGTCAGGATCAAGGTCGCATTCTAGGTCAAGACATAGAGGCAAAGGTCGTCGACATCGTCACCACGGTGATGATGATGACTACTCAGGGTCAGGTTCAAGGTCAAGATCAGGGTCAAGATCACGAAGGCGTAGAAGTCGGCACAGACGAAGAAAGGATGGTTCTGATTATGGGTCAGGTGGAAGCTCGTATGATAGTGGCGACTCACGCGGGGGGCTTCGTAGACATGGAAAAAAGAAACATCGCCACCGACACCGTGGACGTCATGGTTCATCAGGTAGCGAAGGTGATAGTGGCAGCGACGAGGAGGGCGGACGTCGAAGAAAACACAAAAAACACCGATCTCGTCATCGCAGACGTAGCGGGAGCGCTCACTCAGATTATTCAAGTCGAACGCCATCGGGGAGTGAAAGTGGGGACAGTCGTTCTCGTCGTAAAAGTCGACACCGTCGTAAAAAGAAGCATAGACATCGACATTCATCGGATGATGATTACAGCGACTATAGCGATGATCGTGACCGCAGTGAGTTGTTGTGGATAAGACAAATGCTACTGCCGCTGATCCAGAGGTCAAAGGTTAGATTGAGGTTAGGGGTCAGAGTAGATGGAGGAAAGAATTCAAGGAATATTTTCCACACGAAAATATCAAAAATTTTTTTTTTTAAATTTACTACGCAAGTTTAGGCATCTGAAATAACAAAAAAAAACTTTATAAGAGGATTTTTTAAATTTTGGAAAGTCAACTCCGAATTCTTGTTATTAAATGGTCTTCTTTATTACGATGCATTACCAATTTTTGCCTCCATGGAATCATGACTAATTCCATTCAAATTCACTGATGCTGCTAAGCCATGCTTAATGATGATTCTTGGGGGAATTTTAAAATAAAGTTAATATTCATCAATTGCACAGTAAGATCGAATAAAAAATTCCACTTTAGTTCCAAAACTAAAAATTAATTCCGAAACCAATCCGGTAAATTTGGCATCAAATTTTTAACTTTGTTTATATTATAAATAGAAGAGATGTTATAACAAGAATATGAATAATTGAGACCTGACCAGACGCTAAAATTGGTACAATTTTTGAATTTATTACTTTCACAAGTATTTATAATGTTATCACATCAGACAGTTTGACTTATGAATCACCAAAACATATCCTGCACTATCATCTTTGACTTTTGATTTTTTTTTATAAAAGGAAAGCTATTTAGTCAAATCTTTGAGTAAAAATAATGGAGAGTTAATCGAATGGAATAGTGTAGTCAGAGAAGAAAAAGGTGGGAGTACAGGCTTGATAGAATATCAGTTTTAAAATCGCAAATGCGCCGCCTCTGCTCTTCCCGCAATGCAGTCTGTGTTTGGTTTTAAATTCCAAGTCTAATAAGAACATGAAACTGAAGTATTTTCCCTTATTTCTGGTTGAAATCTGAATTTTGCTTCTAAATGATTTATACCGAATTAAACCTTTTTTCATTCGTTAGATACAAATTTAATTTTGCCTCGAAAAATTGTAAAACTTTGTCAGTGGCGGCGCATCTGCGGTAGGATCAGCAAGCGGCGGCAATTGTTGAAAACTAATCCTATGCGTGTGTTACTAACAAATTTTAGCGGTGTATAAAAAATTTCTCTTATAAAAAGTCTATCCAAAAAATTCCCTCCAGGAATTTGTGAACCAAAGCAAAGTGTGTGGTCATTGTGAAATTTTTTTGTAAAAATTAATTTAAAAATATTTAAGGTATTATCAAATTTATCAAAATCATGAAATATTTACATCCAATTTTGAAAAGATAGTTAGTTTTGGCAATTTAAACTTTTTTTTAAAACTTATTGAATATTGATTTTCCAAAAAAATTCTCATTACAAAAATAAATTTTGAAAATTTAAATATCAAAATCTAGTCGAAATCTTTTCTAATAATTTTATTCTTATCTCATCAGAATCCCGCAGACGAAGACATAGACGTCACGGATCTTCAGATCGTAGTGGAAGCGAGACAGATGACAGCGATAGATCGAGAAGAAGAAGCAGGAGACGCAGGAGAAAAAGAAGAGAAGATGATTCTGGTGGATCGTCAGGTGAGATTCTTTGAATGAACGAGAGCTCTGTTTCGTAACAAGCTACTACGTTTTTTCTATTTTGGTAATGGTGGATCGCAATACAGGTTTGAAATTTTTCAAATTTGATCAATATTTTGTTTTTACATGAGTTGATGTTGTAAAAAGTTGTAACATGACTTCCGTTGAGCCTTTTCGCTTCCCAGTTTGAGGGCTCCCAGTTTAAAGAGGCGTACTTTAAATTATTTTTAAAAACCATATTTCAAATGCCACTGATTTTGAATTCGTTTGACATTCCATGTTGTACTTCCGCATCTTAATACAAGTCCTTAAATGCAGTGTCTTGCACTTGTTCCAGCTTTTCACTGCATAAAACTTTCAAATTTCTTTTTTAATGGATTATAGCAATGATAGGTCTTTTGAATGTTGCATTACCTCAAATAGAAGTGGGACGATACTTTAGTTAGGCACAAGAACCCGGATTTTTACTGTGTTATGCCAACATAGTTGCGCATATCCCCATTCACATGCCATTGCTCCAATACTATCCAGGACGTGTCTAGAGGGGGCCATTCGGCAGCCTCTGGCAGCATGTTGAAAGCATGAGTTCTACGCTCAGTTTGACGATTTGAATTAAATAATACGAACATTTCATTCTCACTTGAAATTTTACATATACTCATTTTTATGTGTATAATAACATCTATAATTTGTTTATCCCTCGAATTATTTTGAAGTTAGGTATAAGGGGCATCATTGTCAGAAACTCGCCTCGAGCAGCAGAAAAGTTTGACTCGCCCACACCCAACCCATTACTTTCATTATCCCCCGCCTTATTTTGAAGCTTTGACTCTTATTTTTATTTTTATCTAGGTGATAGCGATGACAGCAGACATCGAAGGAGACGCAGAAGACGTCGGCATCGTTCTGGATCAGGAGGGTCAGACTATTCCTCTGATTCTGATGTAAGATTTTCATACTTTTTTCTGGGAAAGGAAAACTGATGTGACAGTCTACTTATAGAATAGGAATTTTATATTTATCCAGAAGGAGAGGAAAACCGATAAGACGGCTTAATCATATGGCGAACTACAGCCTCTCATACAGTTACCAGACTATGTCAAGATGCAGTGATTTCTTCACACACCCCTATAGGGGGCGAAAACTCCCACCTAAAATTTCGGTGACAGTACATTTGAACCCACGTACATTTGAACCCATGTGTATATCCACTGGTTCAATCTATATGCGGGTGCTAAAACCCATGGGTTAGGGTTAGTATGGGTTCAACTATCCGTAAAACAAAAACAAAATCCTAGGTACAATAGCATACAGGTGCAATTGTCATGGGTTCAAATGTACGTGGGTTCAAATGTAATGGAACCAAAATTTCAGATACCCTCACTGGTTTTAGGGTGCGATACCACACTTTAGTTCCTAACTTATAATTGTATTTGAATATCCAAGAAGCCGTGTTATATACCACTGCAGATAATCAGTCAAACACATAACACAATTTTATAAGTTACAAATAGTTTTACCACTAATAGCAGAATATCTCCCACTTCTAAATTTGAAACTCTCCCTCCCTTAAAAAGGAAAAGCTTGGGAGCATATTGTCAGAATGAGAATCATCAGCCAGCCATTTGTCCAAATGCAAAGACTTTGACCCTGGCTGCAAGTGATCGCCAGCTCTCTAAAACCAACATATGCGTCCAATAGTACTGGGATAAAGTATTTGTAGCGTATCAAGGCAATACTGTTAAGGAAATACCTTGGTACTTTTACTGCAGTTCCTACTACAGTGAATAAATGCAAACTATTTTTGTTTTCAGAGAAGTAGACGCCGTCGCCGACGAAAACACAAACATCGTGATGGCAGTGAGGACTCTGGGAGTGAATCAGACCGTAGCCGTCGTCATAGGAGACACAGACGTCATCGTCGCCATGGTGATGATGACAGTTCTGGTTCGGAATCTGATAGATCGAGACGTCGAAGGCATAGAAGACATAGAAGAAGATCTTACAGTACAGGATCAAGGTGGGTATGAAGGAATGGTGGTTCTACTTCAATGCTTGCTTACTCTTTGTCAAATTTCACAAAAAAATCCTAATATTCTGAGACAAAATTCTCTTCGTAGAACCAACTATTAGGGTACACTACTCTTTTTTTGGTTTAACTCGAGGTTAAAGAATTTTAACGTAACACGTCATACCACATGTCAAGTATAATGTCGCACAACTAGTTTCTTATTGATTCAGTTCTTCTCGTTCCCGCCATCGAAGCAGAAGAAAGAAAGATAGACATCGACGCCGAGGTAAATATTCCGATTCTGATACAAGCTCTTACAGTGATGATTCGGATGATTCAAGAAGAAGACACAGGAGACATAGAAGGCATAAAAAATGTAAGTTTGCTTTATTCGTATCATATATATATTTTTTTTATCCACTATATCAGTGGCTCCCAAGCTTTTTGTTTAGCGGGCACCAAATTATCAGGTTAAAAAACTTTTGGCGCACTTACATGGGAAAAAAAATTCTGCTAAAAAATACTAAAGAATAAAGGCAAAAGATCAACTCGTCTTCCTCATCTTTGCCTGATTTTTTTTGGAATGCTGGAAAAATCACACATGTTTGCTAAACTCGGTTTAACAGCAGATAAATGAATTGCAGATCCTGAAATGGCAGCAGGTAGTGTCTATCTTTTTTTTTATGTAACAATAGAGGTAGACAACTACGTAACAGAAAGCGAACGACGTAATTTGAAAATATGACTCCGAATCTAGTGAAAACAACCAAACTTCAATTTTAAAACTCTGGTTGGGAATCATTGGCTTTACAAGATGATTCATATTCATCATTGAGGTTTAGTAGTTTTCTAAATTTTTTTCCAGATTCAGACGATTCAGATTCAAGTAGCGATGACAGCAGACGAGACAGAAGGAGAAGAAAAGATAAAAAAGGTGGGAGGAAGTCTTGATTGAGTTTTGATTAAACAAGTGTTTGTCTATTTCAGGAGTTTTCAAACTTTTGGTGTTATGATGCCTGAGAAGGTTGACTAATATTTACGAAGCCCCCACGATAAATTTATGAGAAAAAAAACACATTGATACCTTCTGATTAATGTTCCTGAGTAAACTAAAATTATTTATCTGATGACTCAGATGTATTTGCTGCTTTGTATTTAAAAAATTTTCAGTATTTTAATAAGTAAATGAATAATTTGCGGAGATTCGTAGGTTTCTTTGACAGAGTCCTGAGCGCTGCGTGGAGCACTTTGGGAACCTGTGGCCCACTGAAAAAACTTTCGACAAGCTCGAATAGGTTTAATAGGTAGAAGTTTATTTCGATTACATAATTAGCAAAGCAGACGTTAAAATAATTGTTGAACAAAATAAATAAAGCTGATAATAGAATCAGCAGAGCAAATAAAACCCAAAGTATGGTTTATAGCGTACAGAATTCAACTTGGAAGATTCAGATGAAATACGTGGTCCGTGTTGTATAACAACTGGTCCAGAACCTTGTTTATAATCAAGATGTAAAGATTTTTTAAAATCTAGAAATAAATAACTTAGTATTTATTTTATTTGTGAAACTTTCTATTCAATTTATTCATTTTTTTTAAAGATCGCCGACATCGCCGTCGTTACTCGACCAGCACAGAAGAAAGTTCTGCTGGAGACGAGAAACATTCGAAACGAAAAGACAGGAAGAAGGACAGAAGAAAGAAGTATTATTCTGGTCAGTGCTGTAAACTCAGTTAAATGCATAGTTAATAAATGCGCTTAGCCGAAATTTGCTGCAATAATCCACTAACAGAACTGGGGATACTCGAGTATTATGTGTACCAGGTTATTTTACTTCTATTACAAGTTCGGGGACTGTCTGTGTTAGCACCCTGCCCACAGGTTTCAATTCCTTTACACAACTTGATGTAAAGTAGGCGAACAAAATTAGTTACCTCCCTATTGGTACACAGACTTCTGTACCGTCGAACTGGGCACCCAGCTTAACAGAGCACTTTACAGCTCTAATGCCATCATTGAATATAATATTTTAAGAACTGCTTCATGTTTTTCAGACTCTTCTGAAACTGACAGCGATGATAGCAATCGAAGTCGAGGCCACAAAAAGAAGAAACGCCGTCCGCCTAGACCACCAAGCACATCATCGAGCGACCTCAGTTCCGAGGCTTCGAGTAACAAGGTGGGAGATTTATATTTATTTGTTCGAAGCAACGTCACTTACTCAGAAGTAAAGCAGGCTCATGCTCATCTCTGAGCAAAGTTAAGCACTCACTCAGAAGTGAATGAGACTCATCTCTGAACAAAGTTACGGGCACTCAATCACAAGTAAAGAGGACTCACCTCTGAGCAAAGTTACGGGCACTCAATCAGAAGTAAAGGAGACTCATCTCTGACCAAAGTTAAGCACTTACTCAGAAGCTAAGGAGACTGACTCATCTCTGATCAAAGTTATGGGCTCACACTCAGAAGTAAAGGAGACTCATCTCTGAGCAAAGTTACAGGCACTCACTCAGAAGTGAAGGAGACTCATCTCCGAGCAAAGTTATGACCACTCACTCAGAAGTGAAGGAGACTCATCTCTGAGCAAAGTTATGCGCACTCACTCAGACATAAACAAGACTCATCTATGAGCAAAGTTATGCGCACTCACTCAGAAATATACAAGACTCATCTCTGAGCAAAGTTACGGGCACTCACTCAGAAGTAAAGGAGACTCATCTCTGAGCAAAGTTACGGGCACTCACTCAGAAGTAAAGGGGACAAATCTCTGAGCAAAGTTACGGGCACTCACTCAGAAGTAAAGGAGACTCATCTCTGAGCAAAGTTATGCGCACTCACTCAGAAATATACAAGAGTCATCTCTGAGCAAAGTTATTTGCACTCACTCAGATGTAAAGGAGACTCGTCTCTGAGCAAAGTTACGAGCACTCACTCAGACGTAAAGGAGACACATCTCTGAGAAAAGTTACTTAAAAAGTATCATCAAATTAAGTGGATTGGTGAGACTTAACTGAGTGATTGCCTTGACTTGATTATGAATTCACAGAATTCAACCCAGGACTGTTAAGCTGTCTTATCAGCTTTCCCCTTTTCCAAAATATACATAATAATTCCATGTGACTATTGTCTATTTCATAGCTACGGGGAATGACTAAAGAGAAGCGAAAAGAGTACGAGAGACGCAGGAGAGAAAAAATTGAGAGAAAAGAAGAAAGGCAAAGAATGAGAGATGAATATGAGAGATATCAGGAGAAAAAAGAGAGGAAGAAAGAACGGTAAGTTCGACTTTTTTTGTCTGAACAAGAGGTTGCCCATGTTTGCAGCTATTTACATGTGCTTGTTTGCAAATACGATTCCTAATAGATTAACTGGGTGAATTTATCCTCATTCTAAATAGAGTACCCACCGGTTTGAAACAAATAACTGGCTAACTAATCCCATATCTAACACTGAGAGGCCGCAGTTTTCCAAAGGATTGAACTTTTCATCAGCTTATCTCTCTCCAGGATGAACAGGTGACCTCCTGGTACCCAAACGAGACGCCGTGGTTCGCAAGCTGTCTTATCGGCTTTCCTCTCCCTTAGGATAAATATTAAAATCCTATTCTATCCTATGGAATTTATTCATTATTTTATCCAATCACTTACACTGTTTGTCTGGAGACTTTTACGGAATGACGGTGTGCAACAGCTTTTCAAAATATATATTTTCTTAAATTTCAGGAGAAAAGCTCGTGAGCGTGGAGAACCAGTGTCAACGTCTTCTGAGAGTGATTGGGGGGATGGAAAAACGGCTGTAAAATATGGACGAGGAGCGAGGAGAGGACATGACCGAAAAGATTCAGATGACTTCAGAGACATTGGATACGATGATCCGTGAGTTGATAAATATTTTTTAGTTTGATTTATCTGAAATTTGCAGTCATAATTCACATTTTTTGTTCTCCTTCGGAAAGGACAACAGCTTTACAATGCCCTAGATTTGAATGAAAAATTTTAATTCTGTGTTTTTGATTTACCTTACTTCTCAATTGCGATGACCACACTCCAAAAACGGTACTCCCGTAGTGTGTGTACCAGGTTAAGGTTAGGCCATAATTTTATTCCGATTTTCCTCATTTTAGTTTCATTACTAGTTCAAGGACTATTTGTGTTAGCCAAGCCAATATCACCCATGGCCATATGTTTCAGTCCCTTTACACAACTTCATTTTGTTTACAATTGCTTTTTGTCTATGATTGTCTTTTCCAAATGAAACATTCTTTTCATGCTAGTTCTTAGAGCGCTGCAGAAGTGTGTGTACCAATATGGAGGTAACTAATTTTGTTCGCCTATTTTACATCAAGTTGTGTGAAGGGACTGAAACCTATGGGCAGGGGGTATATTCACATGGCTAACACAAACATTCTAGAACTTGTAATAGAACCTTAATAAGGAAAATCGGAATAAAATTATGGCCTAACCGTAATCTGGTACACACGCTAAGGGAGTGTCATTTTTAGAATGCATCAGATAGATGATCACACAAAATGCGTATCTTGTATCAATGGGTAACCCCAAAGTATGTGAACCAAAATGACGGACACCGTAACGTAGTATGTGTACCAGGCTAGGGTTACGTCAAAATTTTTCCAACTTGTTTTAGTTCTATTACGAGTTCAGGGACTAGCCAAATGAGTCTCGTAGTATTTGTACCTGAAATTATTGCCCAACCCTAACCTGGTACACATACTACGTTCCAGTGTCGGCCCTCTTGGTTCACTTACTTCGGGGGGTACTTTTTATATGTGCCTAATCTATTTCACTAAATAGTTTTTTTCCATATTCAGTAATGATCCTTGGAAAAAGAAAGATAGAAGGAAGCATGAAAAGAAAAAGAAAGACAAAGGAAGGAGGGGGGATACCGGAGCGGGGAGTTCCGATGATATTCCCTCCTCAGAGTCAGAATTTGATGAAGTCACTGGAAGAAGAGTGAAGAAGGATAAAACTAAGAAAAAAGGGAGAGGTAGTCATAGTAATAGTCAAGTTTATTTTTTCCATCCAGTAAGAATAACATAAAAAATTAACAAAATACAAAATTAAACACCCATTTCCACTGGGGAAGGGAAGTCGCGGAGAACCAGGATTGGTTCATGAGCAGCGACACACACGGTTATGATAGAACTTGTCGTTTTGATGAAATCCACTTTAGATGGGTAGATTTCTGGAAAATGAAGTCTCATTGTCTGTGGTGTTCAGAGTCAGTTTTTCCTTAGTTAAAGCGGTTGACTGCTAGTTATAGCAGATCACCTCAGGGTATTTTGTGTTTTTTTTAATCAACATATACTTAACGATCAGTAGAGGTTGCGCGAGACTAACTCCCAATCCTTTCTCTATGCCTTTGCGCTAGTGGATCCGTATGCATGTAATGCAAGGATGCTGTAGCAGGAATAAAATACGATAATATGCAATTCAAGAGTCCTGCTGCACACTAACACAAATATATTTCTGTAACGTTTCGTCTGACCAAAATCAGACTTCCTCAGACTTGCTTGTCTGAGGAAGTCTGATTTTGGTCAGACGAAACGTTACAGAAATATATTTGTGTTAGTGTGCAGCAGGACTCGTGAATTGCATATTAACATATACTTAGTTCGACTTAGTTCATGTTAAACTAATTTATGAGTACTGCTGCTTGATAACCAGTATTGGTTTTCTGCGTCTCCTTCACCCTATAATATGGCCTATTTATAATTTATTGCAATTTGTATGTCTTGTCTCTGTTTTCAGTATAATGGTAATTCAGTACAGAATTGATTTTCTCTAAGTTATAAGCGAGAGTTGGAGCTGAAATTTCCTTCAACCTGGATTTGAAGTCAAAATTTTCTTCAATTAAGAGTTTGGATTGTATTTATAAGACTCATAATTTTGAATCGGAGCTGTCCTAAGTGTCTTTCATGCTGCGATTTTGTTTTGTCTTTTGTAATATCCTCGGTATTATTCACAGGTGATCTATCCTCTGATAGTGAAGTTGAATCAATTTATGAAGATGTTTTCAATGAGGATGGTGAGTTGTTGATTGACATTGCAGACCTTCCATTTTATTTCATGAAAGAAATCTGAATAAACAAGACTCTAAATATGCATTCGCAGTTATTTAAATTATTACTGGTTTCGAAACAACCAGAATTTTTCGTTTAGACCAGGGGTTCCCAAATTGGGGGTAAATACCCCTGGAGGGGTAATTTAGCAATTATAAGGGATAATTCAGCCTTTACCTTAATTCCTTACTTTTGACTACATTTAGTCGATGAGCCTTGTCATTCGACTCATGGGACCATAATAACAATACTTCGTCGTAGCATCTTAAAGTATGATTGTCATGTTTTATCAAAGAAACATTGCTAACGATATGAGTACAGTATTTTATGAAAGGGGTAATTAACCATTTGTTCTACTGGGTAAGACATTGCAAACCAAACATTCATTTCGGTTCAGTCATGAAAGTCTAGGTGAAACTGCCAGAACAGCATTGCATCAAAATAATATAAAAGGGAAAATTCCTAATTCTAAAAAACCTTGGCGGGTTTGCCTTGCAGCACCTTGTCGAGGATATGCTGTTCTTGCGTAAAAGCGTTGTGTTGTGGTAACTTTGATTTCATGAGTTTTATTCATACATCTATTGCAAGACCAAATGATCATTTCGTCATTATCCTGTCCATTCCGGGCAAAGACATGAATATGTATATATTTGCAATTTGCTTTCATTTTCTCGTGACCCTTTGCCTGAGTAGTTTATAAAAAACGATGTGATTGATTGAATTTTCTTATCACCAAACATTGAAAGTCTGTTTCAATCAAGATTCCCTTCTTATTATCAACATATTTTATCACGTTTCATATCATTAATTTTGATTCAAAATGCTCTCCAGGAACTGTTGGAAGAAAAAGATATCCGAGTTATGTGCACAATACATAAAGTAGTGCATGAATAGGATGGACCATGGGTCATGTTTCTGACTTTCTGATTCTAAACATTCTGTTCATTCTTTTATTTTTTTATATAAATGTGGATTGTGTTTTCCGGCTCGACAAAAAACAAACTCTCTCTCTTATTATGTCTCCATCTTTCTATTTATAATTTTGATTCAACTATTCTCCAGGAACTGTTGAAAGAAAGAAGATCCGGGTTCCAAAATCCAAGAAGAAGAAAGAGAAAATTTACGATGATGATGAACTGGATCAGGAATCTGAATACGACTCCATTGATAGCGCTGAGGCAGATAGAATGATAGCCAGACAAATATGTAAGGATTACATTCTTTTCATCATCCGATATACCATCTGAAACCAGTGATTTCCTGACACCCCCCTATAGCAGGTGGACACTCCCTCTAAAATTTCAAACACCCCCCCCTGATTTCAAGGCCTGACACCATACTTTACTTTTTAACGTAAATAAATTTGTATTTGAATAACCAGAAATTGGCTCATATGCCAGTGGAGATGATCAGTTGAATACATAACACATTTTCATAAGTTACAAATTGTTTTATCACTAATAACAAAATATCTTCACCCCCTAAATTTGGAAACACCTCCCCTGAAACAAAAAGCTGGGGAGCGTACTGATAAACAATTATCTGGTTAACAGCTCTCATGCCTGGCATGGGCTGGTAACTATACGAGAGGTCAGGGTTCACAATATGATTTAGCATTCTCATTGAATTACTACATTTAAAACATCGTCGTACTTACTTTTTATCACAGGTGTCGCTGCTCCACAACTTTGTTTTTTTCGCGTCACCCTTCACCGTGAAATGCCATTTTCATGTTTTTTTTTCAAGCTTTTGTTTGCATCAAGTGTATTTTCATTTTGGTAATAAAATAATAAACTGACTGACTACACTACGGGGATAATAAGAAATCTTGACATCTTACTCCATGTTGATAATAAATGAAGCACAACCAGTGTTGCTTCATTTATTATCAACATGAGTTTACCTGGTGGCAATCATCCACTATCTTACTCTATGTATGGATACATTATTTCAGGCCATAATATCAGACATTAAATTGAATTCAATCGTAAATAATAAATAAATTCTTCTTTTTTTAGTCTGGTTCACTCTACATTTTGTTTGTCCGTTTTTACCTCATGCATAGTATTGCTTTGTACTAAAACCTGCCAATCGTCTATCAAGTCCAGCTACTCCCGTAGCATGTGTACTAGGTTAGGGTTAGGCCATAATTTTATTCTGATTTTCCTCAATGTAGTTCTATGGCGAGTTCGGGGACTGTCTGTGTTAGCCAAGTAGATATACCCCTGCCCATAGGTTTCATTCCCTTTACACAACTTGATGTAAAGTAGGTGAACAAAATTAGTTACCTTCATTTTGGTACACATACTTCTGAAGCGCCCAAACCATGCATCTGAAAACAAATATCTAATCTCATACCCAACACGAATTAGTAATCGAAAAAGGGGCCGTGGTTTACAATTCGATTAAGCTGTTTTATCGGTTCTTCTTCCTCGAGATAAAATGTAAATCCTATCCATTCCTAGTCGTCCGTAATTTCGTCATACTGCAATAAACTTTAACAAATTATAAACTATTTTCCACAGATGATAAGGACGGTGAAGTAATCAGACTAACTAAAGATGGCCGCCGAATCAAGGATGGAAAAATAAGTAAAGAAGTTTTCGACTTGGAAAAACACAAACAGAAGAAGGTATGTGTTACATATTTTCATGAAGTAATGCACACCACTGTGACTTTGTGTGAGTCAATTCCAGTCACAAGTAATTCGAGTCTCAGGTCAAATCTCAAGTCCCTAAGTCGAGTCAATCACTGAGTTAAGCGGCACTGGGGCTCGGTTGAGTATACATCATTTTCACAGGCTACAATGTTTTGGAAGGACTATATATAATATTTTCGGTTTTGTAATTCGGACCAAGGGGGATAGTTAGATTCAGATTTTATTTTCGTCATGCAAAAGCAATATACGATATGCAAAAATAAACAAAAGGCATATAACAAATTACGAAGACGGATATCGGCTTGTTGCAATAGACGAGGGATCGCGAAAGACTCAAAGAGTCATCCAGTCAGCGACACCTTGTAGCTGCATTGAAGCAGCAAATATAGCAACCGAACAACTCAATAATAAATAGTCACTAAATTCGACACAATCATATATATAAAAGGGACAACAAAAAGAATGCCTTTAAGCTGCTAATGCCACAATGACCACGAAAAATTACCTAAACATTCACTTAATTAGACTCAATTACAAAAAGGAACAACAAAGTTTGAAAAAAAAATACAGGATGTCATATAACTATGGAGTATTAGATATTTACAAGACCACAACAGCTAGCGGTTCCAGACGTCGAAAAACATGATTTTTAACAGTCTTCAGGGTCCAAAAAGCGATTCAAGCTATGGAAAATGGCTATGTATGATGCGGAATTTTTTTTTTTACGTTTCAAAAGAGGGGTTCCAACTCATAATCCCCCTGTCCCCACCTAATCAATCGTACCCTGGGCGATATGATGGCCAAGTTGATATTTACCCTGTGGTGCTAACATAGGTAAGCCCGATACTTTGACCATTAGGCTCACACACCCATTTCAATAAGCTATGCTTGTGAATTATAAGATATATATAACAATACACAAAAAATATAAAATTGTGCCTGCTTGTTTAGAGCCTTTCTCAGGTACAATCACCTATTTGAAAAGTCCTTTTAATTCTGAAATAATATTTCAATTCTCACAGGAAAAGAAAAGGAGAGAGAAGCAACTTCTTGAGAGAAGTTATGAAGAAGAATACGTCGAAGAATTCTTAGATGAAGATGGACAAGTTGTTAGAGTTGTCAAAAAGGTAAAATCTACATTTGTTTGAAAGTTTAGTCTAAACCAGTTGTTCCCAAAATTGATTGACGAGGGGCCAAAAATAGAAGCAGAAGGATATTTGTGGGCTGGAAGAAGGGAGCGCCACTGGCAAGCGGTCGATACCAGTACGTATATTTAGGATACCAGTATAATCGAATTGTGACAAATATACACATGCTCAAACTGTGATAATGACTTAACAATTGGCGGCATCTGGTGTTAAACTACCTCACTCAAATTCGACAGGCCATATTGAATCGTTACCTCGTAATTGACCCGAGGGCGGCGGTTTCAGATCCACTGGTCTGAACAAAGTTGCAATCACTCAACTACGAACAAATATGGAAGTGGAGAGGTCACACAACAAGATATTGGCTGATGTGTTTATCATTGATTTCAGCATCCAGAGTATCCCTCATATAAATGTCTCAAAATATTGTGTTTCTCATTCATTTCTGAGGGTATTTCTGATATAGGATAAGATTTACATATTTATTCTGGGGCAGAGAAAAGCCGATAAGACGGCTTAATAATATGGCAAGCTTTGGCCTCTCATCTGATTTCCAACTCATGTCGGGTAAAATATTAGTTTGACAGATATTTCTTTTCAGATGCATGGACTTCATACTGTCAACATAGCTCCCAACACAACATGCTCCCAATATAATCCAGTGTCTCTCTTATGCTGAACTAAATGACCAGCGTAAAATATATATACAGGGTGTCCATAAATCGACTTTACAATTTATATTTTGTTATGAATTCCCTTTGCAATTTAAAAAATTTCAAGACGATATGACACCCTATATATCGGTTAATATGACATTTTGACATTCTATATTTCTCATGATTCAGAGACTGAAAGGCCAAACATTACCAGGCAGACGTCCAACTACACCTCTTACTGGACCAAGACGTGTCCAAGTCCTATTTTTGAAAGGTGGCAAATATCTTCAGGACAGACTCAATATGCTTCTGGAAACTTGCACTCTCAATACTGCGGATCCTAGAAAAAGGCTTCGACCCATCAGTGCCTCTAGTGACGAGGGAGCGTTAGATCTTGATGAAAGAGGTGATTCGTATAAATATTCTGATAATTGTGTACGATATTCAAGAATCAATGGAGTGTAACGGCTCGGAATAATCTTTACATAAATGATAGAAGATAATTCTGCCAAATTGCTTTAACTTTTTCTTTGAAGCATTGAAATTTAATTTATTCTTCTTAGCATATTTGACGAGAATTTTGATGATCCCAAAGAGGTTTTCATATTTGTGTCATAATTTAGAGCAGTGGTTCCCAACCTTTTAGGGCTTATGGCCCCCTTCCGGAGACTTCTACAACTCATGGCCCCTTATTTATCACTCCAGTGGTATTTAGAATGTTATTTTGATTGACATATTCCAAATCCTATCATGTTTAAACAGTTCATGCTCAACAAAATGAAAACATCTTGCTAAATAGTCTAATCAAGCAATGAAACGAGAATATCGGTTGGAGACCGAAGACTTATCGATCGATAGTTAGGGGATTCCCCAAAACAGAAACTGCAGTTTCGATTCATCCGCTCTTGTAACTTACGTACTGCGCATCGCACACACACACTCGGCGGGTCTCAAAATTCTCTCGCTTTACAAAAATCTAGAGCACTATATCAATAATTGATTGATAACTCGCTAATTATACGACATAATTCGACCAAAATAGGCTTCTGGTCCGAGATAAGATGAATGCACATGCAAAATCTGGAGCAGATTCAATCTCGCTTTCGTGAGATATCGCGTACATCTAACAGACAAACAGACAGACATACAGACAAATACCTATCAAGATACTTACCGATTAAAATCGATAAGTAACTAGGAAGAACGGGGAGTCAAGGAATTTGTGCCTAACACTTTGGCGCCTTTTCAAGTGCTTGGAGGCCACTGTTTGAAAATATCAGCTCAATTTTCTTCAACCTTCACATTTATGACAAAAGAAAAACATTTGAAAACTATTCCAGGGCGTTTGAGCGTCGGGACCCCCCCCCATTTGACATGTAAAAAAATTAAAAAAATTCTGTGTTTTACATAGCATTTTTCATGAATGGAAATGAATTTTAGAACCTCAAGACACTTAAAAATCCATGGTATCCCTGCTGTTCTGGTCTAACTTGGCAGTTAGAAATTTCAGAATCTCCCCCCTCATTGAAAATCCTTGGCTGAATCCTTGCCCCTGAAACTATTTTCGAAAACTTTTCATCACTTCTAGATGTCACTTCTAGTAGCGAAAAAAAAACATTTAAAATTATTTTATTTTTATCACCTCTAGATGGCAGGATAGATTATCTATCTCACTACCGACTTGTAGAACCAGAGAAACTGGAAACCTACGGTAAAGCCTTTGTCGTGGAGGACACAGACGAAAACAATGTCTTGAATCTGAATGAAACCAAGGTTGCCTTGGAAGGCATTCCGACTTTACAAGGATTAAGTCCCAGACAGATGCATTATATATTGAAAGTAAGTTTCTTAATTTGTTTCTTAGATGTGAAGAAGGCTCTACACCAGTGGTTCCTAAACTGGGGATAATTACCCCTAAAGAGGGGTGATTCGGCAATTTGTAGCCCAGACATTCACTGTTTCAACAATTTTTTCTGTAATTTCCGCAGTTTTGAATAGTCTGCGGGAAAGCTGGGCATTCAATGCCTAGTCATCTAGTCACACAGACATACGAGCAAAATAACAATATTTCGTTGTACCATATTTTTAAACAATATATCTCGTCAATATTTCTTAAAAGTGTATTTTTGATGATTATCTGTTATTTAATAATAATCTATAAAATATTTATCTTCTGAATCTTATGCTATTCATCATCTACTGTTTAACCTTGAAAATCTGCTTTTTTATTTAAGATTCTCGGAATTGATGATGCAACTCTCGTTACTTTCAAAATGTTTGCCGTTGTCTGTGCTTTGTGTGAAAGATTGCTTGAAGTTGTTGAGTAAGTTTTATATTTTGCATTTAAGGTTCCAAGTTGTATTTTTATAAAAGTTTGTTCAAATCAGCTTAATTACCCTCAGAGTGAAAGAGTGCTTGTAGAAACCATTTATATGCTATATACCAGTGGCCCCCAACCTTTTAAGATTTTTGGCCCTCATGGCCCCCTGGTTGTCTTTACAGTGATATTTATAGTGTTACTTTATGGGTAGTTTACGAATCAAACAGGGTTCAAACAATTCAAACTCAGTAAAGTGAAAACACCCTGTGAAATAAGTAAAATTAATTTTGCGTTGAGCATTGTGTACCCCGCCAACTTCTCCCACAGCTGCGAATCATAACTACCGTGTATGCTCGTTTCATCACCTGATCTTGATTAAGAGCCCGTTTGAATAGCCGCCCGTGTGAACAGGACATGAAAATAAATAAGAGCCGGTGCTCGAATACCCGCCCGATGTAAAAGCTGATTTTTCAGTGGTAGAGAACAATAGGAAATAAGAAGCGCTTTTGTCACAACTGATTAATGTCGTCAAATATTTGTCTTCAAAGATACCGTAAATTTTGTGTATAATTTTACTTTAAAAATAACAAGAGCTCGTGCTTGAATAAGGGCCAGTTTGAAAAAGGGCCCAGTTAGTGAGTTTGGTTAAAAAAATATGGGCCCGGGCAACAAAACGAGAAAAAACGGTATGTACAGTTTCATAGCGAGATTCTTTGCACTGTCTTTCTTTTCTTGACGGCTTATCTGAAACCTTCTTCATAGCTAGTAGAGATGGGACGAGTCCGGCATTACAAAGATTCGACGAATCCGAGTAATAGGTCAAGGACTCGAATCGAATCCTCCGAGTCCGTGACGTCACAATATAAAAGTAGAAAAACACGTTTTTGGCCATACTACAGTATCGCGCGCTCACAAACATACGCTGTAGCTCATATTTTTCCCTAATGAATCCGCAGATAGCTGTTGAATCAATTTGAAAATATATTTTTCTTCTTTTTTGGCGGCCACAATATAAACGTAAACGTGGGTCAATGTGCGCCTTGGCTGTGAACTGGATTTCCAGTTTCCTTGCGTCAATTTTGGGCGGGTAATTAAAAATTCGTACATGGCAATATGAAAAATAAAAAGTTTTTGACTACAATGCTTTCCCATAATTCCAGATATTTCTAGCCTTAAATTTACTATGTCGCGTGCGCAAATGGTAGAGAGATGCCACTCGTCGTCAATACAATGCTTGCAATTTAGTAATTCATGTAAACGTTCTAAAACTCTCCATGATTTTCATTGCTCTCTTTTAGAGAAAGGATTGCACGTACTAAACTGGATTTAAAAGAGGTATTGATGAGATTACTCCTTGGGCTGATCCTGCCCATGTTTCATATTTATTTACGCAAATCGAAAACTCAAAAATATTGCGCTAACACATATTTTATTGTGTACCCCATGTATACCAAAAGAATAGATAGTTTGAGTGATATTGTTACATATTTAACCTTAATTTCAACTAGTTAGTGTATGTAGTGAGATTTATAGGGGTAAAAGTACAAACATAGGCGTAAATTAGTAAAAACAGAATTAATTATAGACTCGGTAAAAACGACGTGGACTCGAAATCGAATCCGAGTCCAAAAAATGCCTGGATTCGACTCGAATCCGAGTCCGGATCCGAATCCCGGCCCATCCCTAATAGCTAGCACTATATTTAAAACAAACTAACAATTTTTGTTCCAGTGAACAGACTAAGCAGTGGATGGAGATTGATGATTTGATGGATTTAGAAAGGAAACTAGATCTTTACAGACAAATGTTTTATTGGAATATCTGCTCGGACAGAAGTTCTAACTACATTAAGGTGAGATTTTTGATGGTTGTAAACAACCAAAGTTTGGAAGGAGAGAGGAAATCTGATGATATGGCTCAATCAGATGAGAAATAATGACCTCTAGTCTGGTTTACCGGTTCTAATTAGGTATTTAACCAGTTGGCTTGTCAGTTGGATATGTTCCAGGTCGGAAACTTCATTGATCTATATTCAAGGGCACACAGATGTCTATTAAATACAAAAATATCATATTCTAATTACATAAACATGCGAGTTTTGATTAAAAATGTAAGATTTATCAGCTGTTATCATAAGTCATATCATGCTATTTGAATAAGTTTCAAACAAGATAATTTTGAAAAAACTAACAAAAGCCAGTCAATAGGACTTAGAAACTAACCAGAATGTTACAGTAGTTAAAAGAAAGATTGTTTATTAGATGCTGTTGTTATCTTATCAAATTCATCCTTATGTTATCTGTTATCTGTGATTTCAGGCCTCATCACTCAGAGTCGAGCTGATTGCTGGAGGAGTGAGTCGAAGACAGGAAGATGAAGTTATGGCGAGGATTGAAACCAACATTTATAGAGAGGTAAGCTTGAGTGCAGTGGTGCTCAAATGGTGTAGACAAATTTTTTTTTTGAGGAGGACGTGAAGCTAAATATAAATAAAAATATCTGATAGATTTGATCTTGTCCTCTTTATTTTGGATATTTAACTTTCTTATTTTGTTAGTCAAAAACGACGGCACCAATGAAAATAACAACAAGTTTAGCTTGTTTTAAAAACTTTTTATCTATTTCATCATTTATGTTGTTCCATCCATGTAGTTTTAACGTATTTTTAGAATAAATCATACTTTCACCTTACTATTTGTTATTTGTAGCTTATGGTTAGCTGTTTATTTCTGAGGTGGGCGTGAGACTTGACAAATTTGAAAAAGGGGGCGTGGCGTAAAGAATTTGAGAATCACTACTTTGAACACTTCAAGACAATATGATTAAAAAAACAGCTTTGAAGTAGTGAGTTCCATACAACTAAAATTATTTTAACAAAATTTTGGCGTTTTTAGGTATCTTTCTTAGACTACATGGCGTTCGTTCCTTTATTTCTCTGTGCTCACGAGAACATTGTAGAAAATCCACTGGATAATTCGAGAGACAAATTCACTGGAGAGAAAGAAAAAACACTCATACCTGAAAAAGACATGGTGAGTTGGCTGTGTTATGATTTTCGGAACATTGTGGTTGCCAGGTCAATCATCATTTATTTGTCAACACAATATAATTACATCACAGGAAATATATTGTGAGACATAAAGTAAACTTTATATGTGTGACAAGAGTCGCGAGAGACCTCGAAAGGTCTTCGAGCGGTAACACCTCTGCATATCACCAATAATAGCAGTGTTCTAAGCACTGGGGTTCAGAACACTGGGGTTTCGTGATAACTGCAGTATAAAGATTTATTTAATGATTGATTTTGTGGCAGCATTTCTAGCTCCTACCAATAAAATGACAAAGTACAGGTCGAGAATTGCCGTAGAGTCAGACCTACAAAAGATTGTGGCACCTATATGATTAAACTTTCTATTTATATTTGCTCTCGCTGGGTATATTTCAATCCTTTACTAAAAAAAAAGGTCGCAAGGAAGTCTCAATTCAGGATTCGCCCAGGGGTGTCTTCAAACGGGTTGGAATCCCCCTCTTTTGAAAAAAAAACATTTTTTTAAATCACACAGCAATATTTCAATGCTCTTTGGACGAGGGTTTCCCAAACTGGGGTTCGTGGACCTCTGGGGGTTCGTGACAACTGCACAGGGGGTCCGCAACGATATGAAAAAAGTCTGATCGATATTTAATGATAGATTTTAATCAAAGAGCCGTTGGATATTTTTGGTTGAGCGTTGCGAACGAATATCCTTTGCTGTCAGAAAAGACAATTAAAATTTTATTGCCTTTTGCAACGACCTACATGCGCAAGGCAGCCTTTTCACCTCTTATCAATATAATGACAAAATACAGGTAAAGACTTGTCGCGGGGTCCGATCTACGAGTTTGCTTGTCACAAATTGCCCCAAAAATCGATAAATTGTGCAGAGAAAAGCAACCGTATTCATCACATTAATGTCGTTTGTGTTGTAAATGAAACATTATCTTTACTCGTTGGTAGGCACAGAAATTAATACGACATAGTATTGGCGTCCGTCAAAACTAAGATTCACAAAAAGAGGTCCGATGCCCAAAAAGTTTGGGAAACTCTGCTTTACCATCATGACTCTTGAAACCAAAGCGTTTTCCGGCCTCTGTCCGTATTCGCTAGCTGTTGCTTACTTGGCAATTAGAAATTTCAGAATTTTTGAAAATTCCTGGCCATACTCCTATCTTCACTCATAATTTTGTATTCCAGGTTCCTCTTGGAAGGCAGATGTCAAGGAAAGCTGCATTGAGCATGGGATCTATACCAATACCTTACTTATTTGAGAAGAGGCCAGGGTGAGTTTTGTCAAACAAATCGGATAATATAGTGCCAGACCAAGGTTGTGCAACAGGCGGTCAAGCCTACCAAACCATATAGTGTGGCCCAGTGGCGTAGCATCCACCCCCACGGTCGTGGGAGGGCCCACAGCGCAATGGAGCCCAAGCGGTTAGAATTTAGAAATGTAAGCAGCAAAACCAAAAGCTGCATTGCAAAACCAGTAATGCACATCTGTCAGAATGATGTCGAAAGCAAAACCTCTCAGTGGCGCCTAAAAACGTAGAAGAGGAAAAACGTATGAAAAAATTGAAGTGACCAATATAAACGGCAAATTTTGGGTTACCATTGCCTTTTTATAGCGACATGTTATGCTTTTTGACGAAATAAAAAAAGCTATGTTTTAGCTTTATCCGAGAGTTCTAGGGTCATTTCCACGAAATATTTTTGCGGGGGGTCCATGAGAGTCTTGCTACGCCACTGGTGTGGCCCTCGTCACATAATTGCCCCCGTAGGGTTTGAACCTGTGAACCCACACCACCGAGCAGAATATTTTTCAATCGATTAGCTGAAAAGCAAGAGGACCACTAAAATGCCAAGATCCAATGAAGCTACGTAGGATTATAGTGGTGCATTACATTCTATGGATCAAATTGATGTCAACATGCTAGGTCATGCTCACATGGATAAAAATAACTTATGTTTTTGTCGCTGTGTTAAATTTTTTTGCTGTTTTGATCGGTGCTTATATTATTGAAAAGGCGAGCAATAGCTGCATTCTCTTCTCTTGCCTTTTCCGCGATGCTCTGGTATATGCTCAGTTTCCGTTTTTAAGTGACTCTGCTAAATGTGTTGCACTGCCATGGTCTAATTTATGATTTCCATTTTTTGTTTCAGTTCATCATTACGAAAGCGAATCAGGCTCTGTCTACCCAAACCACCAATTGAGGAGGTAGGAACACCGGACTCTATGGCGACACCTATAATGTCACCTGTTCCCCCCAAAGTCAGCAGATTAGAAGCTTTAAAGAAACGAATGAAACTATGACAGAATAATAAAACAAACATGAAGAAATATGGAACAAAGAATTGGCCATCACAGAAAGAATATTCCAGCCGAAAATATTCCATGTTCCCATTCATTTTTTCAATCTAGCGTACCAGGGACTATTTCACAATAAGCTATTCTGCTGTAAAGGATTAGAATGAATTTTGGCGATGTTTATATGAATGCACAACATAGTTTCAATTCTTTCACCTGTTTATGTGAATTGGAAAATAAAATTCAGCTTCCCTGACAATGAATATTAGAAATTGAAAGCATTTTCCAGTTCAAAAATATTCCATGTTCCCATTCATATTTTATTGGGGTATTCCATATGTTTTTAGTGATAAAACTGTTTGATGCAAAAACGTATTCAAATTAGAAGGGAGTGTATTAAATTAACAAGATAGGGGACAAGGGGACTTTAACACAATGGGACGTGTATTCAGTACTAATGCACTTATTCTAAGTAAATTTATTTTTAAAATGCTATGATTAAGTCTTTATGTGCTTCATTGAAATTTGTATTTTTTGTTTTACAACACTGTGAATAAACACCTTCAATAGTCTTTTTTTTGTAAATTTTTTAGCCTATTTTGTAGGCTTAGAGATTCGATCTATTCATGATTTTATGCATTTTCTATCTGTTCATTTGTCGTTTACCCTTCATCAAATGTAGAAACCAATTTTTTCAAAAGTATGTAACCTGTCTTTCCCAGTTCATCATAAGCGAAATAAGAAAAAGTGGCCAGACAGGCTTAGTGAGAGCGCAACAACATTTATTGCTGCAATTCGATATGAGTTCCGTGGCCACATTTGGCCATGTACTCAGGGGAGTGTCCTGAGGGGGCCATATGGGCAGCCTCCCAAGGTAGCACGTTATAGGGGTGAGTTCGTCGCCCAGTTTGATAATTTAAGTAAAGAAATACAAACACTCTTACGTAATAGTTGATTTATTTATTCTAATGTTTAACAACATCTAGAATTTGTTTAGCACCAAAATAATTTTTGAAGCTAAATATAAGGGGCATCATTATCGAAAAACTCGCAACAGGCTGCAGAAAGGTTTGACACAACCCTGCATGTACTTACAAAATTAACATAAAGGCAGAGACTGGAAGTCGGAAATCATTGATTTTTATTAATTTTGAAGATCTAAATATCGTTTGTATGATACAAAAAAGTGGACAAAATATATAAACCGGAGCAGTGACGAGCTGGAAAAGTTGTGACAACCGGAACGTAACTAATTCGTGGAAATGTAGTATATTCATAATCACAACGCGCTCGCAGACACTAACAGAAGCATTTGTCTGTCCTAAGATGGAGCCGAAGAGCTACATTAAAATATAAATAAATTATCTGAAGGTATATTTATAATTCAATACAAGTGAGGCCGTGTCTCCAAATGTTGTATGTTCATCCCGGTTGAAAAAAAAGTCCATATATGGCGAAACACGTCCTGTTGTGCGGTGACCGATCCATGTCGGGTATATCGGTATAAGATTATTATTTTTTTCACAATGGACAGAAAACAGCTTGCAAACTAACAATTGTCATACCCAAGAAGATCGTTTTATCGGCTTTACAATATCGGAATTGATACGAAAACTCTTAGAAAGAACTGAATCCATTAGGGTTTTCCCATTTGTTTCTTCGCATTCCAGTGTTTACATCACGTGAGAAAATTAACCAATGAGCAATCAGTGTCGTCTCCACATATTCACTCCATGTTTTGTGATATCATAAATTTGATTACTCATTCACTAAAGTGATTTCTATATCTATCGACTTCAAGCGCAACAAAATTTTGTAAAAATACGATAAATTTCGTATTTAAATACCAAATTTTTCATGGTTTTCAAAGGGTTCGTTAAATTTCGTCGTTTTACCGCCCAAAATATGCTCTCATTTGTGCAGTTGAGCGTGACTCGCAGAAGATTTACGTTTGTTTTTTATATTTCCAGTGTTCGACAAATCGATTGCTCTGCGGCTCTTAGCGGTAATTTGAGATAAATTCTGAAATATAAATTGGGATTTCGATGTTAAATTTTGGGATATAAAACGAAAAAGTATATAAGGCGAAAAATATCTTTCTCGACATTGAAATTTCCACTTTTGAAATTTTCACTAAACTCGTCTCGCGCTGCTGTGCGTAGTGCAGACTGGCATATGACATACGACTTCTATATCCCGAAATCTTAAGGTAAATGTTCATAACAAGAATTTGTCTTTTATACAGTTTTATAGTAAAAAATATTTACGTCATTTTTTTAACCAAATAGGCACCGTACCGGTAACGACGTCGTATTGTTCTAAATTACAGTCAATTTTTCTGAATTTTTGAGACAACGAGCAGTTAAAACGAGTGGAATTCGTTTTTCCGCAAAATGCCGAATATATCAAAACCTGAAAAATTGACAATCAGAGAATTGAAACAAGAGCTTGAAAAAAGAGGTTAGTAATTTAATTCATCTTCGAGTTCTCCCGGGAGGAAATTTATCTTCGGGAGAAGTACCGTACCGTACGGTAATTATCGTCCGTCTGTCCGTAGGGAGGGAACTTGCTTGTGATTGGAATTCAGCTGTTCTGTATTGCAGTACAGTCAGACAGTAGTACCGTACAGCAGGCTAACAGGGTGGGAAATTATTCAGATGTACAGTATTACATTGTTAAAGTATTTCGTACATTATTAACCTGTTAACTATAGCCTATACTGCTATAGGTACCATAACTATTAAGGTTACTGCTGCAGTGATATACAAAAATTATCAAATGATTATATGTTACCTTTATTTCAACTAAACAAATTAAATGTCCTATATCAAGTTTATCAGGTGGTTAAATTTAAAATTTCCAAAGAGACTGTTGGGTGTTGAAACCTTTTTTATTTTACTATCTGGGCCTCACCTAAAAGACTTTGCCGACCACTAGTAGAAAGGTAACTGTGTCTATCTCTTCATTTGCAGGTGTAACATTACCACATCCGCAGGCAAAAAAGATAGAATACGTAAATTTATATAAAAGGGAATTTAACCTAAAAAAAGAAGCCGGTTTTTCCTCAGACGACGAACCAACTATAAGAATAACAAGATCTAAGGTTTGAGTTAATAATTCCATTTTGAAAAGTTTGAATTTTGCAGAAAAGTGAATTATTCTAACTCTTGCGTTGGAGATTATGGGATAATCGAGTTATTAATTAAATTGCGCACATAAGCTGACCTCTAAAATAGACTCTAAAACAGTGAATTTATAAAAAATTGCATATAAGCCGACCCCATAAATCGTAACACGCTGTACGCACTGGTTGCAGGATAGAATTGGAAAATGATAACTACTCTTGGTATGTTTTACTTTTATTAATAACGACAAGAAGTGTCTTAAAATCCTTCAAATTCATCTTGACTATCACTGTCAAACTCTTTTCAGTCTTTCATTGTATATATATGCCATATAAGCTGACCCCTTGGTTTGGCAACTTTTTTCTTTGAGGTTTAAACTTGGCTTATATTCGAGCATATATACGGTACTATCAGTAGAGGTTATCCAATCCTTCCTCAATGCCTCTAGTGCAGGGGTCGGCAAACTTTATGTACTCGCGGGCCAACTATCAATACATCCGGTAGCGCGCGGCCCACATTATTTACCGCTCGCGAAGAATCGCCAACATTAAATCATGGGGCACTTGCACTTTCTACTGTTTTAAAAGCCTGCCAAAATTAGACGTGTATATGGCCTTTATTTAATTTACTATCAAGCAATACATTGTTCCTCTCTACTTATTATGAATGTGGAGGATGATGTTGTTTCTGTGTCATGGCCATAGCGATAAAATCAAATGCCAACTTTGTTGCCTTGCAGTAAGTCGTCAAAGTGACGATCTGGCAAGCGAGTACGAAGTTTATTCTTCGTTTCTCGCGCAATGTATTTTATATAAAGCTGCTCACAGCAATATGTGCTTCCAAACGTGCACATTACACGGTTTGCATTGGCGCACAGATGAGTTGAGGCGCAGTCCAGGGTCTCGGAGTCGAATTTCGTATTTGCGATGACTCGTTTCATAATGGCATTCAACATTAAACCCCTTAAAAACTGCGATGCTAACTTGGCATATTATAAGCAAACAAAACTGCGATGCTAACTTGGCATATTATAAGCAAACTGATTTTGAAATGCATAAGAATGAAAAATATTTTTCCGTTTAAGCACATTGGAATGTTCGACCCTTGTCGCAAACTCCCCTTCGTTTCTCAGACATTTTTAAATTTTAAAAATTATCATTAACTTAACTTATACTCACAACGACGTTCAGCTATATAGTAAACGACATAGAACTGACGCTATTTACTACAGTCCAAGCACTGTACAGCAGTACTTGTTACCACATGAATCCCAATTGAGGCAATAATAAATTTAATATCAACTATGTTTTATGCATTAAAAGTCAGGTCGTTCGAGGGCCGCATAAAATTAGTTCGCGGGCCGCATTTGGCTTGCGGGTCGCAGTTTGCTAACCCCTGCTCTAGTGGATCCGTATGCGTATACTGCAAGGATGCTGTAGCAGGAATAAACATGACTATACTGTGCAATTCAAGAGTCCCGCTGCAATAAAAATGAAGTAGAATTTTATAGTACAGAAAATATTGAAAAAAATAATAAAATTCACAACACCGTTAATGAAATAGATGAGCTTGCATGTCTCTCACAAAAGATTGACTCTTGGCTCCTTGGTGCTGATGGCGGGTCTCTGTACTGGCTCCAAATGTTTCAAATTTGCTCAATGTACAACATAAGTTGGTGTTGAAAAAGATTTAACGCGATCCTCATTGATCCTTCTCGTGACCCCCCCGGGGCCCGGAACCCCTAGTTTGAAGAGCCCTGACATAGTTGATGTATCTCGAACAAATAACTGGTCAACAAATACCATACACGACATGGACTGGTAACCGGATGACAGGCTATTGTTCGTCATACGATTACGCTGTCTTATCAGCTTTCTTCTCGTCTGGAATTATTTTTTAAATACCCTTTATATCATAGGCTCTCAAAGTGCTCCATACCAAGTCCCACGACGCAGTCAGAGAAACCTAGGGGCAAGATATTCGTTTATACCTATTAAAATACTGACTTGGCTGATTTTGTAACTTTCCAAGAAAGCAATAACGGCAATAATAAAATTCCACAGCGGTAAATACGTCTTCATGTAATTTCAATTTAATCAGGAAAGTTAATCGTTAATAAGTAGCAGTGTGTTATTAATTTTATAAATTTATTGTGGCGCTCCGTTACCTTCGTAAATAATAGTCCTCTGCACGGGCTCCATAACACTAAAAGTATGAACCCCTGCTTTATGTCATACAGATTATGCAGTCAGAGAGCCATAACACAAACATCAAGCCTAGTCCAGAGCTAGAAATGGAAAAGAATTTGTTAGTTGGCGATTCAGATGTTTATGAAAAAGATGTTAAAAACAACATGGATAAAGCTAAAAAGACTTCTAGTAATCCTCAATTTTGTAGTTTTATTACAGATTAGCATGATTGATAGTTGCCAGGTATTTGTAGAATTGAAAGGCCAGGGATGGAACAGATATCATTCTATTCCCTATTTTTTGTATTTGAAATATCAAATAATCAAATGTATTCTAAATTGGGTCATGTTCTTCCAAAAAGACAACTAAAGACATGGATCTAGGGTGGCAAACCCGCGTCTCTAGAGCCGCATGCGACTCTTGCGCTGTTTTCCATGTGACTCTTTTCGCTTTGGTTTTCAATGGAAAAATAAGTTGCAAGGTACGATTTATCATGTTTCACACCAATTTACTGTAAATTCATCCATTATTACGGCACAATTGCATTCTATGGGTTATTGCACTCCAACGTCTGTCGTAATCATATCAAAAGTGAAGTCCGTTGGCAAACGCGCAGTTTTCCATTTGAGGAGAGCAGTTGAAGCGCAGATAAAACGCCTAGTTTTTTAGCATGTAGAAATATATAGTGTTCGTGTGTGTTATTGTTTATAATCTGTTGCTTCCCTGTAATAGAGTATGAAATGTGGCTCTTGGTCTCTGTCTGTTTGGCCACCCATAGATAAATCAGCAGAGGTTGCAGCTGGAGCAAGATTGATTTAAAATACGACAGGAAAGTTAAGATTCTTATTTTTAGTCAGGATAAGTCCACGTAGAAAGAAGAGAACATCACGTTTGATTGAGGAATACGACGGGGCGACACCACTAGGAGTGGGAGATAGTTCAGGAGATGAGAAGGTGAAATTACGCATCCTAGGCCTGCGGTTTTGTTTTTCTCGTATTTTTCCAGGCCACAGAATTTGTAAGAGCCAGATTAGACAATAACTGCTAGCGAACCCAGCCTTGATTCCGGGAAACATGGCTTTCCTAGAGTTCTGATGGTCTAGAATGCCTTTCAACATACCTAAATGAGGGCTCCTGAAGTATGCGAACCAAGATGGCGGACATCGTAATGTAACATGTGTACTAGGTTAGGGTTAGGCCATAATTTTAGGTACAAATACTACGGGAGGCTCTTGGCTAGTCTTCGAACTGATAATGGGACTTAAATAAGGAATATTGAAATAATAAAAAAAAATTATCGCCTAACCCTAACCTGTTACCCATGTTACGTTCCGATGTCCGCCATCTTGGTTCGCATACTTCAGGAGCACCCCTAAATGTATAATACGGTGAAATGCTCTTTTTTACATTTCAAAAGGGGGAATTCCGACTCCCCCACCCTGGCTTCAAACCTGAACCTTGATACTTAGAACATATTCCAAAGAGAACTTTTGTGCGAAACATCCAAGATTACAAAAGCTTTCGGGTACAATCATACACAACTATCTAAAATCTTTTGTATTTTCATACAAGTAATTATTAAGATATGGGTTCTAATTTTTGGTCACCTTGTAGAATTCTCAATGAAAATAATAAAATACATTTTTATAACACAGAATACTCCCCACCACGAGGTCAGAGTTCACCTAAAGAAGTTGGATATAGATCAAGACGATATGACAGTCGATGAAATTGAAATTACTGCTCTGTCAGACGCAGACTTGCGTTCAGAACTTCAGAGAAACGGGATTAATGCTGGACCTATTGTTGGTAGGTATTAAAAATTATTGTAAAATACAGTGAAAGGAGTTTGGTGGGTGGAAACTCCTAATCCCATCGCCCCCTCAAATTCTGTAGAAAATTTTAGAAGACTTTCATTAACAAGAGAGCTATGCTCAAATATATGGACATGTAGCGCCACCCAATGGCAATAATTTTGATGACGTCATAGCGAGAAAAAAAGTAATAGCCTTTTGGAGAAAAATTTTATCTTCAACCACTGAAAATTTAAAAGCAATTGGTCCAGTATTTGAAGAGAAAAGCGATTTTTCGAAAATGGAGACGGAGACAAATAACAATAAAATTTTGAAACGATCGTTATGTCCACTTCGTGTCCAATAATGTGCATGATCCTTATCCTCCAAGTTTGGAACTTTCTAGAATTCCAAAAAGCGTTACTAGCAATTCTCATAATTTCTGTCTCTTGTCTTTAGAACTAGGAAGAAATGGGATTATTGTTGAACCAAATATTAGTAGGAAGATTGTCTCTAATGCAGAAATTTTTAGATGACTGAAAACTTTATTACAGTGTATTTAACTTTGTTATAAATTATTTACAGAGCTGTCGGCGCGGCGGTGTGGCTCAACGGGCTAAGCGTTAGGAATACGCTCGCCACCGCACCTTTAATTACTTTGCGTGGGTTCGCAGGTTCGAATCCCATGCAGGGATGGTTATGTGCGAGAGGATTGCTGGACTCCTCGCCGTCGTTGGGTGGTTCACGTAACCGCTGGTCGGTTACGGCTTCCTCCACCACCAAGTCCATGCTTCCGGAAACAAACAATATAACTAATCCCATACCCGACTTGGAATGGTAACCGGACGAGAGGCCGTGGTTCGCCATATGGATAAGCCGTCTTATCGGCTTTCCTCCCCCCGGAATAAATATGTAAATCCTATCCTATCCTGTCTAATTTCTCGCAATATTGTCTTCGCATTTAGATGAGCAAGAAAGCACCGGAATATTTCCGGATTCGGGTTATAAAAACAACTAACTCTATCATTAGTTGGGGTTACGCAAGACTAACCATCTTTTCTTGCTCTACGTCAGGGCTACTCAACTATTTTTACCTAAGATCCACATACAAAACTTAAAAAATATTTGTGTCCGGCCTTTCCAGAAGTTATATTTCATCATCTGTAAACATGCACTTCCTCGGCCGGTTAGAGATTATTAGCTAACCAAGATTGTATATTATGATGTTATAGGTATTTTCATATATATTCAAAACTATAAAAGTCATTTTATAAAAGAAAACTTCAAAAGTGGGGCTAATGATCCAAAATTAAGAATTAGTTGCGGTCCGAATCAAATACTTGGAAGGTCTGGATTCGGACCGTGGTACGCCAGTTGAGTAGCCATGCTCTACACTGTTACATCAAACAGTAGGACAATCATTGATTGACATTCAAATTTGGCTTCCCTCTTGTTCTTGCACTGTCCAAAATTTTATTTTCTCTCTATTGAAAACAAACCCAACAATTCCTAACCATTATTTATGTGCATGCTATTGCGTTTCTTACCATAATTGAAAAATACTTGTCTGAAGAAGTCTGACCTTGGTCGGACGAAGCGTTACAGAAATATATTTGTGTGAGTGTGCAGCAAGCATTTTGAATCAAATACCTAATTAAATGTCGTTTCTGTAAATCTTTCAGCTTCAACTCGCAGAGTTTATGAAAAACGACTCGAAAAACTTCTCTCTGGAGCCGGTGACAGCCCGATTTCGAATGGAGGAGAGAAATACAGCGATGAAGGTCAATATTTGAATAGATAGATTATTTATTAATACTACGTTACGGCCTTGCACGAGGATCTGCTACTTCTCTATGCCTTTATGCTAGTGGATCCGTATGCTCATACTGCAAGGATACTGTAGCTGGAATAAACATGACTATTCTATTCAATTAAAGAGTCCAGCTGCACACTAACACAAATGTATTTCTGTAACGTTTCGTCCGACCAGAGTCAGACTTCCTCAGACAAGCAGTTTACAACAATGGCAAGAAATAAATTTGCTAAATGGATTTGAAATATCAAATCAAGTATGACGTCTGACGTTTTGTCTGAGGAAGTCTGACTCTGGTCGGACGAAACGTTACAGAAATACATTTGTGTTAGTGTGCAGCTGGACTCTTTAATGGAATAGACTATCATCTTGCTTAGATTTCTTTGTCTACACAAACTTTACACCCTAATTGAGACATGGGAGTTGAAGCCATGATATGCAACTGACACGTTAGGCCATCACATAGCAAACTGCAGCTTTTCATTTGGTTACAGTCCATGTCAAGCATCGCAAATATTCCTTTATTATTCTGCGTACTAATATTGTTTAGTTATCTAGTATTATACATATTTATGGAGAAGCCGTGATATGCAACTGACACGTTAGGCCATCACATAGCAAACTGCAGCTTTTCATTTGGTTACAGTCTATGTCGAGCATCGCAAATATTCCTTTATTATTCTGCGTAGTTATACTAATATTGTTTAGTTATCTAGTATTATACATATTTATGGACACATTTTAACCCATTCGAACTGTTTAAAAGCCGTAGTGTGAGACGCACATGTTACTAGCTAAGAGTTTTTCAAAGTTTAAAGAAAAAAACGAAAGAGGGAGGGGGGTAACCATTGGTAACCACTGGCTTCAAAATTGCAACTTTACTTTTTTAGAATCTTCTGCAGAAGAAGAGGAAGAAGAACCAGTTGTCATGGAAACAAGGAAGTCGACCAGAACAACAACTCTGCAGTATAGTGCCAATAGAGAGTAAGTTCACTCATTACTTATCGATCTTAAAATCGGTAAGTATGTTGATAGGTCTTTGTTTGTTTGTCTGTTAGATGAACGCTATATCTCAAGAAAGCGAGGTTGAATCTGCTCCAAATTATGCATGTGCATTCATCATATCTCGAACCAGGAGCCTATTGATTTTGGATGAATTATGTCGTATAATTAGCACATTATTAATTAATTAGTGATGGGACACGCGGTGTCATTATTGAGTCATGAATAGAAACCGCAGTTTGATCGACAAGTTTTCGGTTTCCGGCCGATATTCTCGTTTGACACTTCGGAAGAGAGCCGGCTTCCACTCTATAGCAAAAAATAACTCATAAAGAGACTAAAAATATATTCTAAGGATATGTGAGTAGTGTGAGCAGACGAAAAAAGGGCAAATGTTAAATTTAAAAATATTCCAAAAATATGTGATCTTCAGACTGGTACCTAATCATAGTTTAAAGCAGGGATGTGCAAACCGCGGCCCGCGAAGAAAATTATGTGGCCCGCAGAGAAGTGCCAACTTTAAAGGATGTGCCCGCAAAACGAGCTTTTAGGTTAATTAAGCTGGAATGTGGGAGCAATTTCATTCTTTTTGCGTCGCGAAGCCTAGGCCAGTACCCGAGTGCCACTGTCATATCAGTGAAACAAGCTAGCAAGATCCTGTTGAAACAGGAAATCGTGTTTCTTTCACATTGAATTCGTTTAAAGTCGGTGTGTCGATAAATTTAAATAGCAGTTTTCTTTAGAGATTTTTTGCGTTTTCTACATTTCGGCCAGAACAATGCCGTAAAATCAATATAAAATAGAAACAATTTTTTTGTGCTTGTAACTAAAGTAGAAATTCTGTTTACGAAAGGCTCTGGATACAAAAAATCCAACTTAATTCTTTATAATCCAAATAAATTATAAAAGTCGACATGAAATATTTAAATCAGTGTCCACTCGCATAATAAAAAACGATTTCCGATCTTAATTCTCTTTTATTGGTAAATGGGAATTTGGGAACGAGTTCACTCATTTGATAATGGCGATGATCGCGTAATTATATTTGCATTTTCTCTGAATCAACGAATGGTGTTGTGAGCAATATGTCTGTGGTAACGACCACATTTCAATCAACCATTCGCCACGTTTCATACAATAAGTCACACTCACTTTCAGTCGCGAAGACGATGATACGAGTATTAGTTAAAACTAAGAAAATGAAATTAAAAAATAAATAAATAAAACCGCAGAATAAAACAAATAAAGTCTAAGACTCTAATATCATATGCGTGTGCTCATTATCGCACAATATGTTTGGAGGGGCTTGGAATGGATTAATGCGTTCTCGGGTAAAGAGCGTCAGTACTTATAGAGTTTTCTACTTACGAAGAGGCGTGTCACAAATTAATTTGGTTTCCATTACGGAAACCTTTTCGCAAGTAGAAAATTCTCCAAGGTACACATGGTAAGAAGAAATAACAGAGAAAAACCGAACAAAAACTACAAATTTGGGTAAAGTTTTCAGGTGCGGACCGTTACTTGTATTTGGCTCTCGTTTAAAAAAGGTTGCACACCCCTGGTTTAAAGCATGATTCACCAAAGTATAACAAAAAAAGTTATATAAACTGGTATAAAATAAACATCATTCTTATTCTGTTAGGTATGTGTGCATTTATAATTGTATTTTCTTATAATCGTTGTAAACTAAACCTGCCTTTGGTTAAAAGGGGGATCGATGACCTAAATCATTGGTTTTCAATTTTTACTTATCCTTCTTGGCAGGTTCTCCTCAGCTCCCAATCTTACGGCTCTAAAATATCAAGAAAAGCCTTCTAACCCAGCAATCAAACGCTCACCCCCAATTTCGATCCCCAAGTCAAAGCCCCTCATCAAAAAACCGACCCCCAACCTTCCTGACTCAGCCCCTATACAGAGCCCCGCATGGGTCAACATATCTATGACTGATGATGTAAATAAAACCCTCCCCGCGGGGGGTAAAAAAGATGATTTTCGGTCGCAATCATTTCACACTAGGAGCTATGACGCTTTTCAACGTGGCGTACATACTGATAAAAAACATAGTGGTGGCTTACAATTGTCTGCGACACATAATTCCTACATAGATGTGGTAAATCAGTCAACAACCGTGAGCGCTGTTGCTGATACCGATACTACCATGTCGTCTTTGCGTCTGGACGAGACGAGTGCGTCTGATTTTAGCGTGATTGAAAATGATTTGGAAGCGACTTTAAAAAATGCGGAGGACGTGCTAAACAGCACCGAAATCAGTTTGAAATCTTTCCCACGCGGCAAAAATGATCAGCCTTACCAACCATCAACCTCTCACCTTACTCGTGACCTTTTGTCTCCGAATCTTTCGAAACTGGACTACGCTAAAAGAATTCAGAGAATATGGTACGCTGTTTGGGGTGTTCAGGTTTTGGTGGTTTTCCTTGACAGTGTAGTAGATTTTTTGGTGCTCCCGAAGTATGCGAACCAAGATGGCGGACATCGGAACGTAACAGGTTAGGGGATAATTTTTTCTCAATTTTCCTTATTTTAGTCCTATTATCAGTTCGAAGACTAGCCAAGTGCCTCCCGTAGTATTTATACCTAAAATTATGGCCTAACCCTGACCTAGTACACATATTACATTCCGATGTCCGGGAGCCCCGATTTTTTTTTGAAGTCACATATTTTAGCATGAACACTTTCCGCACCAAATTCTTTAAATTTCTTTAGTTGCACTTTACACTTGTTTTTTGCACTTAAGGTGGAGGTTGGAGGGTTCGTTGGTTGTTTAGGTCAGGGCTACTCAACAGGCGGACCACGGGCCCAATCCGACCCTTTCGAGTATTTGTTTCGGACCGCACCTAATTCTTTATTTTGGATCATTATCTCACTTTTGAAGTTTCCTTTTATAAAATAACTTCTATAGTTTTGAATATACACCATAATAAACAATGAAGTGCGCAGTTCTAGACACCTAAACTTTTTTTTACTATTTTTAGGAAAACTGGAAAGCTTGCAGAAAGAAAGCATTTTGGCCTTGCCAATCAAATTTATTACACACTGGGTACATTTAGCGTTTAGAACCGCGTAACGATTTAATTTGGCACGTAGATCTCGTGAGTGAAATAGTTTACCACCAGATACCGCCAATTGTTACGTCATTATCACAGTTGTACACACATGCGTGTATTCGTAACAATCTAATAAAACTAATAAAATATTTCCCAAGGCCCTAAGCTTGAACTAGGAAAACGAAATGCTCGCGGCAACGCATTATCACAGTTATACACGTGTATATTCGTAACAATTTAATTATACCGGTGCTATATTTATAGATATTGGTATTGGTCCCTTGCGAGCGATCGTCCGGCAAATATATCCTGCCGCTTCTAGTTTTCAGAAACACTGATTTAGAATGTTTGGATCAAGCGATCAATCTTCCAACGCTTGAAACTACCAACCAAGATCCGAGTGTATCACTTGGGTAACCATTTTTTCATATTTTCACAGTGGAAGTGCAACACGACGTCGACCAATGAGATCTCAACATCTAGAGAGAAGAGAAGAGGGATATCAAGAGGTCTGTTGAATATTTGTATATCAATCATTCGATTCTTTCAAGAGTTGGGACAGTGCAAATATTTTTTAACGCAAATTTGAGTTACTCTTTCTGAATGAATATTACTCAGCTAATTGTGTTATTGGTGTAGTCATATTTTGCTTTGTTTGAAATAATTAGCATTTTCAATGAAAGATTACGAATATACACACAACTAAAAAATTATGTTATATTGTTAATTACTTATAGATCCTAAGATCGGTAAGTATGTTGATAGGTATTTGTATGTATGTCTCTTTGTCTGTGCGTTAGATGCACGCGATATCTCACGAAAGCGAGGTTGAATCTGCTCCAAATTTTGCATGTGCATTCATCATAGCTCGGATCAGAAGCCTATTGATTTTGGATGGATTATGTCGTATAATTAGCGAGTTATTAATTAATTAGTGATAGGACACACGGTGTCACTATGGAGTAAGACCACTGTTTTGGGGATCCCCTAACCTTCGATCGATAAGTCTCCGGTTTCTAACCGATATTCTAGTTATAATAGCGATAGCTCGTACAAGGCCTTCTTAATCAAGGGAAGGTGTGAAAAATATTTTAGCAAAATTCACTCCTTTTCAATGTCTATTATTCTCGCACGTTTCATAATTTGTGATTATGTTCTCATAGGACACTGTGAGGACTGAACCCGTTCCTGCACCCTCTAGTGGTGAGAAAACAAAGACGTTGAAATCTGATCGACGATGGATTCCAGTGTGGGTGCAGGTGAGACTTTATACTGATTTAATAAAAAATAAAATTTAGTAAATGTTATAAAAGATAAAAGACAAGGGAGCAATGCTCAAATATATATGGACACGAACGCTAAAAAGAAGCAGTGGCTATCTTACCTTATAAAGTACATTACCTACTGTACGATGTGGTCTAAAAATTTCCAATTTCCGCACATCATAGGGGTAGCATGAGAAAGTTTGCAGAACCAATGATTTACATTAATTTTGAAGAGGCCATCACACAAACTTTCAAAGTGAAACGAATTACACATGGTGCCTACAGAAAGTTTCGAAATAAAAGTAACAACCTTCTGGCGAAATATTCAATCTTTAACCACTGAAAATTTCAAAGCTATTGCTGTCCTGTTGTTAATTAGAAAAGATACTTTTTCATAACAACAAGAATAAAAATACCAACAATAACAAAACGATAGATATGGACACTTTGTGTCTAATAGGAGAGGAAAGTCGTTAAAACGATTTAATCATATGTCGAACCACGACCTCTTATCCGGTTACCAATCCATGTCGGGAATGGGGTTAGTTAGCCAGGTATTTGTTTCAGATGCATGAACTCGATGGTGGAGGAGGCACCCCACGACAGTGAGTAGTCCAGCAATCCTTTCGCACATAATCACGCTGCATGGGATTCAAACCTGCGAACCCACGTCGGGTAATCAGAGATGCGGTGGTGAGCGTATTCCTAATACTCAGCGTAATGCGCCACATGGCCGAGCCGAGGTTTACCAAAGAAGCGTTAGACCCGATCGACTAAAAGGGGAATAATACTGTTAGAACAATTGTGAATTTGTTGTGGCATGGAAAACGCAGCGGTACACTCCACAAACGTTCCCCCTAAGCTGCGCGACGACGCAGCTGGCCGGAATCCCCGCGCAGTACTTTCTTTGGGAAGCGCACTGCATAACTCACACAAAGCGTATACTATGTGGAAATGCAAAATTAGAAATTTTTTCGCGCCGAGTTTTTTTTTTGGAGCTCACATGGCCTTCTATTCCGCTCAACTAAGCAAGCTCTTAGAGGGAACGTTGCATTTCACGCTAACTCACCAACTGAAGACGTGAATGAGAAACTATACCACCATGACTATCATTAATATCGATTTCATTTCTACCTCTGCAGATCTTGATTGTGATCCTACTGGCTGTTTTCTTCTACCTCGTTGTACAATCCATGGAATCAAACCCACAGAAAAAAATCACTGGACTGTGAAATTGGCAGGGCTTGAATTCAAATAGAATTTTGGAATTTTGAAACAGTTGAAACTGCAGGGTTAAAAATTTGTAGATTTTCTCAAAAGTGTGCATTATATTGAAAGCCAAAAAATACTGTATATTTTTGCACAGCATTGTTCCAGTTGAACTGTTTTGCCATACTGCAGGGCTGCATTGAACTTTTTTTGAACAAAAAGTCAGCCAACTTGTATGGAACATTGTCACAATATTGCAGGGATAAAATTTTTATTTTTTATATTCGAGCAATAACTGCTTGAACAGACTTGTTGTTATAAATCGCAGAGCTCGTGTTGCACCCTGATTTGTAATAGTGCAGGGCTGAAATGAGTAAACTTATACATGGCTTGTGATGCACATTATTTTGCAATGAAGCAGAACTAAAGCTTCTTTGTTAACTGCAGGGCTGAAACGATCGTTTCTTTATTTAATATGAACAAAAGCGTATTAGTCAACCTATTGCTACAGAACTAATGTTGCATTTCATCTTTTTTCATTATTACAAGGTTAGAAATGAGCATATTTTCAGAACAAATTACATACTAGTCGATTGATTGCTAAAGAGCTTATGATGCATATTATATTTTTTTCAATATTACAGGGTTAGAAATGATCACTTTTTAGAAGAAAATCAGCGGAATGCCTATATAAAATGTACATAGCCTTGTTTAACATTTCACTTACAATACTTTCATTTACAACCAACTAATTCAGGTATATTTATTGTCGTTCTAGAATTCCTAAATAAACTTGTTCTTGTTCTGATGAACCCATTATGACGCCATTTATAACAAGTTATATGTAATATTAATATTTTCCCTGCACTTCCAAAGCAATATCAATTTCATAGAGATCAATTTATCACAGTGGTTTGGCAAACTTTTATCGATCGTGGGCCGCACGTATTTTTAGAAAGTTAAAAACCGAAGGAATGGCCAATGAATCACATTTTTTCACACAGATTTCAGTTAAATGCCAAGCAGTGCGCGAAGACTGATCATTTGAATATTTTCTGCGTCATTAAACCATTTGCACTCGGCATCAACTTTTATAAGCTCTGTTTCAATTCGTCTAATTATAATCAATTATAGGCTCATTAAACAAATGAATGTGAATTATATACTTGTTAGGTTATAATATAATTTAGTGTCCCAAAACAAATTCTGTCACATAAAGAATATGATTGTCAATACAGTTTTGTTAATATAATTCAGTGAAGCGTTGGATCCGCGGGCCACAGTTTGCTGAACTTTGATTTATCACATATTAATTCCTACGAGTACAAAACAACCTTTGGAAGTTAATACTAATGTTAGTTGAAAGTTTCTGCTTAGCCATGAGTTATTCATTTTTAAGATTGTTAGCCCTGCATATTTCATTTTCGTAGATTTAGGTAATTATTAAGTAGGCGAATTACTGCCCTTGTTTCTGCCAAGCCTTTAACACTTAAGCATTAGACTTGGTGATGTTTCATTTCTGAAGTTCTCTCCAGGGATCTCAAACTTCCTATATTTTTGTTCATGATTTCTTATTTTTTTCCTTGTTTTTTTTTATTTTCACATTTATGTGTTTTACTAAATACTGAAAACTGATGAGTTTGGTTCTCGCAGACTAGCGAGGGGTTTAACCACTGAAAATCTTGATAATGTTCAGATCGCTTAAATTACACGCTCACTGCTATTGTATTGATTGCATCAAAAAGTTGCAGACAATCTTGAAGTCAATCAATTTTGTGATATTTTGCTGCTAAAAAACTAGCCAAACCCATTTGAATTTATCTGCCAACCCTGTAGTGGTGATCAACTCTTTTTCTCAGCCCCATATTCGTTATGTACTGGAAACAAAAGCACTTGCATCATTTGACTCTGTGCTATTCAAATTTATCCCGTGGTTGTCAGCTTCATTTTCTTGTATTACTCGATGAAGATTGTGCTTTCGTCATTCGAATTTAACCCTCATTGATGAGCGTATGTACTGGTGCTGGTCTACTCAGTTCATTAGCCCCAGTGTTGTGAGGGACAAAGAATGGGCAAAAGTTAATATTATATTAATCAATTGTTTTCGAATGTTATTCTGTTTTTGGTCATATGAAAAGTGTGTCCACTTACTGCCATTGTTGTTTGAATTTATATCATATCTAGTCAATGTTGATGAGCGCACTAGTGCTGATTTACCAAGTTCATCAGCCCCAGTCTTGTGAGCGACAACGAAGGGCAAAAGTTATCATTATATTAACCAATTGTTATCGAGTGTTATCATGAGTCAGGCCCATCGTGTGTGACGGATGAAAAGTGTGTTTGTTTACTGCCATTGTTGTTTGACATTATATCATCATATTAAGTTCTAGCAGTAATATATACTGGATGCAAAGTGAGCTAATATTGCTTACACTGCCTTTGCTATTTCTCCCCCAGTAATAAGCCTTCTATTAGTGATTTATTTTTTTAATCAGCTCAAGTTTTGGGTATTTCTTGTAAAATGTAAAATATGGCTTCAAGAAAAAAAATTAAAGAATTACTCAAATAAATAGTTTTAGTCCTAACCGATTCGAATAATTTACTATTTGATTAAAAAATGCCAACCCCCAAGAGTGACTTCATTTTTTACCTGGCCCCAGTTTGACAGCCAAATGAAAAAAAGATAGGGACGATTCGAAATTTATGTCTGAGCCAATTTTTATTCGGATAATGACTTAATCTTTTACATGGCCACAGTTTTCCGTATTTAGTAAGACATATACTTTTTGTTGAGTTGGTTCACTTCACTATTTGTTATTTTTCCATTCATGATTATTTTGTTAGCTTCGAACAAAGTAGTGATTTTTTAGGTCCAGAATGACCGAGAACGGTGGTTTCCAACATTTTGAGGCCTGTGGCCCGAAGAGGGTTTCAGCACTCATGGCCCACCTGTCTATAGTTCCAATGGTATTTATAATGTTATTTTGATAGATTTCATTTATTTCTTGTTGTGAAAAGTAAAATGGAGGCCACGGGTCTTCGTTGGAAACCTTTAACCTTGACTTTATATTGTCAGGTTTTTTGATAAACATCAGAATTTAAGTTAATGATAAATCTATTTTTTTCTGATGTTTTCGTACTTATAAAATTTCGATTTCTTCCTCTTTAGTGTCAATCAGTGTTGGGTGGATGTCCCTAAACTAAGGGTGCAGCCAGCCAAGCAGGGGTGAGGGTGACAATACCCCCTCACAATTCAAAAACGTCTCCCCAACACGCTCTGTTACCTCTACAGAGTTTGAGATGTCAAATTTATTTCTGTTAGACAACTTTCATTTTCAAATGTAGAAAAGTAAAAATATTTCGAATTGTTTGCTACTGTGTGATGGACAACAGGTTATCAATGAGTGCGAGCGTTGTATTAGTTAAAAGTGTTCGTTCTTTTAGGTTTTAGTTTAGTCGAAGTCTGTAATAAAAAGACCTGATATTACAGAATAGGCCTGACATGGGCAAGCCACTGCCTACGTGTAGTTCAATCTGACCTGCCTGATGCTGCCACAACCAAACAAAACCAAGTTTAGATGTTTTATCTAAAAAATTGTTTAAAGAATTTGTTGAGATTGCTATTAAATTTGGTTTTGGCACGAGGCTTATTGTTTTCCCCCTACAACTTTTGTAACACTGTTCATAAAATGCAACTATTCACGTCGCACTTACATGGCCCGCCACCGCCAGTCAAGGTGGTGATGTTTTTGGCCCCTGGTCCTAATTATCAGTCCATGTCATGCATCAGAGTAGGTACGGTTGTTTTATTTTCCACTTATTCAGATTCATGCACTCGATGGTGCAGAAAGAATATTAGACCAGCGAGCAGTTACCGTACGTCAACCACTCAACGGAGGAAAGAGCAGCAATCCTTTTATATATTATTATCCAAGGACTGGATTTGGGCCTGCAAACTCCCACGCAAGGTACATAGAGGTGCAATGACGCTCAGCCGATGCGCCAATTCGCCGAGACAGGGTCGCCATGGAATACCCAATGACTGCTGCAAGTTGTACACAGCCAAAACGTAAGTTGAATTGCACAGGCATATTGTATTGTAAGAAATACAAGAGAGCTATGCGCATATATATGGACACGTAGCGCCACCCAAAGACAATAATTTTGATGACGTTATAGCGAAAAAAAAAGTAATAGCCTTCTGGAGAAAAATTTTATCTTTAACCACTGAAAATTTCAAAGCAATTGGTCCAGTATTCGAAGAGAAAAGCAATTTTTTAATGATAATGACGACAGAAAATAACAATAACAACAAAATTTTGAAACGATCGTTATGGCCACTAAACGTGTCCAATAAATTTTCAGATGCTTTCAGGAGGATTTTGACTGACGCCAGTCGTAAAAACTCAGTGAGGTCAAAGGTTATGGATAGGTATTCAGTGCAAAAGTTTTTTTGATAGCCGGACAATCTGACAATGGACCTTTCCCCGACCTTTGACCCCCGGATAATTCTTCCTATACTTTACCATTGCAAAATTTTTGGGGCTATTTTAAGAGTGCTTTTGCGAGTTGGCGCCTGTAAAATGGAGTATGTGTTACCAAACATCATTATGATTCATCGCATACAACAATCTTTTTTTTAAAAGTACCGGTAAAGAATTTCAGGCTAGTCTATCACAGCTATTTCTACACTAATTTTTATTACTGCAATCAAATTAAAACTCCTAGGAAGACAGAGTGATCATTGAATTATCTGATTTATATTTAAGTTTCCGAAACACAACTGAAAACTAACGAATAGAGTTCAAAAACGCAAAAACGAGGTAATGTTTACAACCACACTTGAAAATCTGTCTGAGTGAGAAAAGTGTCTGAGCGGATGCGAAAAGGGAGCATTGTTACGTCACTTTTTGCATCTTGCTGATTGGCCAATGTCACGAAGTAAACAAGGAAAACGATGCTCGGGGAAAGGTCCATTCTGCAGCTGAGGTCACTCAAATTATCAGATGTTCGCTTTTATCATGTTCGGTTACCTATGTTCCATTCCATATTATAGGTTGTTGTGTGGCATAGTGGAGTTGAAGAGGTAGAAAAAAAAAAAAAACTGACGGCCGTTATAGCAGTACACACAGCGATATCTCTGTATCTGGGTATGTCCTACACACTGACACTACAGGTTGGTGGGACTTCCTTTAAACCCGTGCTGACATCAGCATTTAGCACACTTCTATTGGTTTGATTGAGTCTGACAGTATATTACCATGAAATTTAGGATGATTTTACTATAGTCTACTTTTGTCAATAATTTTGCCATTTTTTGACCAACTCCTGAATTCACGCCAAATTTGGAATATGGGTTTATTACATCTGTACTGTACCTTAATGTCATTCTCGGCACATGCATATAATTTTCTCGTTGGTAGGAACATTTATCTGTCTTGAATGCCCTATTTTATGTAGTACGATCACTATAACTTCATGCTTAATTTAAATAATCAGTATAATTGTAAAATTCATTTTGATTATGGGAATAACGTACGTTGATAATGATGATAACAATGTTCATGATGAATTCTTTTGTGGATATATAACAATTAATGTAATGAGTGTAAAACGAGTTAACATTCAGACATTATAATATTTTATTTATGATCTTTTTTTATGTAAAAAAAATACATATATATCTAACTTCGGATAAAGTGTGTGTGTGTGAAGACTATGAATGTTGAGCAGAGGTTCTCAAGCTTGTGTGCTGTTTTATAAATTACCTAGTTTTGCTTTTATGTTCTTTTCTGCCAGTTGTTTTATGCACCAGGTTATTAATCAAGTTAATGTCAATTCACTGAAGTAAATGTCAGTAATTTAGTTATCCTGAATGGCATAGAGCAGTAAAGGGGAGGCCTTTGCTTGTGGTCCCCAAAGAGCCAACATGTGGGCTTATTTCGCAGGCCCAGTTTGATTAGCCGGGTCAAGGTTTTCGTATCAGTGGCCAATTAATTTTGCCCACCTAGACTGGCCGGCCATGGAAGTGTGAAGTAAAAAGTTGCATTTCAACTAAAATATTTACAGTGTTACAGTTTCCAGGTCGAAAAGTATAATCCTCTAGTCAAAAATGTAATCACAATTTCAACAAATTCCGTGAGTTATTTTTATATAACGCCCTAAAAACGTCAAAATTTGGTTTTAGTTGGGTTGTTACTGCATCAGGGGGTAGGCCAGATTGAATTACCCAACTGGCCGGATTTGCCATGTCAGGCTTAGACTGTTTTCACAGTGGTATTCAACGTCCTTGACTCTTGATTCATTCTCCATTTTTATAACAGAAGTTACTGGAACTAGGGTATAGTGTATTTTAATGATATAGATTTGGATCAATCTCGTAGAGATGAGTAAGGGCATTGTGGATTTGATACGTCGCCAGGTTCGGCCATTCCAGGAGTTTTTTAAGCTTGCCGAATTCACGAAGGCTCAAGACAATGGATATTTTCCAAGGATAAGAGGATTCTTTGTGACCGTTGCTCGGTAGGTATGGTTTGATTTTGTTCACAGAACGTGTAATGAATGAGAAATGTAGTACCTTGATATAAGGCAGGGTGGTCCAAGATTGGCAGCTCCGCGGGCCACAAAATTACTATTGCATTGTTCGCGGGCCACAATATTGCCGAGAACTTCGCACGTTTACCTTCGCTAGTTGCCTCAGAAAGCCATAACAATAGTCAATTCAGTGACATTAGTAATGCAACAATATGTCAAAAGATTTTTTGGTTAATTTTATGATGAAACAACACAAAATGCGATTTTTTGATTCCTCACCGAATGCAACACGGGCCACAGATAATGAAATGGCGGGCCACATGTGGCCCGTGGGCCTGGGTTTGGACCACCCTGATATAAGGCTTTATTCAACTTAAATTCAAAGAACACTTAGAATTCATCTAAAGTAAAATATAACACAAGTAAATGTTGTTAAACAAGAAAACAAATATGTAGCGTATTGCTGATGCTAACAGTAAGCGGCTCAATAGTTAAATGAATAAAGTTGAAAGAATTAACACACTACATCTACAGCACAACAATGATTGGTGTCTGATTTAAACGCTCCAACAATCATCGCTAGACTGCAGCTATATAAACAAATAGATACATTGAGGTACATTCACAAGTTATTACAGAAGGTTTCAGACTGTCTGGGTACGAAAAGAGGAATGACATAATCTCATCCACAAAATAGCAAATGTATTTGGGAGATTTCTCAGATCATAGTCTAAATTCCTCAGACAAAACAAGATATAACTCAATCAAACAGTGAGCTTTGTTAGCAAATACTCCAACCATTATAATTCATCTGTGGCTCATCGTGCTAAGCGTTAGGAATACGCTCGCTACTGATTACTCTGCGTGGGACGCAGGTTCGAATCCCACCTGGGGATGGTGCGAGAGGATTGCTGGACTGGTTCACGCAACCGCTTGTCAGTCACGGCTTCCTCCGCCATCAAGTCCATGCTTCAGAAAACAACTAACTAATCCCATACCCGACATGGAATGGTAAAAGGACGACAGGCCGTAGTTCGCCATATGGTTGAGCCGTCCTATTGTATTTCCTCTCCCCCAGGATAAATATGTAAATCCTATCCATCTTAAAAGTTGATAATTAGGCTACTAAGCGCCATAATCAAGACCAGAATGAGAGACAATTTTTATTAAACCCAGGATGAATGAGATAAATCGTCTTTACTTCGTAAGGTGTGCTTGTAACTTTACTCACAGATGAGTCTCCTTTACTTCTGAGTTGGTGCTTGCGACCTTGCTTTTGATAAATTCTAAAAATTTAGCTCCAAATTTCATCGTGATTTCCAAATTCTACTGGCACCAGCTAAAAATCCTTTGACCTAATTACAAGATTTTTTAAATCCAAATTCAGGACAAATGAGCTTCGACGAGGAGATTTAATCGGCACTGATGACCTTGGGAATAAATATTACGAAAACAACCGATATTTTGTTGGAAGAAATCGATGGGTCGATTATGCTCAGGATACTTTCGCTCAGAAATGGGAATTCAATGCAAGTCAAGTACCTTCTGAATGGTAAGTGGGAATTAACCTTCATATTATTCCCACAGTAAAACGAAAGTACGTTTGATTTGGGTTTCGAAACTTCACCTGTTTTTTCAATTTTAGACAGTGCCAACTATTTCAATTATCAGGTTTGACTATCACAACCCAATTATTACAAAACTGTGATTTCTGAATTATTAAAACCTCAATATAAGTTCCAAGTTCTAATATGATGGGCATGAACATCAGAAATGAAATGTCCGAAACTTACATCCCATACAAAAAAATTCAGAAGTTGTTGAGAACAGAATGGGCCAAAGTCCATTATGGGGTTAAAAAAGCAGGAAGGAATTGAAGCTGAAGTGCCAAAAAAAATTGATTACAAAGATATTCTCATCCACATTAAAATAACCAGAGCTCAGGTTTTCACTAAGTGTGAATATCTAGAAATTTAAAAATAAAAAAATTCCAAATTGTTTTTTTCGTTTTCCCAAAACTCAAAATTGTGACTTAGGCCTGTTCTGTTTCATCCGGGGATATGACATACGCTAATTTGTTTCTACTGCATCGATGTGGCTTGTGGCACTCTATCTGGGCCTTGTCTTGAACACTTAAATTATATAAATAAAAAATCATTTTTTTAATGAGAGTCAAGTTCCTTCTGAGTTGTAAGCATGTTTAAGTCATAGTTTTTTAACATTTCTAATTCATAGCTAGATCTATGTATATATATATATATATAATATAGCTATTGGTTGCCACTTGCAAAATATATTCAAATCAAGTCCCTGCCAAATGGCAAGGTAATACTTGTTAAATGTTTCAATTCTTGTGTAAACTGCTTCCCACTGGTGTTTCTCTGTATAAACCCCACTAGAAGATTGCCACATCTAACAATTTATGCTTCTGCGACAGAAGGGCCATCTTGCCTAGTGCCCATTTTTCATAGTTCATTTACATCACCCTGGAATAGGCAATCTTCATGGTTGAGGGGTTGAGGGGGGGACTTTACTTTTAAAATTTTTAAACAAGTGGAAAGATGTTGGGAGCATTCTGCTTCATAGACAAGGGCTCTGTAAACGGGAAAAATTTACAATCGATGCCGAAGTCTAACATGTTTTGATAACATAAACTGTAGCGTAATGCGAATGCCATCTTGATTTTACACACTGTTGGAATCACTTAGTAAATTCAGTGCTTTTCAAGTTTAGACTCATTTACTGTAATTCAGCAAAATTGAAAAACTAAAGTCGAATTCTGGGAAAATATGCCAAGCTCCATCTCCATACCCATAACATGGACAGCCAACCCAATATCACTGCATTTGTATAATAAAGCTCTAAGCAGTTTTTTGCAACCTTTTATGGCTCGTCGCCCGCTTCTAGGAGCACTCATCTTTCCAGTCGTATTTCTAGTGTATGTTAGTTGGTAGATCCAAATCCCATTATGATCAAATAATTCATGCTCGAAAAGTGAAAACACCGTGTGAAATGACATTATCAAGCAATGGAAGTAGGAAGAACAGAAATTTTTCTTGTATAGTGAAAAGTGCCTGTTTCGCGCCAAGCTTTATGTGACCCCCTCCCAACTGCTCTTAGGCCCCCCCTGTTGGCCCAAAGTTCGATTAACAAATTTGATTTTTCTCCCAACAGGCACCGTTGGCTTCACTACATGACTGATGACCCGCCTACAAAGGTCCCTCCTACGCCACGCCCATTTATGATGAAACACGAGGCAACAAAAACTGGGACAGATGATTGTTACGTACCATATTCAACTACAAGACCGAAAATTCAATCTTGGAAACCCCCTCAATAAGGGATTTCCCCTTCTTAAATTTGTTTTTTTGAATCTTTGATTATTTGTCTGATAAAAGATATTTATGAAATTATTTTCGTGTGTGATTCACTGGTTCGGTAAAGGTTTATTCTGTGACATCTCTCAAATAAAGCCCCATAGAAGCAGCGACTAATATTTAAAACAGCCACTCCCAACTTGCTCACCCAATCCTGGATATAGTGGAGTTTAGAGAAAGACTGCAGTTAGCATCCATCTCTGAGGTGACAAAGGATTTATTTTAACTCTGTGAGACGAAAGAATTTAAGCAGTTGAATTATGTTGTAAACCTTCGTGTTGTCGTGAGTCCAGAACACGTATGGATATAGATATTTATTTTCGTCGTTCAAAAAACATTGCATTTGAATTAAAAATTATATAAATTTATTAAAAAAAAATGTAATGGACGAGGGGCCGCGAAAGTATACGTGGCCTATGAGGGGAAGTGAGTCTAAAAGTCTGTTTATGAAGGAAAGTGTGGACCCCGGCACCGCAGGATTGATATATTCGACTCTTTCTTCTTTATGTGTCCATATTTTTCGTGGTCTTCCGTGCTCGTCTCGCTATCAACAAGATGACTAAATGCCGATCTTCTTTTTGATTTCTTATTCTTCCGTTTATTTTACTTTGTGTGGTTCGTTTAAGGGCGGCGGTGTGGCTCATCTGCTAAGCGTTAGGAATACGCTCGCCACCGCATCTCTGATTACTCTGCGTGGGTTCGCAGGTTCGAATCCCATGCCGGGATAATTACGTGAGAGAGGAATTGCCAAGTGCAGTTTTAAGTATACTGTGGCATCTGCAGCTGCCGCAAAACCATGGCAGTATTTCCATACCATGGCCGCTACGGCCAAACTCATGGCAACTGACTTTTTAGCTGCCACAAACCAATGTCGAGCTGCCGTTACCGCGGCAGCAAATTGAAAATCAATGGCAGGTAAAATTTTGCTGCCGTAACCGCGGCAGGGGGGCCGTAAAGACAGGGCTGTCTATTATGGTGACAAATATTGGGTAAGTTGGAACGTTTTTCTTATGGATACAGTTTTGATTGATTTGGGGTTAGGGTTAGAGTTTAAGTAGATATAATTCCACATGATCAATTAAAATGTGGTACATTAATTTGTGAATATACCGTTAATACTGATTACTGAATAGCGCTATAAAACCATGGCAAGAGCTGCCGCGGTTCGTTTGTGGCAGGAGCTGCCATGAAGTGGTAAGAACTGCGCCTCGGAATTGCTGTGCTCCTGCCGCCGTAACTGACTATATTGTACATATCGTCGTTGCGCAGTATCCTTTTTGCCTTGTGTATTTTAAAAGAGTTTTATTTGTATAGCCTATTTCATGTCTGTTGTCCTATTAAAACGCAGCAGTCCTAAACTGCCGTTATAATTGTTAGTAGGGGTGCATGTCGCACATCTGTGTCTTAGGCCAGTAAGGTCTTGAACATGTATTCCCGTCTCTGTTTTACTGTTTAAATATTATGCAGATACTGTTATATTTTTGAGGCAAATAAACATACATACCGTACAGGGTGGTTCACGTAACCGCTGGTCGGCTTCCTTCGTCATCAAGTCTATGCTACCGAAAACAAATAACTGACTGATCCCATACCCGACATGGAATGGTAACCGGACGAGAGGCCGTGGTTCACCATATGGTTAAGCCGTCTTATCGGCTTTCTTCTCACCCGAGATAAATATGTAAATCCTATCCTATCCTGGTTCTCAAAATGAGCGTCGCGACGCACAAGTGCGTTTTTTCAATTTTGCTAGGGCGTCGCGAAATTTTTTGCGGAATTGTACCTGTTTTGAGGTGCGTCTAAAAATGCTGAATATTAAATTGCACTGCAGAAGTGTACAAACGGAATAATTATACTGAACAAGAAATTCTAAAATGAAGATTTGCAAGCAGTTTTTGGATTTTCTTGGAGCTTGGATGAAGATTATCCTTTATTGGTTAAAAAAGCGTTTCGCACTCTTATTCTCTTTACAACTTCGTATTTAGGTGAAGCAGGCTTTTTTTACTATGGCCGCAATTAAGACGAAATATCGATCTAGTGTAAAATGTTGAAAAAAAAAATGCGTCCGGATCTTTCACTATTCACTCCAAGATTCAATGGCATTTATATAAAAGAACGAAATACACTCATACCGTAAATTAAATGCGAATTCAATGACTTTCGTTACGTTTTGTCATTGCCAAAGAGGTATTTTATTAAATTGTATAAGGGTACAAGGGTACCCTAAGTCGTTTTTCACGGGAAGTCGCAACTTGAGCATGTTTTATGGAAGGGCGTCGCAATACAAAAAATAGGTTTGAGAACCACTGGTTTTAAATGATTGATGATCCGGATTTCGGAAAATACTATACAACTTATTCGGCACTCCGGCAACATGTGATTATGTACGGTGGTCGAGCGCGTGTAAGGCGCAGTACGTTTTAATCCAAGTTTTTTTCGATTTAATGAAATTTTCTCCTTTCGTATCTGCGTGCTTCTGTCAAAGAAACTATGACCATTACTTATCAAAACTCCGGAAACTGCACCCAGCACTAACCCTGACACACCTCCAAATCCTTCGGTTCATTGCGCTTGTGTTGCGATGCGATATTTCTGACACGTCAAGCGAGGTTTTTCAACCCTGATTTTCGAAGATTATTTCTATTTTGTGGGTATTTTCACGGAAAAACGTCAAGTAAAGGTCAGTATTTTTATATTTTATTGTGTTTTAATAAATCCCGATTGTTAGGTTGTGTGCACAAGTGTTTAAACGGTGTTAATGGCGCGAAATGCCTTGTTTTTATGTTCGAAACTTTCGTCCAAATTTTCGGGAAGTTAAAGTGCCCGTAGGATAGGATAGGATTTACATATTTATCCCGGGGGAGAGGAAAGCCGATAAGACGACTTAACCATATGACGAACCACGGCCTCTCGTCCGGTTACAATTCCAAGTTGGGTACCTAGGATTAGTTAGATTGTTTGTTTTCGGAAGCATGGACTTGGTGGTGGAGGAAGCCGTAACCGAACAGCGGTTACCAGTACGTGAACCACCCAAAGACGGCGAGAAGTCCAGCAATCTTCTTGCACATAACCATCCCTGCATGGGATTCGAACCTGCGAACCCACGCAGAGTACCGGTAATTAGAGGTGCGGTGGCGAGCGTATTCCTAACGCTTAGCCCGTTGAGCCACACCGTCGCGCCGAATGCTTGAAAAACTCGTTACACCCCAGTCTGGATTTCATGGCCTTTTTGAACGAGAAATCGGGCGTGCAATCAGAAATTCCCGCGTGCACTGCTAAAATATTATGCACACTTCCTTCGTCACATGGGTACTGAAATTATACAGTGACAATTCCTTGTTACTTATAGTATGCATGGGTTAATATGGCCTATAAGAAGACCCCACCTTAAAAATTTAATGAACTCATGCAACCTGTTTATGCAATATTTAAAATATAATTAAACTTGCAGTGTGCAATCTTAAATGACATGTTTTTCCTAACCTGATATTTCTTTATAGCGTGCAATGTTGTTCTATTCAACCATCAACTATTTATTAACCCGTTTAATTCGTTAATCATACTGTACTTGTCTTAGTTGTCCATCACTTTCATAATTATCCAAATGATATAAGAATTATCCTATATGTTTGATTACTGTTATATTATTTCTTTTGAATATTGTATTTTATATAAATGAGATCTTTTGAGTGCCTTTATTGAGCTTTAATATTTACAAATTTTCCTCCTATACTTCATTGTGATTAGGTCAGTTTGATCACCGCATTGGTACATTTACATTAATAATGACCATGCTGAAAACCTCTTGAACGCCCCAACTATACTAGATCCAGGATGGAGTGTAATTATTTTTATTCCCAGTACTCCTCTCAAATCTATTTTTACCAATGCGGACCCTACGAACAGTAATTTGACTGACTTGTATACATCACCCAAAGGCTCAAGTTTTTATTAGCAAAAAATATTTTTCATAGCATTAAGTCAGCAAACATAGATATAGTTCGAGTTATGACATTCCCTATAAATATATGTCCTATGAATATATAATAGGGGGAACTCAGTCTTCCGCATTATCAAGTCCAACATTCCTCAGATGTGTATAAATTTTCTTCTTGCCAACACATGCCTTTCAATGAAAGCTTTTCTCCCAATTGTCATCATAAAAGTTCATCATTAGGTTTTTGAATGTACTTGACGTTGACAATGTGAAAGTTTTATTTATTTTTTGCATAAGTTGCTAAGTGAAATTTTCCCAGACGTGACCAATTTTCGTGATCATGATTTTCAGAAGTGGTTCTCAATCTTCTCCAAATCTTTTCTGTAACTGATTTCCACACCGCTGCTCCTTCCAAGCTCCAATGCACATATCCCATGATTTGTTATCAGCTGGCATGTTGAACAAAAACTCCACCTAACTCAATATTAGATATCTATTTAGGATGTCATTATTTTCTGTATTATTTCTGTATTTCTTCTGTAATAGAAAAATTTTTTTTTTTTTCAATTTTCAAGAATTCTCATATGCATAATTAAAACAGTGAATATGGGGGGAGCTGACTCTGATGACCGTATGGTCGTATCGCTCCCCCCAGTCTATACCGAAAAACTATACATTTTTATTGTTGCTATTGTCTCAGTGTTTTTTGTTTTTTTTTCTGGTTGACGAAAATAAATCTCTCTCTCTCTCTCTCTCAAATAAGAATTCCTGGCGTGCAATTATACCTCACGACGTGCAAAACAACTGCACTCGCGTGCAACTGACTTTGACATCAGATACCTCTCAATACATCCGCGTAAAATTACCGGTATCGGATAAAAAATACGTTGAATCAGAGAAAAAATGGACGTTTGACCTTTGACCCCAAACATTATTTCTACAGTTTGTCGCTAATTTTGAGAGTGTTTGTGCGACTTTGGATACCGGTACTGTTCAGTACATCCGCGTAAAATTATTGGATAAAAAATACGTTGAACCAGAGCAAAATGGACATACTTTGTCATTAATTTTGGTAGTGTTTTTACGTAGAATTAATGGATAAAAAATACGTCAAATTAGAGCAAAATGGACGTTTGACCTTTGACCCCAAACATTATTTTCATACTTTGTCACTAATTTTGGGAGTGTTTGAGCAACTTTAGATACCGGTACTGTTCAGTACATTCGTGTAAAATTATTGTATGAAAAATACGCTGAATCAGAGCCGTACTTGGCCATTGGTGCGGAGGCGATCTTTTCGTCCATAACTATTCTCACGGGATTCCTATTTCCTATCATTCAACACGATATGGACCTTTCCCCGAGCATCGACTTCCTTGTTTACTTCGTGACATTGGCCAATCAGCAAGATGCAAAAAAGGACGTAACAATGAGAGGAATTTTTCGCGGGTCAAAGGTTGGGGAAAGGTCCATGGTCTTTTTGCTTCGCAATATTTCGATCAGACCAAATCTTGCAAGCTGGTATTTGTCGACAATTGTGGAGTTATAATATTTTGGCATCTTTATATTACTGGATTATTGATTTTAAAACCATTTAAACCGATTTACATTGGTGAGCAATTGCAAATTTTCGGCGTGCAAAATTGATTTCGCTCGCGTGCATTTTTGCGGAGCGCTAGCGCCCTCGGGCGTGCACCTGCCATGGAATCCAGTCTGGGTTACACCATTGTCTTGACTTTTGATAAATTTTGAACAACTGTATATTATCCAATAGTGTGTGTCCTACTTTGCAGAAGTAGGTTTTTGATTTTGCTAATGCTGTAATGACTGAATGCAGGAATGAAAATGGCAAATTTATATTTATTTCAGTATTCTGGTATTTATCAATAAACTGAGTAAAATACGAGAATAGGATATGAATATATTACTGTATTAGCGCCTATTCTATTACAACGTAGAATTTAACCTTAGCTGTTCTAATCCCTAAAACATAAAAAATAATAGGGAACATATAGGGTGGCTTAGCCACTTCGCGACCACGACCTATTTGCGGCCATCAACTTCATCGAGTAAATTTATGAACCGCGACGATATTTCTCACGCGGTATCGTCCACTTATTCCTAGTATCTCTGCGAAATTACCCTGAAATGCAACTACAAACGTTTCGCGTTTCTACATTCAAAGGAAGGGGAATAAGGGGGTGCGTGCGCATTTCTAATACGTCGATAATATCCTTGTCGAACAATTTGCGACCATCGTGTTTTTGTCTGTTTGATTGCTGTAATGCGATGCTTTGTTTATAATTTGACGAGTTTTGTTCGAAATAACCATGTTCTTAAAATATATGACTGTCAGAAATGCAATTAGAAGCGCAATTTTTTCACGCATGGCTGCGTGTGCTCTAGTCTCGACGCAGCAGAAACAATGTTTAAGGCTTGAAATCCTGGTCGCACACTGGTGGTTCGGTCGCAAATAGGTCTTCAGAGTGTCGTACTTTGGTGGTTTGCATAGCTTTAACCCCTGGTCGTAGAAAGTTAATTTTAGGTTTAGCGTGTAGAATAAATGCCAATGCACCTACCGTGAAAAAATTACCGGGTTAAAAATATTGATTTTGGTGTTATAGCGGTTTGAATGAAATCGTCCACAGACTGGCTACGCCACCCTATATATCTGTATATATAAATAGATGAAAGTTATGTCTAAATGTTTCAAAAGTTAATGCAGTAATGCCTGAATGTCAATCAAATTATAAATTAAAGAGAAAAAAATCTGATTCTGTCTGAATTTAATATATTTGCATATAAACATGCTCTCTCTTGCGACTTTCTAATGAGTGGAATTAAAGCACGAATAGTTTGAATAATCTTGTTGTCACTCATTAACGAAGGTATCGCACATTGTGCTATGCGTTACATCGTTAGGAATATGCTGGCCACAGCACCTTCGGGTACCCTGCCTGGGTTCGCAGGTTTAAATCATGTAGCGGATAATCATGTGGTGGTAGTTATGTTACTGGTAACGGGATGAGAGGCCATGGTTTGCCATACAGCCATATGGTTAAGCCATCTTACCAGCTTTTCTCTTCCCTGTGATAGGTATGTACTGTATATCCTCACATTTAAGCCGAGTTTGAAACTCAAAAAAAATGTTGCCAAACATTATGTTGGCTTATTCACGCATAACTCTGAAGCACTTAAACCAAATGACATTTCATAATGTAATACCGCAAACTTGTACTGATTGATACTATCATTAACGACGCCAGGCTAACAATAAAATCTGCGATAGATACTAAATAATATTTAAGAGCTATTTCATAAGCTGTGAATCGCTGGAATTGCAAAAATTTACCGTTATGCTCGGTCACTATCAAAACTAAGGATGAAAACAAGTACGACGCAGTTTGTTTATAGATTTGTTGCCATGGTCGCCCAGAATATCTCGACTATGGTAAAATATACAATAATAATTGTAAAATATTTTAAATCAACATCCTCGACCTGCCATATGCACTTCAAGTCGGCGCTGATTTAAATTCTTTCATGTCGGCAGTAATTAATTGTCACTTGTCATGTCGCAATGGGCTGTCTTCCATTACGGTAAAACATAATAATTGAAAAATGTTTTCAATTAAAACGTGGACGGCGGCACTAGGATGTATGCGTGATATTCGATATTAATATAAACACTGAAAACAATATTCGAAGGTAGTGGATAGTGATATTCGAATAGTAAGTTCAAATTGAACATCCCCAGATGTGATGGGCGAGTATGGCCTGTTACAATTTGTAGAGTCGACTTATATGCGAATTTTTATAAATTCATCGTTTTAAGGCCGTTTATAGGGTATATATACCGTATATCCTATCCTGTTTATGATAAATTTAAAAGATGAAGCAATTCTTTAACCTAACCTAAAGATGTAGAGAATCAGACCAGAAAATAGGTGGTGGACAATAGTACTGGGATAGATTAACATCAGTAGTGTAATGTTTTCGAGTGCTCAAAACAGGGGAGGTAAAATTACAATGCACGGACCGGATCTGGCCCACTTGTGCCTGTTTCAACAAAAGTTTATATCTTCAACAAAAGTTTATATGGATATAAAATTTTGTTGAAAGTTTCTATGAAAATGATTGTTACATTGGGCTTCTTGTTAAATAAAATAATAATAGCTGATAGCTGTTTAAAGTAAGCTGTTTTAATTCATAGTTTTATTCATATTCAGTTTTGATCAGTCTATTATCTGTAACTGTATCACTCAGAAACGTAATTGCTCACCCTTGTTTTAAAATAATATAGAAATGTACTTTATATTTATTCAGTGTTTCCAGTAATCATTAAAGTAATGAGAAAAGTCATTCACTCGATGATGACTAGTTTGTCTTCTTTTGTTAATTACATTTATGACATCACAGTATTAATGCCCCAGGCAATTATGATGTGGATAATCATGTTCTTAGTTTAGAACGCTTTCTATTATGTGATGTGTGGTTGCCAACTGGCATATTTTAGAAGATAGGATGATATAGTATTGAATGTTGATATTTTAGGAAAGATTAGGATGAGGTTTGTATCAGCTGTTCCCAACTGGGGGCCGGGCATAGAGAGCAGTTAAAAAGGGGCCATAATGCTAGGTGCGAAAAACATTTTACTTTTCATGTCACAAGAAAACTCCTCGTTCTTCCTAGTTTCATTGCCTAACAAGGGTATTTTAACTCCCTGTTCTTCTTAGTTTCATCGCTTGATAAGGTTATTTCACAAGGTGTTTTCACTTTGTTAGGAATGAATTGTTTGAACATAATGGGATTTGGAATCTGCCAATCAAAATAACATTCTAAATACCATTGGAATGATAAACAGAGGGCCACGAGTGCCAAAAGCCTCTGGAATGGGCCACAAGCCATCAAAGGTTGGGAAACACTGGCTTCCATTGAGTTCAACATGCATAACCCATGCTTTAGTAGCTTATCTTGAGCGATGAATGAAGTTAGGTGAAATAGAGATTCGCATAACTAGGAACATTAATATGGATGGGACAATAGTCTAACTCAGTGGTTAATCCCCATTTATGCATTTCCCACCACTCCCCTCCCCCATTTCGGACTAGCCCCCATGGGTCCTACTGTTGATCATTCCAGGGTATTTATAGTGTTATTTTGATGGTAGACTCCAAATCATATTATGTTCAAACAATTCTTGCTCGACAACAGAGTGAAAACACCTTGTGAAATAACCTTATCAAGTAATGAAATTAGGAAGAACGGATGGTTTTCTTGTCAAGGGAGATGCCTTCGACCTTCGCCCCCTTCGACCGTTCTGTGGTCCCCGATTAGGAACCCCCAGTCATACTTATGCTAGACTAAGATAACCAGAATCAATGCAAATTAGTGACTGGGCAATACCGAAATAGCACCTTGATTTCATGTGAGAAGATTTCAGCGAAGGGACCTCCTGAAGTATGCGCACCAACGAAGGGACCTCCTGAAGTATGCGCACCAAGATGGCACACAACCTGAACTCAGTTTGTGTACCAGGTTAGGGTTCAGGTTGTGCGACATCTTGGTGCGCATACTTCAGGAGTACCCAGCGAAGATTCAATGTGGCAAAGTTTTATCAATACAGCTCAGAATATTGAGAGTTTGTTTTTTGTTTTACATTTAGAACAATACGTTCGGATATCTATAGTTAGAATTTACTAATTTATTGATGAAATGGCACCGAAGGTATGATTAATTCTCCATCCGAACCGTTTTGCATTTCATAAAGATTCACTCGGTTCAGTAATGTATCAACTTATAATTAGTAAATGTACACAAACATAATCAGAGTAACCCCCAAGACACACCAACAAGAATGAGCTCTTGTATAGAGCAGGGCTACTCAACTATTTTCACCAAAGGTCCGTTTACGAAACTTCAAAATTACTGGGGTCCGGACATTACAGAAAATTTATTTCATCAAATAAACGAAACTTCAAATTCAATATTAAATTAAATACAAGAGCAATGAATGGCTCGCAAATATGGACACAAATATCGCACATCGGTACCAGTACGACAAACTGTATAGTTGTGTATTTAAATTGTATCAAAATAATTTAAAACTATAAAACTATGCTTATGCTGCTAAAACAAACAAGCAGACGCGGTCCAAATTTCATGGTCGAAAGGTCCGGATTCGGACCGCAGTCCGCCAGTTGAGTAGCCCTGGTATAGAGTATAGAGAGCACATGGCTACTTCACCTTCAAAGCTGACTGGTCATGATCAGTTAGCTGTGACTGATGACATGCTCAGCCATCTCGGAAAATGGTAGTCGCCAGAAATACAATAAAGATACAGTTATCACAGAGTACCCCTGGTATCAGCACTCCTAACTAAATCTTAATTATTCAAATAATTAACTCAAATTAAAAAATAATTAACTGTAATTAAATTACTGTAATCACATATTTCCAGGGAGAAACAACCAAACAAGTTAAGAACTCTACCTCAACGTCTAGAAAAAACAACGACATTATGAAAGCTTTAATTCTTGTTGGAGGCTATGGTACAAGGTTACGACCTTTGACACTGAGTGTGCCAAAACCTCTCGTTGAGTTCGGAAACAAACCAATCATGTTACATCAAGTAGAAGCTTTAGTTGAGGTGAGTGACCCATTGTGGATAATGTTCTGGAGTTGGGTTATGGGCAGCTGATTGACCAAATTGTTGAAGTAACGTTTCCCACGCGGGGAGGAATGAATAGATGGTTTATTCCTATACTCGACATGTACTGCTAACCTGTTAAGTTGTCACAAAAATTCTATTCTTTTATTTCAGGCCGGTGTCCGACATGTCATCCTAGCTGTCAGCTACATGTCTGAAAAATTAGAGCAAGAAATGAAGAAGCATGCCATCAGGGTGAGTGCAAATGAGCATTTTTTGCGTCTGTATTCACATATCATTAATATCACAATAGGGACCTAGTGGTTCATGATGATTAAAGAGAGGGTTTACTATAAGTAGGATTGTCCATAACCTATTGGATATTTGATTGAATCTGAAATAGTCAGAATTTGAAAAATTACTATTTTGAACCGTTTGGAATGGACCAATTTATACTGTCTTTTTTCTGATCGAGAATAAGGTTGCTTGAGACTTTAAGGTTGCCCCAATCATATTTAATGCTGATATTAAATCAAGGAAAATCACACCGTATACCTGGGGGCACCTTCATTCAGCAGCCCTGTGACGATGCTTAATGACTTTCCAGGTGCCCCATCGGTTCCCACTCGACAGCGTTATAATGTGTAACACATAACTCATAATTGTTAACTCATAATACATAATTGTTAACTCATAATTCAAAATTGTTTTGCTTGATAGTGAAATGTGGCAAAGTTACAACAATGCTAATTGGTGCAAATCTGCGTGTTAAAATATTTAATTGATGTTTTATTTGTTAATTCCAGCTTGGTATTGAAATCACTCTCTCACAGGAAGATGAACCCCTGGGAACAGGTCAGTAACTCATTTATGTGCTTAAGTACTCACTATGAGCTGGTGGCAGAATTCAGATACTCGAGTCTGTTCAAGATTACTTATATTAAATATTTTATTGATTTTACGACTAATTCGGGGGTAAGAAAACTTGTAGGTCGACCTAATTTGGAATTTATTTGATACTTCATATTCGAAAATTTTCAGAATGTATTTTGTTTTGTTCATTTCTGACTGGCATCATTTAGTTCAAACATTTATTGATGTAATCAAAATTAAAATATACAATATTTATTAATACCTGTTACCCTTCTATTGACCCACCATTCAAAAGGGTGAGAATAAATTAGGATATGACTTGTATGAGTTAATCTCAGGGGAAAGTATAAACCAGTGCCTCTCGGCCTTTCCAGTTCATGACCTACATTTATTGCCATTCCTTAAGTTTGCGACCCACTTTTATTGGCATTTTTTTTGTGCGACCCACAACGATGGGTTAATATACGATAAAAGAAAAAATTGTATCCTCATACGAAATGATAATGCCACAATTTCTCGATTTAATCAAAACTCAAAACATTTGGAAATATGACCTACTCGTTGGGAAGCACTGGTATAGAAGTCCAGTTGTACTGTGGCTCTTACACAATTTTAGTTCAGATCATCAATGGCCATTTACGTCTCCGATTTCAATTTGAATTCTTTTTATAGTTCAGTAACCAATTGTTACTTATCGATTTTAATCGGTAAGTATGTTGATAAGTGCACGCGATATCTCACGAAAGCAAGATTGAATCTGCTCCAGATTTTGCATGTGCATTCATCCTATTCGGACCAGAAGCCTATTGATTTTGGGTGAATTATGTCGTATAATTAGCGCGTTATTAATTAATTAGTGATGGGACACGTGGTGTCACTATGGAGTGAGAGCGCTGTTTTAGGGATCCCCTAACTTTCGATCGATAAGTCTCTTCGGTCTCTGACCGATATTCTTGTTTATATTTTTAGCCGGTCACTTGCACTTGCGAAGAAGCATCTAGCAGGAGAAGGGGTCACGACCCCATTTTTTGTACTCAATTCTGATGTCATAAGTGATTATCCGTTCTCAAGATTACTGGAATTTCATAAATCACATGGAAAGGAGGGAACAATATGTGTGAGTATCGGGGGAGTTTTCTCGATACTATTGAAATTAGGGCTGTGGTATCAAATATTGGGTTGGCAGAGACTCTGAACTGTCGAGTCTGAGCTGATGTGAAATCTCTCATTTTTGAGACTTGAATCTGAATTCAGATTTTTGATGGCCGTCCAAAAAAGAATCAAATAAGAATCTAATAATCTAAAAAAGAATTTTAATAAAGTTTTAAAAATTTAATTGTTAACCAATCGCAAATTTAAATCTAAGATCGACCAAAGTTTATTATGCTCAGATTTGACAAGCTGTAGTCGCTCAAACTTTTGTTTAACCGGATGTTTGCATCACGGCCGGCTGAACGTATACCGTATATGCTCGTTTTACCGCTCGATTTTGATTAAGGGTCCGTTTGAATAGCCGCCCGTGTGAAGAGAACATAAAAATAAATAAGGGCTGGTGCTTGAATACTCGCCCGATGTAAAAGCTTATTTTTCAGTGGTAGAAAACAAAAGGAAATGAGCGGTTTTGTCACAACGCTGTTGAATTCTAAGCGCCAGTAGATAACACTCACGCCATAGGCGTCCAAGTACATAACAGATAGCATTGACTACGTAACACCATGGTTCTCAAACTGGGCGACGCGACGCCCAAGTGCGTTGTTTAAATATTGATAGGGCGTCGCAAAACTTTTCTTCTTTTGCGGCTTTGTACCTGCGGTGCGTAGAAAAAGTCAAAATTTTTATCATTCTCGTTTAAATCATACTTGAGAACTGGAAATAACAATATATTAATTTCCGTAACGATCGAAAATAGCGAGCGCCCGTGCTTGAATAAGGGCCGGTTCGAATAAGGGCCCGGTTAGTGAGTTGGTTGAAAAAAATATGGGCCCAGACTACAAAACGAGCAAATATGATATGTGAAATTTATTCTGAATAAGTGGCCTCGACCTTGAAACGATATTGTAAAAAGTAACCCTGTTTTGGAATTTTTCATTTCACCCCGCGTTTTTCCATGGTTTTTGTTTGGTTACCAAATACTAACTCCGTTTTTCTTTTTTTAGGTTGCCAAAGTAGAAGAACCTTCTAAATATGGTGTTGTTGTTTATGATAAACCTTCTGGCAGAATAGAAAGGTAATTGCTTATGGTTGCAGTCGACATATATGATTGTATATGCGTACACATACAGCCCAAGAAACTTTCGAGATCAAGCATTTACTTCTGGTTGTAGTTGGCATATCTAGTTGTATGTGTGTACACATACAGCCAAGAAAACTGATGATATATCCTTATCGAGTATCTGCTTATGGTTGTAGTTGGCTTATCTAGTTGTATGTGTGTACACATACAGCCAAGAAAACTGATGATATATTCTTATCGAGTATCTGCTTATGGTTGTAGTTGGCTTATCTAGTTGTATGTGTGTACACATACAGCCAAGAAAACTGATGATATATCCTTATCGAGTATCTGCTTATGGTTGTAGTTGGCTTATCTAGTTGTATGTGTGTACACATACAGCCAAGAAAACTGATGATATATTCTTATCGAGTATCTGCTTATGGTTGTAGTTGGCATATCTAGTTGTATGTGTGTACACATACAGCCAAGAAAACTGATGATATATCCTTATCGAGTATCTGCTTATGGTTGTAGTTGGCTTATCTAGTTGTATGTGTGTACACATACAGCCAAGAAAACTGATGATATATTCTTATCGAGTATCTGCTTATGGTTGTAGTTGGCTTATCTAGTTGTATGTGTGTACACATACAGCCAAAGAAAACTGATGATATATTCTTATCGAGTATCTGCTTATGGTTTGTAGTTGGCTTATCTAGTTGTATGTGTGTACACATACAGCCAAGAAAACTGATGATATATTCTTATCGAGTATCTGCTTATGGTTGTAGTTGGCTTATCTAGTTGTATGTGTGTACACATACAGCCAAGAAAACTGATGATATATTCTTATCGAGTATCTGCTTATGGTTGTAGTTGGCTTATCTAGTTGTATGTGGTACACATACAGCCAAGAAAACTGATGATATATTCTTATCGAGTATCTGCTTATGGTTGTAGTTGGCTTATCTAGTTGTATGTGTGTACACATACAGCCAAGAAAACTGATGATATATTCTTATCGAGTATCTGCTTATGGTGGTAGTTGCCATATCTAGTTGTATGTGTGTACACATACAGCCAAGAAAACTGATGATATATCCTTATCGAGTATCTGCTTATGGTTGTAGTTGCCATATCTAGTTGAATGTGTGTACACATACAGCCAAGAAAACTGATGATATATCCTTATCGAGTATCTGCTTATGGTTGTAGTTGGCTTATCTAGTTGTATGTGTGTACACATACAGCCAAGAAAACTGATGATATATTCTTATCGAGTATCTGCTTATGGTGGTAGTTGCCATATCTAGTTGTATGTGTGTACACATACAGCCAAGAAAACTGATGATATATCCTTATCGAGTATCTGCTTATGGTTGTAGTTGGCTTATCTAGTTGTATGTGTGTACACATACAGCCAAGAAAACTGATGATATATTCTTATCGAGTATCTGCTTATGGTGGTAGTTGCCATATCTAGTTGTATGTGTGTACACATACAGCCAAGAAAACTGATGATATATCCTTATCGAGTATCTGCTTATGGTTGTAGTTGCCATATCTAGTTGAATGTGTGTACACATACAGCCAAGAAAACTGATGATATATCCTTATCGAGTATCTGCTTATGGTTGTAGTTGGCTTATCTAGTTGTATGTGTGTACACATACAGCCAAGAAAACTGATGATATATTCTTATCGAGTATCTGCTTATGGTTGTAGTTGCCATATCTAGTTGTATGTGTGTACACATACAGCCAAGAAAACTGATGATATATTCTTATCGAGTATTTGCTTATGGTTGTATGTATGTACACATACAGCCCAGAAAACTGATGATATATCCTTATCGAGTATTTGCTTATGGTTGTATGTATGTACACATACAGCCAAGAAAACTGATGATATATCCTTATCGAGTATCTGCTTATGGTTGTAGTTGCCATATCTAGTTGTATGTGTGTACACATACAGCCGAGAAAACTGATGATATATTCTTATCGAGTATTTGCTTATGGTTGTATGTATGTACACATACAGCCCAGAAAACTGATGATATATCCTTATCGAGTATCTGCTTATGGTTGTAGTTGCCATATCTAGTTGTATGTGTATACACATACAGCCAAGAAAACTGATGATATATCCTTATCGGGTATCTGCTTATGGTTGTATGTATGTACACATACAGCCAAGAAAACTGATGATATATCCTTATCAAGTATTTGCCTATGGTTGTATGTATGTACACATACAGCCCAGAAAACTAACCCTAACTCTAATCAAGTCTTTGCCCATGGCTGTAGCTTATCTATCTAGTTGTATGTGTGTACAATAATTTATCCCAAGGTAATCCTCTAATCATATTAAACTAATTTTTAATATATTCGATTCAATTTTGACAACCTTGCTTATAATTTGTGATCCTTTTTCTTTATTTCAGATTTGTTGAGAAGCCCCAAGAATTTGTGTCAAATAAAATCAACGCAGGAATGTATATTTTTAACCCAAAAATGTTGAACAGAATTCGGGTAGGTTTTTTATATACAATATTTTTCCTGTCTTTTTACTTGAACAAGGCTCAAGCAGTTCCTGATATCTGGGGGAGAGGAAAAGCGATAAGACGGCTTGGTCATGGCGAACCGTGGCCTCTTGTCCGGTTACCAGGTCATGTTGGGTATAGGATTTGTTAGCCAGTTATTCGTTTCAGATGCATGAATTTGGTGATAGAGGAAGCGGGGCTCCCGAAGTATGCGAACCAAGATAGCGGACATCGGAATGTAATATGTGTACTAGGTTAGGGTTAGGCCATAATTTTAGGTACAAATACTACGGGAGGCTCTTGGCTAGTCTTCGAACTGATAATAGGACTAAAATAAGGAAAATTGGAAAAAAATTATCGCCTAACCCTAACCTGTTACCCATGTTACGTTCCGATGTCCGCCATCTTGGTTCGCATACTTCGGGAGCACCGAGGAAGCCGTATATATTTGTGTCAGTATGCCATAAGACTCTTGGATCATTTAATATAGATATTACTTATCGATCTTGAGATCGGTAAGTATGTTGATAGGTATTTGTCTGTTTGTATGTTTGTTTGTCTGTCTGTTAGATACACTCGATATCTCACGAAAGCGAGGTTGAATCTGCTCCAAATTTTGCATGTGCATTCATCATATCTCGGACCAGAAGCCTATTGATTTGGATGAATTATGTCGTATAATTAGAGAGTTATAAATTAATTAGTGATTGGACACATGGTGTCACTATGGAGTAAGAGCGCTGTTTTGGGGATCCCCTAAATTTCCATCGATAAGTCTTCAGTCTCCGACCGATATTCTCGTATTTTTTCTTGTTACATCGTCCTTGCAATTTACACATTGTTTAATCATGATTTGCCCATTTATATCCATTTGACGCATTCTCTTGATATCACTTTTTCAAACTGTTTTGACTTATTCCTGAGAAAAAATATGCTTTCATTATATTTTCAGCCAGAACCCATGTCCATAGAGAGAGAGGTATTTCCTTTCATGGCTGAGGAAGGTGAATTGTACTGTATGGAGCTGGAAGACTTCTGGATGGATATTGGACAACCTAAAGATTTCTTAGTCGGGATGTGTATGTATTTAACATCAGTGAAAAAGAAGACGCCAGAAAAATTGATGACAGGACCGAAGTTTATTGGAAACGTACTAGTGGTGAGTGATGATGCTTTGGTACAACTTTTATAAATTTTTATGGCTATGCCCTGAACAAGGGTTCGTATAAGCCACAGTCGGTGCAGGTGATGTTATCGGAAACATATCAGTGGTAATTCATTTATGGACTCGCTAGCTGTCACGGTCTAACTTAGCAATAAGGCATTTGTAAAAATACTTCATTATTTCGTCAATATTTTAATTTGTTGGAAACCTAATTTTTTTTGAATGGCTCAACTAGATGTCTGAAGTTGGTTGTTTGACCCACCGACGACAATTGTTGCCCTGCTCAAGAGCATATAAGATATTAAGGTGCAATTTTTGTTTTAATATACTCGGTCAATTTCTACACACTTCTCAAAACAACACAGATAATTTCATTATATCTCCCAGGACCCCACCGTTGTCATTGGTGAAAACTGCAAGATTGGCCCCAATGTTGTTCTCGGACCAGGTGTTGTAATTGAAGACGGAGTAAGAATCAAGCGATGCACGGTGTTGCGAGGAGCTGCCATCAAATCACATGCTTGGCTGGAGTCATGCATCATTGGTTGGGGGTCAAGGGTGGGCAAATGGGTAAGTTTGAGATCTTTATCTGCTTTACTCTGAAACTGGAAATCTAGTTTGAGGCGGAGATCTGTCACTTGAATGAGGGGTGAGCAATCTTTAATACAGTAGGGCCAGATACAAATAACTGTGTGAAACCGCGGCGGGCTGCACCTTTCTAGGCTTTCTAGTAGTTGCAGGCATTGAAAATTTTGGTTATTGATTTTGTGACATGCATTGTTTCCACAAGGCATAGGCTACGCATGCAAAGGAATTACTCGCATACACCAAATTAAATTGCATTAAAAATCCATTTTACGGGATGCACATTCAAAATTGACACTTCTCTGCGGGCCACATAAATTTTCCTTGTGGGCCACATTTCGTCCACGGGCCGCAGGTTGCACAACTCTGGCTTAGATAACTAGTTACTTATCGATCTTTAGATCGGTAAGTATGTTGATAGGTATTTGTCTGTCTGTTTGTCTGTTAGATGCATGCGATATCTCACGAAAGCGTGATTGAATCTGCTCCAGATTTTTCATGTGCATTCATCATATCTCGGACCAGAAGCCTATTGATTTTGGATGAATTATGTCGTATAATTAGCGAGTTATTAATTAATCAGTGGTGGGACACGCGGTGTCACTATAGAGTCATGAATCGAAACCGCAGTTTCGATCGATAAGTCTTCGGTCTCCGATCGATATTCTCGTTTTTCAGTTTATTCAAATTAAAAATTGATTTATATTCTCACAGGCTCGCATGGAAAATGTCACCGTACTGGGAGAAGACGTGAATGTAAAAGATGAGATTTATCTTAACGGAGTTCGAGTTTTGCCACACAAAGGAATTGGGGCTTCGTTACCTGAACCTCAGATCGTTATGTGAAGCATATGTGTTACTTATGTGAGATTTATGTGATATGCAGTCATTTTGGGGGTTAAAAAACTTTTTTGGCATATTTTTGTACGTTATTGCACTTTATTGGAAAGGAATTTCCAAAATTATGGACACATGGCAAAATTTCCGAATGATTCGGACTTCGGTATGATTTATTGTGATATAGCTTTGAAGAGGGTAACCCAGGATACCAAGATGTTATCTTCTGTTTCCCTGACAATACTTAACTGAGCTTTTTCAAGTCTCGTGTCGTGCTAACTAGTATCTACTCAACCTCCAATTTTGAGGAAAAAAATTAAGTTTTCTATTTCAAAGATTTGAGGCGAGACTCGCTCAATTGACCCAGAGAAGAATTCTGCAAACTGCGATTCTGGAGCCTCATGCAGCCCTTTGTTCTTGAAAGGCTGACTTAATATTTTCCTCTATGTGTCCGATGACCAAACACACATAGTTACGTGACACATACTTATGTGAAATTTTTTATGTGAATTTTTAAAATGCGAAAAGCCGAAGGGTAACAAACAGACAGTTACTATTGTTTCATTATGTACTGCAGGACCAAGCCAAATATTCTTTTATTATTTTATTTACTTTTTGATAATATATGCTTACAATTCGCTATTGCAGAGGCTGCAGTACACCTTTTGTATCCGCTTATGTTTTTATGCTACCATTTATGGTGACTGTATTATAATGCCATTTGCTATTGGCAGGATATAATAACTAATAATTTTAATTTAGTCAAAAAATTATCGTAGACGTTATTAGTATGTAGGTACTGTTATCGCCTCATCGCTAATTTTCTGATATTTTTCACTTGATTCTTATTATCGTAGGTTGCAGGGGCGTAGCAAGAGGGGGTTTAAGGGTCGTGTTTTGTGTGAAATTTGTGTAACATTTGCGACCCATGAAATTCGTTGCTTTCCCTCCCTGTGGGATAGCGACCCCCAGTTTGAGAAGCCCTGACCTTACTCACCCTAACATCTCGATATAAAATCAAAAAATGGGTAGTGTGACCAAACAAAGTAGTGCTACTTATCTTAGTACTGTGGTGTAATATATATATATATATCTGTCTTATTACGTAGATATTGCCCACATTATGCAGGAATTTACCTAAAGTTTTTGATGTCCAGATAATAATAATAATTTCATGATTCTGATTCAAAATCAATTTTGTGCTTTATCTAAAACTTGATTTTGACAAAGTATAAATTTTTACACAATTCCCATGATATAGCGAACGGTATTTTACACCCTTATTTGTGGGAATTACAGAAAATCCCTTGTTTCAATATTTCATGTTAGGTAGTTGACAGAACGAAAAAAGCGAACGAAATTTTTTTTTTGCCAGAATCCCATCTGGGATGAAACTTTATTCGTGTCGCCATTTGCTGTTGCTTAGTTTACCATGATTCACTCGCAGCTCTCGGCATTTTAACGTTTTTCGTAACTTTTTCAGAGATGAGTCTTACTTCTGAGTGAGTGCGCATAACCTTTTATGTTCACAACTTTCTCAAAGATGAGTCTCACTTCTGAGTGAGTGTAAACTTGCTTTCAGCACTTTTTGAAGAAAATTCTCTACTTTAGGATAAATATAGAAATTGTGCCTTTTTATTCATTTTTACACCAATATTTATGCTCAATAGTATATATCTCATAACTATATATCTTATGATTGTGTTTTTGATGACATTCGTGTTCAGTGTTTCAAATGATATCCCCGCATTTTGCTGTTTCTTATGGACACACTTGCCATCGCATGTCTGTCTGATTACCATGCGTGAGTCTGCAAGTTAGAATTTAGTGAGGGGATAGGTATAAGCGAGAGTATTGGTGTTCTTATCAGTCTTAGGATGTAAAATCAGCTTTTTTTTTGTATAGGATCTTTTTTATAAAAAGCCAACGCTCAAAAATAAGAAAATACGTAATTTTTCGATTAGGATTAGAAACGCCGAAATGTGCAGAAAATTAAAATTTTTAATCCGTTCGTAACCCAGACTAGATAATTAGTAATTTGGTATTTTAAAACGTGGCGAAAGTGTTTTCTCAAATCTCACTTTTCGCATTTGTGAAAGGGGCTTTGTTAAAAACATCGCTAGGTGAAGGACCATCATGGCGGACACCTGAACATAGTATGTGTACCAGGTTAGGGTTAGGCCATAATTTTATCCCAATTTTCTTTATTTTTGTTCTATTACGAGTTCTGGGACTATCCAAGTGACTCCCGTAGTATTTGTATCTGAAATTATGGCCTAACTCTAACCTGGTGGCTGATGGTATGGGGCCGTGTTGGGATCGAAAACAGCCGAATAAAAATATTCACCATCCACGGCCAACGATAACAAACGCACTCTTAAACGTCGAGGCTGGGCTCAATGACATTTTTATTTAGTCGTTGAAATTATTCCCATCAGAATTAAAGTCGCCAGTGGTCGCATGTAATCGGGTGCTGTATAAGCATCGTGTGGGTAATATTGCCATTCGCGACCAACGATAACGAATATGAAACTGACTTTTAAACGTGGAGGCTCGACTTTCAACCTTTTTTACTCTCTAACTTTTTTTCTGTCTGGATTTAAGTTGTCAGACCCGGCCATTTTATTTACACAGATTCGGCGTACGTAAGTATAATATTTTAAGAAAAATTTACAGAAAAAAACAAATAAAAATTTAGTAAAACCTGAGTTTTGCTGGTTGGATTCATTCTTTGAAATGTAAAAAAAATCCCCAACCCCTTAAATCTAAAAAAGGGACCTCTTGAAGTATGCGCACCAGGATGGCGCACAACCTGAACTCAGGTTGTGTACCAGGTTAGGGTTCAGGTTGTGCGACATCTTGGTGCGCATACTTCAGGAATGTATCACACACAGCAATTTCAGGTAGCTTAAAACGCTTTTTCCTCAATACTGTTGAAAACCCATGACGTCGCAATATGTCGGCGGAAAAGAAATTGCGTTATAAACCAACGAAACCTCGTAAAAACAGCAAAACAACGATTTCTCGAGGACCGGCAAAAAAACTTCGCGGAGCGGCACCTCAAAGCAAGGTCCCGAGCCCTCAACCAAAAATAGAAAGAGTACTGATGGAAGAGTTGCAAGTTTTCTCAAAGCAGGGTTCCGAGAGTTGCGAGTCCCTCTGACATTTGGCGCAACTATTTTAAAACTGAATAGCATTGCGTAGTAAATTTGACACCTTTGGTGAGGTGGCGTAAGCGGTACCTTCGTGCTATGGTGCCGACATAGGTCCGAATGTATAAACCAGTGGCTCGACTTTTTTGCGCCCCTTTTAGAATTTGGTAAGTCCCGTGCGATACTTCAAAAAAAAAAACTTGCTAACGATAAGCTTCAAATAACAGATAGTGAGGCGAAAGTAAGTTTGTTGAAAAAACAAGTCAAATACGTGTACATAATAAAGAAATATAAATGTCCAAAATAAAGCAGGCAAAATCAAATATTTTTATTTCAATTAGCTTCTCGCCCCTGCAAAACTGCAATCGCCACACCTATAATTAAACGTTTCCTAAACTAAACAAGAGAGCAACGCTCAAATATATGGACACGTGGACTAGAGCGAAGCAGGGTTTACCTTTGACGTTACCGGTACCGTACCCTCAAAAAGTTCCGGGTTTTCAGTCGCAAGAATTTTCACAGTTAGCCGTCACAATTGGCGGATTAAAAACCGTGTTCCCATAATTAAAAATTAATACAGCGCAATTTTGAATGAAGTATTAGATCTCATAAGATTCATAGAAAATTCAGGAATAAATGAAAGTAATAGTCTTCTGGCAAAAAAATCAATCTTGAACCACTGAAAATTCCAAAGCAATTGGTCCAGTATTCGAAGAGAAAAGCGATTTTTTAATGATAATAATGACGAAAGAAAATAACAACAACAAAATTTTGAAACGATTGTTATGGCCACTAAACGTGTCCAATTATTCAAACACTCTACACACAGGCTGGCATGGTCGGCACCGGTGAACCTATCGATAACTGGGAAGTCGACGACATGATGTCTGAAGGAGACAAAAACAATGATTGGCAGATCGATTATGAAGGTGGGTGAATGTCATATTACAGTGTCCCCCTTTGTTGTAAAGTGTTCCCATGGGTTAATTTTGGCAACATTTTGGGTACTCCCGTAGTATGTGTACCAAGTTAGGATTAAGCTATAATTTCAGGTACAAATACTACACTTGGGTCACTTGGGTTCACATACTTCGGGAGTGCCCAAAATACTTAAAATTGCACTTGCAATTTTGGGTGAAATATCGTCCCCGTAGTCAGAACAAGAGAATTATGATCAAATACATGGACACAAAATTCAATTACAGTCTGATATTATAGTGTTCTCATTTGCTATAAAAAGGTGTTTCCATAAGTTGAAAGAAAAGAAAATTGGGACCTCCTGGAATATGCGCACCAAGATGGCGCACAACCTGAACTCGGGTAGTGTACCAGGTTAGGGTTCAAGTTATGCGACATCTTGGTGCGCATACTTCAGGAGTACCAAAAATTGGATGGAATATTTATTGGTGCCGTAAACATAGGTAAATGAAGTCAAGTAATATGATTGTAGATAAATGAGAGAGAAATTCTCAAATATATTAGTACGAAAAAACGTGAAATTTTTCCAGTTTCACGTTTTAGTCAATTTTTTCCCTAAACCTGAGTGCGAATTTGATATCAGCTCTCTGATGCCACCATCAGCATTTCGTTCTTCGATCTCAAGCAAACATTAGATAATCATCGTATTAAATTGAAACTATGTCAGCCAAATGAAATGAATGTTTAAAAATTCAAATAGGAGTGCACAACAGTCGGCCCGCGGGCCACAGTCCGGCTCGCCAGGTCCTTAAGTGTGGCACACGTAAGTAAGTCAACACTCATATTTTACCCCACCAAGCATAGCGTTCAAATGGGTAAAATACATAATGTTTTTTGCTCTTGTCGCTACGTCAAATCATTCGCCTTGTGAATTTACTACTTCAAGGCTAATTTGTCTTTTGTTGGGTATATGACCCACCATGTTGCACATCCCTGAATTGAACTTTTTATCCCAATGCGGCCTCATAAAGCTTTGCTCACCCTGCTATTGTAGATAGGCTATGATAGCTTATAGTTATTTTTATTTCATTTTACAGAGTGGCTTGTCTTGATGAAGTACGCCAAATAATTTTAAACTTCAAGACAGCAAAGAAATAAAATATTGAACTTTTTATACGGTTGAATGCACAACATGACGTCACAATCCAGTGGTAAAGTAAAGTTCTCAGGCCCAATATCCATGCCCACCATCAAACAGGTAATTAGGATTTAAACCAGAATTTCACAAGAGAGTTCAGTGTTGTGTGCGAGTCTTCTCCCATGGTATTTACTATGTAACTGGCATGTGCTTCAGTGGCGACAATAAAAATCTCACACAGGAACTCCACGATGACTACAGTATAGAACAGTGGTTCTTGTGATGAAATTGAATTAGCGCCACCTAATGTGGTCAACGTGGCACCATCGTTAATAGTCTCGTGGCTATGCGAAGGTTTTATTTGGTTAGCGTGCGTCAGGATTGCTACATCTTGTAACTTGTTCTTTTTCTTGTTTTAGTATAGTAGTAATCTTTAAGTTAATAAAAGCCTAGAAAACAGTCTAAATGAGTTTTCCTCGAATGGTTTCACTACAATTTTATTAACTTAAAAATTAGCTTCGATTTTACCACTGCAAAGCGTGATGGCTCCACAATTGGAAAAGTTTATCCGTGTACCAGTCTTGGACACTCCGCCAAATTCGCCATATGCTCAAAAGGTTTTCAGTCATTGGGAACGCATGATCAAGAGCTTTTTGAATTCTGCAGAAACTGCTAGAGCTTCGTCTCCGACGACAACAACATTGCCTGTGATTGACAAATTGGCAATTATTGTGGGCTACATGTCTCCTGATGTGTTTTTTATATTGAAGAAATAACAACATATGACACTGCTATGGCCAAATTAGAGAAGTTGTACAAGAAGAAGAAAAATGACGTTTTTGCCAGGCATAAATTGGCGACGAATAAGCAAAGAAGTGGCGAATGCGTAACAGAATTTTTCCAACAATTGTCTTCGTTAGCTAAAGACTGCAACTTCGAAGCCGTATCTGCTGATAAGTATAGAGAAGAAGCTATAAGAGATGCTTTCATAACTGGATTGAAATCCGCCGAAATTCGTCAACGGTTGTTGGAGCACGAAGTATTAACACTTGACAATGCTCTTCAGATTGCAGATTCATTAGAGAGAGCCGAAAAGTTTGCTAACTCCTATCAAGAATGTACGAATGGCCAATTAATGACCACATTGTCAGAAAAAAGAAGCATCTGAAACTGTATCAGACACAGAAGAAAGACGTGATGACAATTTCAAATCTATAGCTGTGACATCGAGAACTTCAAACTTCGATTTTGCTGTCAAAAGGTGTGGTTATTGTAGAGGTGTGCATCGCTTAAAACGTCAAAATTGCCCAGCCAGAAATGTGTATTGCTTCAAGTGTGGTCGACGTGGACACTTTGCAAGAGTATGTAGATCTTCTAATGAAAATCGTGACAAAGTTGAAAACCCACATTTAGCTGCTGTTGTACCTAGCAGTCTAAAACTAGCTCTTGTTTCTGTAATAATCTCTGGCAGGCAAGTTGATGCTCTTCTCGACTCGGGCTCTTCTGATAATTATATGGCTAGCAATTTCGCGTTTTCTCTTGGGCTTACTCTAAAAGGAC